CCTGCCAAATCCAGCAGCTCCGACCCCGTGAAGTGACTTTATTCCAAGTCTATAATTTATTATTAAAGGGTTGTTAAGGTATTAAGTTACAAAGTTTATGATTTTAGGTGCAAAATGGGTTGCGCAACTCGGTTGTGTGCGCAACTCGCATGTGAAATACGTTAACTTGCACATGTACGTTACTCGAAGCATGACGACGTATTACCGTTTTTCAACTCAATCCGAGGCTTTAATATTACTGTCAGCTATATATAAGATCTTAGATGAGCCATTTCTAAAGTATTTCAAACCCAGACATGAAATAGGAGTTGATAACTACCAGCACGTGCCCAGTCGTGACTCGAAACGTGCAAACACGACAAACAACCTGCGAATGAGGGATTATTGCGAACAGCTCTGAACGATGTGTCGCGCAGCCCTGTGATTCACAGCACGACACTCTACTGAAACCACTCACGGATCTCAGAAATGATCATCCGGAGCTTGCATAGAGCTAAGTGCTTCATTGCACAGGCGGAATTGCGCCAGAGGCAATGGCCCAGGCCAGAGGCGCTGTCGAAGCGCGTCTTTACGAGCACGAGTCGAGTGTTCAAAGATACCCCTACGACGAATAAGACCCAGCCAGCCCCCGATGGCAAGCAGGCACCGCGCGCCGTCCCTCCTGGGGCGAAACCCGATACAGCTTCAAAGCCGCCCTCGCCAGCTACGCCGGCGAAGCGTAAAGACCCCCTCGCGCTCGAGGATAAGTCGAATAAGGAGCAGCGCAAGGCGGATTGGGCGATTATAAAAGAGATATCACAGTATCTGTGGCCCAAGCATGGTCTCAGCACAAAAGTCCGCGTCGGGATCGCGCTCGGCCTGCTCGTCGGGGCCAAGGTGCTTAACGTCCAGGTGCCGTTCTACTTTAAGAACATTGTGGACGCGATGAACGTAGACTTCATCGGCGTCGGCGGGACGGCTGCCACAGTGGCGGGGTCGATGATATTGGCGTATGGCCTGACAAGGTTTGGCGCCACGATCTTCCAGGAGCTGAGGAACGCGGTGTTTGCGAGCGTTGCGCAGAAGGCGATTCGCAAGGTCGCGGGGAATGTATTTGACCATCTGCTGCGGCTGGATCTGAATTTCCATCTCACGAAGCAGACGGGCGGGCTTACGAGGGCGATCGATCGCGGGACAAAGGGGATTAGCTTCCTCCTCACTTCGATGGTGTTCCATGTTATCCCCACGGCGCTGGAGATTAGCATAGTGTGCGGAATCCTGACGTGGCAGTATGGGGCTAAATTTGCGGCTATCACGGCTGTGACGGTGGTGGCGTATACGGCATTTACGATCTGGACTACGGCGTGGAGGACGAAGTTCAGGAGGCAGGCTAATGCGGCGGATAACAAGGCGTCTACGGTGGCGATTGACTCGCTCATCAACTATGAGGCTGTCAAGTACTTCAATAATGAGAAGTATGAAGTGGGGAGGTACGATAAGGCTCTACTGGGCTATGAGAAGTCGTCTATCAAGGTTGCGACGTCTTTGGCATTCCTTAATGCCGGGCAGAACTTGATTTTCTCTAGTGCATTGACGGGGATGATGTATCTGGCTGCGAATGGCGTGGCTGAGGGAACGCTGACGGTTGGAGACCTGGTAATGGTCAACCAACTTGTGTTCCAGCTCTCTGTCCCATTGAACTTCCTCGGGTCAGTGTATCGCGAGCTCCGCCAGTCCTTACTGGACATGGAGACACTTTTCAACTTACAGAAGGTCAATGTTGCCATCAAAGAGCTGCCCAACGCGAAGCCACTCGAGCTAACTAGCGGAGGGGAGATCGTCTTCGAAAACGTCACCTTCGCCTACAACAAAGAGCGTCCCATCCTCCAGAACCTCAATCTAACCATTCCCGCCGGCAAGAAGGTCGCCATCGTCGGCCCCAGCGGCTGCGGCAAGTCGACCCTCCTCAAGCTGCTCTTCCGCTTCTACGACGTCCAAGAGGGCCGCATTCTCATCGACGGCCAAGACATCCGCCATGTCAGCCTCGCCTCCCTCCGCAAAGCCATCGGCGTCGTACCACAAGACACACCGCTCTTCAACGACACCATCGAGCACAACATTCGCTACGGCGATCTGTCTGCACCCCCCGAGGCAGTCCGTGCCGCGGCAGCACGCGCCCGCATCGACCATATCATCTCCGCTTTCCCGGACGGTTACCAAACCATGGTCGGCGAGCGGGGAATGATGATTTCGGGCGGGGAAAAGCAGCGTCTTGCGGTGTCGAGGCTGCTGTTGAAGGACCCGCCGCTGCTGTTCTTTGATGAGGCGACATCGGCGCTGGATACGCATACGGAGCAGGCACTGATGCAGAATATTAATGGAATTTTGAAGGAGAAGAATAGGACGAGCGTGTTTGTAGCGCATCGGTTGAGGACAATCTATGATAGTGATAAGATTATTGTGTTGAAGGAGGGGAATGTGGTGGAGAGCGGAAGCCACAGCGAGTTGATTGATACAGACGGGGTGTATTCGGAGTTGTGGAGTGGTAAGTTTGGTTTATTTCATATTGGGTTGGTTTGGAGGGATGTTTTTGGCCTATCTGGGTGTGCCGGTTAGAAGCCCTTGCTGACGATTGCGATTTAGCCCAGGAAACCCTGTTCCAACATGGGACGAGCGAGCATGAAGTGGCTGTGGAGGATATTGTCGAGGAGGCTGAAGGGAATGGGACCGGTAAGGGTAAGTGAGGCGTATGGGAGAGGGGCATTTAGGCATGAGGGTGTAAGAGAGAGATACACGACTACAGATAGAGTCGGAGCTGCACAACAGCAGTGGACAGAGCGATTTTGCGACCAAACGGGCGGCAATAGAGGTATGGTAATGATACTGTAGTTATAGCGAAAACTATGGTGCCGGCATCGCTGCACCCAGTACGTTGGGGTTGTCGTTGCTGCGATAGCATGGCGAGAGCATAAGGCATGCATTTGGTATCATTTATATACAGACCGAGCCTATAATCATTGACCAGTCACCTCGAACTCATTTTTATAAGAAGCTCCCGGCACCCACATTCATCTTTCGTGACTCCAAGATGGTTGAACCCGGCCGCTAACTGTTATTGGCTACCTACCGCCTCTATCGTACCTCAAATCGTCGACATAGTCCACGTATCTCACTAACTCTCACCCTGTCCGGAATATCCTCCTGGTAGGCTCTGGATTCTGTGCTTTGTATGCGCAAAAAGCTCACTCTCGAGTGGGCAGACAACCCAAATAGGATCCAAATTAGCCCTTACCCGAAGGCTAGTTTAAAACGATATATGAAAGCATTCACGCCCAACAACGAGCCGATGATGGGAATAGTAGGGTCGAACTGTTGAGCACAAATTTGGAGTTTGGCGACTTAATTGAGTAAACTACGCCTACGAAGCCATATATATACCGCCTAGCGGTATACAGACCTACAAACTGTGTAGGGGTAATGTGCCAAGTCACGTGCGTCCCATCTCTAAAACTGGGCTCTTCATATCAAAATTTGCTACACCAATTATTCGCATTTTTCGTTCAATTACAAGCAAGCACGAAAACAGTCATGAAAGATGACCCCCGACCTAAGATGGATGAATTGCACCCTATAACCAAAGAAGGCATTGCTGCTGCTAGTTCCAGGCCACACGCGCCCAGCCAGCCCGAAAAGCTTGGCCAATATCCTGCTACCCCGCACTCTTCAACGTCTTTGTCTGAGGATAAAGATGATCTGGATTTGCAGAAACTAGGCTACAAGTCAGTTCTTGCACGTGGCTGGGGTTCCTTTGATAACTTTGCATGCTCCTTTTCGGCGTTGTACTGCATAGGCGGCATCAGGGTATTATTTTACATTGCTCTCAGCAATGGTGGGACAGCTGCCTTGTAGGTCGACACCTATCTTACCCCGCTTGGTCTAGAATATACTGACAAATTTTGCGAAAAGATGGAGCTCATGGATATCAGGAAGTATATTATCCATTATTACTTCTGCCACGCTCGCGGAGGCTTGCTCTGCGTACCCAGCCGCTGGATCCATCTATTACTGGGCATTCCAGTCCTGGGGAGGTGGAAAGCTAGGGAGATTTATGTCTTTCATGGTAGCAGCTTGGACTCTTGTAGCTTGGACAGCCTTCCTTGCAGCGGACTCTTTTGGTGTTGCTAACTATCTAGTGTCTGAGGTGGTTGTGTTCAATCCTAATACGACCTTCCCCCATGACACCTCGGATGTGAAAGCAAGGGCGGTGGCATGGGCCTTCTCGCTACTTTTCCTAGCCATCGCAACTTTAATGAACTTTCTACCTCCGCGCTCCTATGCATGGGTCTTCCGTGCTGGCGTGATAGTCATCGCGATTGATATTTTTCTCAACTTCATTTGGTTGCCAATGGGGGTTTCCAAGACATACGGATTCCAGTCAGCCGAATTCGTCTTCACTTCAACCTACAATGGAGGTCACACCAGCCCCGTCCTTAATTGGGTCTTGTCTTGGTTTCTTGTCTCTAGCTGCCTTGTTGGGGAAGATGCTTCAGGCCATGTCGCTGAGGAGACTGTCTCCGCGAAGAAAGTGGCCGCAAATGGGGTTTTTTGGGCTACAGTGGCATCGGCGATCTGCGGATTTCCAATCATTCTCGTCTTCCTTTTCTGCATGCCTCCTATCGATACATTTTACGACACCGCGGCTCCTCAGCCATTCATCAACATGTACGCCCTAGCCTTAGGTCCGCGTGCACACGTTGTCGCCACGATTATCTCCATGATTGGAGCCATTCTCAATACGTCTATTTCCATTGTTACAGCCCCCCGACCTGTTTTTGCAATTGCTCGAGACTCCATCTTTCCATTCAGCGAGTCGCTTTGCAGAGTCTCGAAAAGCAAACAGCCACACAATGCTGTCATTTTCATCGCAACCATTGCCGCTCTCCTATTGTGCACCCAGCTGCCGTCGCAGGTAGCCTTCATGAGCTTGACTTCAACATCGGCAGCAGGCTCCATTGCTGCGTATGGCCTTGTCGGCTTTTTGCGCGCCTTCATTACAAGGAAAAACATTCAAGCCAAGCGTTTTCCATCTCGGCCGATTCGGAGTTATGATGGCTGTGATTACATTCATCTGGAACGGCTTTGCATTTGCTGTCCTTTGCGCCCCTCAGTATGGCAACAGCTCCATAAATGCAGATGCAGGCTTATTCAACTATGCCATTGTTATCATGGCTGGCGTTACAGTCATCGGCCTGGAACAGTGGTGGCGAAAGTCCAGCCGCGTATGGTTTCACAATATCAAGGATATCGATAATCGTCGTGACCAAACTTTTCGCTTCACTCAAGGTTGGAGTAAGCAACATGCGCCACTTCACGCGAGAGGAAGCAAGTTGCGCCAACTCACGATTTTGAGAGTAAGTACTAGCCAATAGTAATTTGTATGTAAAGGTACATAATCTGCCTACTCTATTGAATTATCACTTTGACTCCCACGCTCGCTCCCATCCTCACTCCCACGCTCGCTCCCACACTCGCCCGCAATCTCATACTCCTCCTCGCCCTCACTTTCAGAGGCTTCCGGGTCAGGAATTGGGTCCTCCCACTCTAGAGGAATTGGGAGGCTGGCATTAGTGTAGAATGCCACCCTCTTTTTCCGGAGGCGTTCCTGCTTCCGGGCCTCAATTCCAGCTCTACGGAGCTGTTTGCGGGCCCGGTTGATAGCCTGGCGGGCTATCCGGGCTTCTTTGGCCTGGAGCTTCTGGGCTAAACAATCAGCTTTTTCAGCCCGAAGCTCGTGGGCTCGGTCAGCAGAGAGCTCGCCTCCAAATTGAAGGCGGGCCCTACTTCGGCTTGCCCGCTTTTTGGACTCCTCGACCTGCCGCCGTACAGTACGCAGGTCAAGCTCCTGGAGTTGGCCGGCTACTACTACCTCTTCAGTGCCGGTAAGCCAATTCCTGTAGCTCTGCCCCTCGGAACCCGCTGTTTCCAGTGCTGTAGCCCCTCTTCTACCCCCCTAAAAGTCGTGGGTTTAGGTGTAGAAACTCGGATTGGTAGAGTAGGTATAGGCGTAGGCTATAGTAGGCTGCGAGTACGTACGTAGTTTTGCAAGAGCTACAGCACAGCTAACCGGCCAAATACCAGCTTTCTGAAAAGCGGATATTATAGTAGACTCCTTAAAGGTCTGCTTCCCGCATGTGAGTGAGATCCCGCATAAAGGACTGGAGGTCATAGGTAATATCCATATGCCTTATAGCTGCAAGCACAGCTTCTTGGCTGTAAAACGTGTGTAAGATGTGATGGGAAGGTATATATGATAATGTTGTGTTCTTCAGCTGCAATGATAAAATCATCGCTTGTATGGCTAACATGAGAGTCAAGCAGTAGAACCTTCAGCTCTCCATTATTATATTGAGCTGTATGCTGCGCAAAGTGCTGTAGCCACCGGAGAGCAAGCTGGCTATTAGTAAATCCAGAGTCGGAGAGCAAGAAGAGCTCTGTGCCTTCAAGGTTGGTGTGGTACCAAGAATCCATATGAATTTTGCCCAGAATAATAAGTACAGGCGGTATGACTTTTCCAACAGCAGACACAGCCTCAAGGATAGTAATAGATGTACGATTTTCAGGGCTTGGGGTGTAGAGCTCTTTTGCTACTAGCGGTACAATTACCCGCTCACCACCTGGGATTCCTACCCGGAAGCCAGTTGCATATTCCAAATTGACTCTGGCTGTATACTACGCCATAGTACAAACTAGGTAGTCGCGAAACCAAGTAGTAACAGTAGGCTCGTCTTGAGCCTTCGTACGCTGCTGCGCAATTGGCTTTGTAGTAATAAAGTGGTATTCTTGAAGCTCATTTTTAATAAATTTTGTAAGCCAACTCTGTGATGGCGGGGGCTGTGGGCTCCGGAGTTTGCAGACTGCGGCAAATATCATATTCCTAGTAGCTCCAAGCCCTAGGTAATACTGCTCAAGTGTAAGGACACAGGGCACCCAGCTCACAGTAATAGCATATGAGAGTGCGAGTCGGAGGCTAAACGGATGCTATCCTATAGGTCTACTACGAAGGATACAAAAAAGATGAAGGGGGAACCCCGTTGAGTCTGTTTCCTTAAGTACCCGAAACGGGCCCGACTCGGTTATCCCAACCCTAGCCCTGAACCTTCCACTGCAACAGGTCTGCATCGACCCTGAACCCTACACCCTTACCGTCCCCCACTATAGTGTAACTCGCTATGTCTTCCTCTACTGGTTCGAAACCCCACCGAGTCAGATTCCATGCTTGTAGTGACCGTAACAGTTCTGAGACAGGTTCTTCGAGTATCTAGGTATGGAGGCATCCTTACATCAAGTATCCATTTCTTAAGAGCCTCAATTTGCGCAGTAGATAGCAGCTTATTCTTACCCCCGTGTTGGGGTAGCTGCTGTTGCTGAGCTTGCTGCTGCCGTCGAGCTGCTCGGGCAATACTCGACCGTATTGGCGATCGCGCGACCTTGAAAAGTCGACTGGCAGTAGTCACAGATTCTGAGGGGTTCTCTGCTAGCCATTTACAGGCATTTGATAGTGGAGTCTCTTCCATTAAATAAATTGGATTGAATTACTATATAAAATACTACGTGTGGCTATGGTAAAGGTTTTGTTACAGAGTAGCGGTAAACATATGCAAGTTGTGAGTTGGCGCAACTTGCTTCCTCTCGCGTGAAGTGGCGCATGTTGCTTACTCCAACCTTGAGCGAAGCGAAAAGTTTGGTCACGACGATTACTACCTCAGAAGTTGAAGTTCACCGAGAGGAATTTCTCTCAGCTTCGTCATAATCCGTGGCGAATGTATAGCCTGGAACGGTAGGCTTTCGGAGGATAGCAATTACCAAAGATCGCTCATATAGTAGGCTGGGAGGTATACGACGCGAGGTGGAATGTGCTAGGGAGAACCACAGTGGGATTGGATCTTGGGAAGGGGGATAGTTGGCAACTGTAAGTTTGGATATGAGCATGACGGGTGTTCGATGATTGCTTCGGCATGACTCGTTCTGAGAAATTACCGTTGAACTTGAACTCTTACCAGGCCGTGCTGGTCTACAACACTGGTTTGGGCAACATGGCATGCGTTCTTGTGATATCGAACGTACGTTCCATGCTGAAAATCACCATAGGAGGCCTTGCACGATCTAGTCCTCTCTGTGGATGTCATCTCTTTCGTGTGACACCCAAGATTCAGCCTTGGGGCGGCAAGGGGCTCAGATTCCACGCTATGCTTATTGGCATGACCGCTGCCGTGCACTTTTTTACAGCTCCCGGTAGCATAACTCTCCTCCCTTCGAAAGAAGGATACAAACACAACACCGATGCTTCGAAGCTATAGTCTGATGTCTGTCCAAGCAGACAATCGGGCATTCGCCGAGTTTGTTAATATGGTTCCTTGGATGCTATCTGAGGTATCCGCCCATTACTAATGCATAAATGCAAATGGCGAATAGTAGCAATTGGTCACAGTGATCATGGTGACAGTAATGGCAATGGTTAGCCCTACTAGAATACCATGGGCACTGTGGAGACAGAAGAGCCTCAGGCGGCCAACTTGCATGGGACACGGTGCAGCCCGATTGTCTGCTTGGACAGACATCAGACTATAGCTTCGAAGCATCGGTGTTGTGTTTGTATCCTTCTTTCGAAGGGAGGAGAGTTATGCTACCGGGAGCTGTAAGAACGTGCACGGCGGCGGCGATATCATCAGCTTCACCGCTATGGATAGGCTCTTGAAGATGTACAACGTCAAGTACTTTAGATTTCTGTTGCCATTTATCATTGATCCAGTGTGCAAATCGCAGCGTAGTCTGTATAATTCCGTGCAGACCATGCATCTGTCGTTATTGATATCCGGCCAAGTACCTCAACAATTAGCAATTGTAACGGGCGATATGGGTATTACAGGAGCTGTCTTTACCTGTACAAGGGATAACGCCTCAGCTAATACTGTTATGCTTGCGGAATATGAGAAAATAGCCAGAGACCAGGAAGTTACAACACAACAACCCTGGACGTTTAGAGTCAAGGAAGGAGATGTACGATGCATAGCCCATATTATCAATATTGCTGTTCAAGATGCTCTTAAGACTTTAAAAGCAGCCCCTGCTGAGCAAGTTAAGAGTTATCGGTGTGAGCAGGTAGCTGCGCAGATTCCAGTAAGCTTCGATAGTAATATTGAAGTTAAGAATACTCTTGGTAAGCTACGAAGACATATCTATGTATTCAGAAATTGAAGGCAATGGGAAGATGCTCTTCAAAAGCAGACTATAGCAGCTGGTCTTAAGAAGCTACAACTATCACTCGATATGCCAGTCCGGTGGAACTCAACATACGAAATGGTTTCAACAGCTATTAAGCTACAGACACCAATTACAGCGATCTGTGCTACTCAGAAAATGGATCTAAGTATGAGAGATATTGCTCCTACACCAGAGGATTGGATAACGCTCCACGCTCTTCAGAATTTCTTCTTTATATTTGTTAAGCCGTCGCAAAAGCTACAAGCAAGCTTATATCCAACGCTCAACTTCGCAATTCCTCAGTATCTAAAGATGATAAAGAAGCTTGAGGCTTTACAGAAGGAAGTTGGTATATTGTCAACGATCGGCCTAGCTTGTATCGCTGCTCATAAGAAGCTTAATGAGTACTATACGCTTGCTACGAATCAACGATGGAGTCATTCAGGGGTAGCTACAATTTGCGATCCACGTATGAATCTTAACATATTCAACAGACTTTGGCCAAGCAGTACTGAAGAAGTCAAATGGAATAGGGTTAAGCAGCAGTTCCACGACGTCTTTATTCAATATAGAGACCGCCAATACTATCTTGAAGAAGAGAAAAGGGAACTGAGGCTGATTTACCACAATTACCTACAGAACCTGACTCCAACGACGATTTATATCTCTCTCATAGTATTTACCAAGAACCAGAATGGAAGCGCTGGCTTGTTGAGCCCCGGCCAGGTCCAGCAACAGATATCCGCAAAGCAATATCAATATCCAATTATAGCTGCAATTGCTCGAGACCATTTGGCAATTCCTGCAACATCAGCTCCATCAGAACGGGTCTTTAGTAATGGAGCTGATATTCCTACGAAGAAAAGGAACAGGCTCTCTCCTGAAACGCTTCGATATTTACTCTGTTTACGAGATTGGGGTCATATACTAGAGGTTGAAGAAAGTGAAGCCGAAGACGCTGATGACGAGGGGGAAGAGTAGTTATATAAGTTATTTTATCTATTCTATTTTTATATTTTAAGCCTCATTATCCTGAAGATCCGGATATAACCCGTATCTATCCGTCAGACCTCAGACGGATCATGATCTTACCCGTGAGGGCTCAGGATCAGATCCGGATACGATCCGCCGAACACTGTACATCGTTGCTCATTTACTGCTTATTTACTGCCCATTTTTAATCAAATCCGCGATCTTCTCAGCTAGGGCGTCTATAATAGTCATCAATGCAAAACGTAGAAAGACAAAGACAGGAAAACTCACAAATTGTGCTCTGAGGGTGCCCTGGGGGTAGGACGGAAACGCACTTGCGTCAACGACACGCACTCCCTTAACACCATAAACCCGTGCATGACTGTCAACAACAGCCATACTATCGTTCGATGGACCCATCTTACAGGTGGGGCTGGCATGCTACAGGGTCTGGAGACTGCCTTTGATAGCCTTTTTGATCCTATTAGAATTGCCACGTTTGCTTAATCATCATCGTTTCTCGGACCACCCCACTTACTTGAACTTTAACATCGCCCTAAACTGTCGCAGATGAACTCGAGCGGTGGGTGGCTGAAGAAGATGTTGATGGCTTCAATCTTGGCTATGTGACTACACCGGTGACATTCAAAGATATGGTAGACCTGTTAGTCCCTGAGTTACGTAACTTAGACGTAGCATCTATCCGCAGGAGTCAAACTATGGATTGAGGGCCCGAGAGAAGGTTTATAGGTCGGGACAGGCTCATTTGAGGAGTGATCATACGGGAAGCGCATACAAGTATGACGTGTTCAAAGAAGATCCGCCGTACGTTAAGGACGCATCAGAGAAGGCGGGGCTCAATGGAAGTGGTAAGGGTCAATCTAAAGCAGTATAGGACGCGCAATGATAACCATAAAATATGCACTGCAATATTTGACTCCAAACCTTCCAGAACAGACTCTAGCAAACAGAGGGGGTGTAGCCCCAAACTCGAAATTAACCATTCTCCATACGATGAGAGATGAGTGGGAGTTGTCCTAGTAGGAGGACAAACACGGCAGATAGCTCTTCAGACTCAGTGCGAGGCAGGCCAGGCAAAGGAACACTAGCCACCCACAGCACAGTTATAAGAAGCATATAAATCCCTACAGCAGCTATAACGAAAATGCATCGAAACGCACATATCTTATACTCAATAATAAGTATGTCGATGTGTTGAGGATAATTTCTTCGAAGGATTTAGTCATGTGGCTGCTAATTTGGATATTTTCGAAAGGCTGGACATCCATGGCAGGACTTGAATAAATGGGTGGCGCGTATACTGCTACGTTCTCGTCGGCTAGACATTGTTAGTATTAAATAAAAGTTCTGTTTCCATGATGTAAGACTACCTTGAGGAGGGATTTCATATTTGCTAAAGAACGCTCGCCATCTCTCGACAGCACCAGAACGTAGCGACGGGTGTTAACTGGGACCCAAACTTCGATCCCACTGGTAAGTCTGTAGCTGTCATAGGAAATGGAGCTAGTGGCATTCAAGTTGTCCCAGAGCTGCAGAAAGTCGTCAAGCACCTCGATCACTATGGGCGGTCACGGACGTGGATTGCAGACGCCCATTAAGCGGTTTACAAAAGACGGTATTGAGACCGCAGATGGAGTTAGTTCATCGCCCCCGTGGATGCCGTAATCTGCTCGACTGGCGCTAATCGCTAATATTGATTATTCCACACCATTCCCTATCGTATCTGATGGGGTAGATCTGAGCTCCGCATGGAAGCTCGAGGGCAAGTATGGCTCCTCTATGAGAGTCCTCGGTGGCGCTTGATTGGCTATCGATGCTTTTAGAGAAGCCTTCGGAGGCTGAGGATTGAGAGTTTCGCCGCCGTCGGGGGCTACGACGTCTACCAATAAAACGACCCCCTCTACTCCTCTACTCCATCCCTGCTATGGCTGCAGCTGGCACGGACTCCATTTAATTCTACTTACAATATACATATTATCATACTGCTTTGCCCACATAAACTCTCGTACTATACAAGTACACCCAACCCAAAACAGCATCTCCCTCGGAACCCCTACCGCGTCTTCGGCCCTTCTAGCGCGCTCAATAGGGGATGGCGAGCCACGGCGAAGCAGGGGGAAGCGGGCAGGGGACGGAGGGGACGGGTGGATAGATATCCGTTCGGTATGGGGGGGATTTTGTTTGGCGATGCTGGTGATGGCGGCGTCGATTTACCCACAACTCCGCATAAAGCAGGTGGACAGTGTGGTGTGGGCAGGTGGGCAGCCCCGTGGGTATGCGTGGCAATCGTGCCATGGAGTGCGTGCAGGGGACAGCAATCAGGGAAGGGACAAGGGGCAGGACAGGGTCAGAACACGAACCAGAGACGTTGGTGAGGGGGGGGTTTTAGTGGTTTTCTCAACGTTCATCTTCTTGCTCCCTCCCACTGTTGCATCGGTGCTCTTCTTTCGTCTTCATCTCTGCCCTCACCTCACCCGCCTCACCCATCACCACCTCCCCAACCATGGGCCTCATCAACCGCATCCAAGCCAAGCTCGAGCTCTTCCGCCTCGAGCAGCGCTACACCAACCGCAAGAACCGCCGCACCGCATTCAGCTCCGACGCCATCTACGTCGACGGCGAGTACGTCTACGCCTCCTCCAACACCACCGGCTCCAGCAGCCGCAGCGACCAGAGCATGGGCAGCGCGGCCACCCGCTCCGCCACCCCCAGCACCGCCTTCGACAGCGCCAGCGCCACCGCCAAGGCCGCGAAGCGTCGATCCATGATGGTGTTCTCGGGCGAGAGCGCGGCGGATATAGAGACAAGGGTTGAGGCGGGGAATGAGATGGGGGCGCCGCAGAGGAGGTGGAGCAGGAATTGGGGGAAAAATAGGGCGGAGGAGAAGAGGAGGAGTATGGCTGTTGTGAGGGAGGCGAGGTGGGAGGATGGACAGTGAGAGACGGCTGTATGTTAGGGTCGGCGAGGATTATGCGTTACGCGTTACGACTTATGATGAAGGGGGATTTATATCACGATTTTTTGTATATGGTAGCGGTGAAGGCTGGGATGCCCCTTCTTGGACGCCTCTTGTCCGTTTCTTTCGTATTTCTTAGGGATTGGAGTATTTATGGGGGAGCCGGCTGATAGGACTGGGCGAGAAGAGTAACAATGCAAAAGCGATTACTCTGCAGCCGTGTCTTGACGAGCGTGAATTATATGCCATCGCATCGATGGTCTGGTTACTGGACATCATTTGGAATTTTTCGTATATTCGTCTATGAAGGCATTTAATGGGCATCGACAGTATTCCACTTCCATCTAAGCATCGGCCGGCTTGACGGCATACACCTCAAAGGAGCCTATACCCACGTTAGCACCACATCACACCAATGTCACAGAGTGCGAAGCCACTTACCAACCCACTCATTGAAGTCAATGTTGGCAACATCAGCCTTCTCCGTGATGGGGATCCTCGTCCCACAGCAAGACGACGACGCCACCGCCGGTGCGTCACATCCCTTCTCCTCTGCATCAGTCCTCTCCTTATAGATATTAAGATCACTCTTCTTATCCACAATCAACACATCTACATCTCGTCAGCACCATCCCTCTCACAACCACCAAATAACCCAAACAAAATCAAAATCAAAATCCGAAAGAGACTCACCCTGGAACCCAACCCCCCTCAACCACGCCTCATACTCCCCCACCAAACTCGCACCACTAATACAACCCACATACAACCCCAAATGCCCCTTCAGCTCCGGCGACAACTCCTTCCTCGCCAGAATATCACTCACAGCCACCCGTCCCCCCGGCCTCAACAACCTCCAGATCTCGGAGAAGACGAGTGCCTTGTCAGCGCCGGGGACGAGGTTGATCACGCAGTTGCTGATGATGCAGTCTGCGTCACCCGAGGGGAGGGTTGTAGCGGTGATGGGGGCTTTGACGAAGGAGACGTTTTTGAGATCGGATTTGGAGAGGTTCTTGTTGGCGAGGTCGAGCATGTCCTAGGGGGGGTTAGTTTTGGCAGTTTTTGATGTTGGGGGGGGGGGACAAGGCTTACGTCGCTGATGTCGACGCCGATGGATTTACCCGTTGGGCCGACTTTGGTGGCGGCTTGGAAGACGTCGAATCCGCCGCCGCTGCCGAGGTCGATGACTGTTTCGCCCTGGGGGGTATTAGCTTTGGCATTCTTATGTTGGGGTCGTTTATGGGCAATGCTTTGTGGATATTGTGAGAGGGAAGAGCGAGGGGGAAGAGGTCGGGCCGTAGATAGGCTGGGGACGGGAGGAGCTTGGGGAAATGGCTTAAGAATGCAGCTGAGACTCACCTCTTTCAACCCGGCGATGGCAAGCGGGTTCCCGCAGCTAACACCAAGGTTGGCGCCATCGGGGATGCTGCTGAGATCGGCGGGATTGTAGCCGAAGGAGAGGGCGACCTTGCGGATGTGCTCCTCGTTGACGGCGATGTCCTCGCGGGCGAGGGAGGAGTAGTGGTCGTTGACTTTGGCGTAGAGGTCCGACATGGTGGCGAGTGGGATGGGTGATGCGTTGAGTCTAAATTGTATTTAGCGGAAGTAAGAAGCGTGATTTATGACAGGAAGCTATTTCAAGTAGAGTGATATAACTTTGTCTGTTCAGTGATGACGGTCGTTTGTCAGCTCCCAAAGTTCTCATATTCGTATATCTGATAATAAGTGACGTGCATCGACATCTCCAGTGACATCTTCATCATCGTTGATTGGCTCGAGGAGTATACAAGTGTGGTACAACAAATACAGAGTTGTATGGCGCTAATTGTAACCACAAACTAGTCACGTGCTTGGTGACGGGCACATGGCATTAATATGTGTTGAGTAATAAATGTATGTATTCCTGAAAATCCGTACGGAGATCACGTGCGATCATGTGACTACAACAATACGTGACCTGATGTTAAAAGTTCTTTGCCATAATATTTTACATCACGTGTTGTGTACGTACACACCGCCGAAGTCAGAAACAGCCTCAATATTGGCTTCAATTAATCTCAATATTCTTACCAAGATAAGTTCACCGAAGGATTTGAAAGCGCAAAGACGTTTTTTTTTAAAAAAAAAAATGCGGGTCTGAACTTAAATCATGGGCGTGGCTGTGCTGACTGACATACGAACTGTCAACCATTGACCAATGTCAGGCTCCACAACCTTAACTCAACCATGAATGAAGCAGGTCAGAAAGTTTTGTCGTGAGCTCTAAAAATTGGCGGGACCCATGCACTTCAAAAGTGTTACGTGCCTGGCTAATATAAACCTACGTAACGCTTCGTCCCGACCTCGTCAGCTATTCGCACGTATCCAGCTATTCGCACGCATCTCACGTCCTGTATTTCAAGAGTAATGGCCACCCGCCTTTCTGTCAAGGAGAGCCCCTCGGCAAAGAGACTCCAACCATGGCGACTAGTAGTAGGATGATTTTTGGTGGAGAAGCTTCAATTGAGCTTCTTCAAGGCATTCTGATCTATCTTGCTTGGTATGTATTCTCCAATATGTAACCGCACTGTGCTGACGACGCCAAACTCTAGGAGCCACTATTATAGCCGGCCACGCGTATATACCCAGTCTCTCCAACTTGCTGTTGGTCCCAACCTTTATAGATTTATTAGCGATGCAATACCACGCTGTGGAGCTGAATCTTTATCAGATAGCCCTCCTCGATAGAAGCACGGAATCAGAAGTTCCCCGATTTATATCGTCGTCCGCGTGGCGACTTGATATCATATGCGCCGGTTTAATATCGGCCAAGTCACTACTTTCCTATTTCATTTCACTCCCAGCACGCACCCAGCTGGCAATGTCCAATTCAGAGTGGATTCAAATCGGCGTGGCTATGATCGTCGCGTCGAAGCTCTCCGTTGCAGCTCGCGGAACAACAGCTTCGAGTGAAACCCCCTCCGCGACTCTCTTGACATGCTTAGATTTGTGAAGGAAGCAGTGGCAGTTGCGAGCCAATTAGTGACCCAGGTTGTGGATGCTGACGGGCGCCGTGATATTTTCTATACTTACTGGAAGCGCGGCAAGCTCATTCAGAGCTTCCCCAAGACCCGCTAGCTTACCAATACCACCGGCAGCTTCCATGGCTATTGAGGCGGCGGAAGCCAGTCGAGTTCAGCCAGTTACACTCCGCACATACCACAACAGATGGACGATTTCTTTGGCATCGACATGGGAGCTGAAAACTTGGATAACATGCTACAAGCGGAGATGGAAGATGTCCAATTGGAAAAGATACGTTACTGAAATGTCCATATATAGTATCATGGCAGATTGGATGTCGTATCCATTGCTCCCATTTTGAAGCATTGCTGGACACCTTTCTCGAAATAGAAACACATTTAGACAACACAGAGGCAACCTCCCCCGTTCTGGCCCTTCGTTGTCGTTGCAGTCAGCTTACATATAGTAAGCGCTAGAGCGAGCACTTTTGTGACGGTTTACGCATAAGGCAGCGATTGAACGCGGCCCCGATTAAAATTGAGGTATAGCGAGAGATAAACTACGAAATTAGTGAATCCTACGGTTGTGACATGGCAGGACCCCACTTGTGTCAGTTTGCTCATAGAGCAACGAATGAGGGCAGGACCACTACTAGTTAAGGCTAGACACGAAGCTACGAGATTAAGGATCCTACGGCTGAGACATGACAGGAGCTGTCGGGGGCTAGAGGAAGCCAGGATCGGATTTAGGATGATATGTGCATTTATGCGTTTCTACGCCTATAAGAAAGTCTGATTCAGGCTGTGATATAAAACTGATATTTGCAAAACGCCAAAGGGACCGAGTACGCCAATGAACTCCAGCTACATGGATACCATCACTGATAATGAAACCGAATCCTTCAGCATTTAAGCATCCGCAGCACATTAAAGCATCCAGGCTTCACTGTGTCCGTCCGGGAATTTCCTTAAACGGTACCTTTCGACGATGATACCAAGAAATTGGCGAAGCTTAGGCCAGTCGTCTCCCACGAGGTCACTATTTTTGGTGATGAGAAATTCCAACAGCCTCGCTTCCTGTTCTGATTGGACAAACTAATCATGGACCAGGCGTGTGTAGTTTTGGTATGGACTCGGGAATCCCTGTTCATCAGCGAATCCTTCCCCATTTGGGTCTTCGATTTGCAGGATGTTATCATACTCCACAGGCAAGATAAATTTGGCATCAGGCGACATGGTAAGATGTTTTCAGCTCCCAGGACCTCATAGATCGATCACCTTTAGGTACCTTGGGGAAGCTTGATCGTCATTACTGACATGAAGACCCCCTAGACGAATTTGCTTATATCCCAGGGTCTGTAACGCCGCGCTGACAGCCACAGTGTTATATGGCCGGGATGCTCGGCGGTCTCCTCCTTGACATCGTCGGATATGTCGGGCGTGTTCAGATGCACTATAATCCCTTTACATTCAATCCGTTCCTCGAGTAAGCTTCCACCCTAGAAGTATATGGATCCGGTCTAACATTATCACAGATACCTCATCTGCCGGACCATTGGCCCCACTCTCCTGACCGCCTCGATCTACCTCTGCCTTGCCGGCATCGTCATGTATGGAGAAGGTGCCTCGCGAATCAAGCCCAGAACCTATACCCTCGTCTTCATCAGCTGTGACTTTCTCTCTCTCGACCAAGGCGGCGGTGGTGGCCTCACTGCCACAGCCAACACCATGAGCGCAAAACACACCTGGATTAGCATCATGATCGCCGGTCTCATCTTCCAGGTCGTCTTCATGCTCCTCTGTACCGACTTCGCCTTCCGTCTGCGCCGATACCCCACAAAGTCAACTCCTCTACCATCTCCGTCCGCAGCACCTTCAAATGGAAGGCCTTCTCATCTGTACTTGCCCACTGTCACTCCTCTACCGTGCCTAGCTAACACTACCTAGGCCTTGCCATCGCTACAGTGACCACCTTCGTGCGCTCCATCTTCTGCGCTGCGGAACTATACCAAGGTTTTAACGGCGCACTCGCAAACAACGAAGTCACATTTATAATCCACGAAAGCGCCATGGTCGTAATCGCTTGCATCTATCTGAGCGTGTTCCACCTAGGTATCGCCTTCGGTGGAAAGTGGGACCAGGGGAACTTCAAATTCCGCGCCCTTAAGCAGCAGGGCCTCGAGCAGACGACTGTGCCAGCATGGGAGATGACAAGTGATCAACGGAGTGCGAGGCGGGAGACAGCAAATGAGAGTGATGCCAGCCTTTAGGACCGTCACAACCAGGTTTGAGTGGGGCGGACTTTTTTTTTGGCCGGAGTCAACGCATGAGGGTGTGAGCTGGCTGGTGTTGCGATAGACATATTTTATTATATACCAAGAGGGCATTTTGGGATACGCATGGGATGAGCAACATTTGCAACTTGCTATTTGGGAATGGGGTTTTAGATGAGTATTAGAATATATAGTCTGACATTTAGTCACAAAAAATAAATTCACGTTTGAAGTTCAATGCTAAAGAGGAATGCAACTTTTCTAAACAGTATACCTAGGGTTAGCAATTCGAATATAAACTTGAATACTAGGCTATATTCATAACGTACATGTATAGCGAGCGACGCATCCAAGCGAGCGACGCACTTTATCATAACAACTATGTAAATTGAGATTAGAGAGCTGTTTTGATGATGTGCAATTTGGTTTTAATAAAGGTAGACTGTAATGAGGCTTTAATTAGGTTATTTAGTGTTTAACAAACCTAAGTTGAGCTGTACCTAGGCGGGAGCTTAGAGGCGTTAGTGTCTTTAACTTAAGATCAAGTATAGAGACCACACTCTTAGGGTTAAATGGAAGAAGTCCAGCACCTCGGAACCCTCCTTAAATATTGTAGCATGAAAGGTAGGAAAGAAGTCATCCTTTGTAATATGAGTAATATAAGCTTGTATCATATCTTTAATTTACCAACTATAAGCCTTTTTTAATAGGCTAAAACAGCTAACATCAAGTGGCTGAGCAGGCATGTAGAGAGTTATAATGTTGTGTTCTTTATAATACTCCTTAAACTCATCTAAGTGGTGGCTCTCATAGCTACTAACAAGTGATAACTACCAACACTCTGTGTCTTTGTATGCTTCTCAAAATGCTAAATCCAATCTATGCCTCTCTTGTTTGTAGTCTAGCCATTTTTAGTAATAGCAATAACTTAATTAACATACCTTAGCAAGTGTCTATAGAGTAGTTGTTGTTTTGCAGTGGAAGGAGTGACGGTGAAGAGTTGGTGGGTGAGGTATGTTCTTTGAAGCATGTGTTGTTGGGTGACGGTGTAATGTTGGGTGTAATGGTGGGTGCACCAGATATGAGAATCTAGCCACCCAAGGAAGGGATGAATTTACTAAGACAACACACTGTCTTAGGAAACAGAGCCAAAGGGTTGTAGCTTAGACTATTCCACAACGCAGCAATCAGGTGTATGATGTGGTGAAGTGGTTTAGACAAGTTGCAACAAATGTTGAGTCTGAGAACTCAGGGGTAAGTCAGAGGTTAGCACCTCACTGACTTTTCAAAAACAGAGAATAACAAGATCAATGCTTGGAAGCTTGGAAAAGACGTAGAAGTATGTGCTAGTCGATTTACTGTATTGCCTGCTTGCCCTTTCTTAAGGAAAGGGCAATCCTATTTATGCCAAAGGAGTGTAGTTCTCTTATTTTCCATGACTTTCCATGACTAACCAGGCTTGGTAAATGTATTAGAAATCAAGTGCGACCCACAACTAGCTTGCTAATCATGTAGTGAACGTAAGAGAATCCCATAGAACCATCTCTTGGGTTCCTAGCCTATAGGAAGTGAAAAGGAGGTCCAAGGTCAGAGTACCTATAGACAAATTATGTCATAACTTAACCAATCTTGTGGGTAACTTGAGCGATGACGTGTAATGAATCATAGAGGGTTGTAGAAGCTTCTAGAGCTATCGTTCATGTTCCTAGGCCTCTAGTTGGTAGAGATATGCCATGTGGTAGTATTGGCCCACCCCCTTAAGGAGGAGATTTTCTTAATAACTTGTTCAATGAGTGTCCAAATGATATGCCGTGATGTATGTAGCATAAACAGATGTAGTAGAAGAGTTTGCAGCAATCGTTGAGTAGTATTGTTTCTGTTGTTGGTGTGATAAGCCAAGATATGTATGGTGACTTGTAGGTTTGAGGAGGAGATTTCTAAGTTTGCTCTTGAGTTTGATAGCAAACTGAGTGCAACGAATGTCAGTATGACATGATCCCCCTTTTAAGGACGTTTGTTGGCTGTCTGCTTGCCCTTTAGCCAGTTGGCTTTCTTAGAAAGAAATTCTAGAATGAGCTTAGATGCATTTTTTAGATTTCTCTTAGGCTCCCAAGTGTTGTCACTTGTAGGATAGCCTTTCCACTTAACGAGGAAGTAGTCCTGACCTCTAAGTGTCTTTTTGTCAAGGATAGACTCTACTTCATATTCTGGTTGATCCAAGATCAGAACAGGAGGTGGAGGAGACTGAAGTGGTCTTAAGGAACTTTCTTGTGCCTTAGACAAGAGAGATGCATGGAAGACATTATGGATAGTCCAAGTAGGTGGTAATGCAAGCTCGAAAGCATTCTTGCCAATAGTCCTTGTGATCTTAAAAGGTCCAAGTCTTTTAGTATCAAGTTTGTCTGAAGGTCTAGTAGTTGTGATATGTCTTCTAGACAAAAAGACTTGATCACCAACTTTGAATTGTGGTGCAACCACCCCCCTGTTAAAGGCCTGAGCCTGCTCGTCTTGTGCACGCTGTATTTGAACCTTGAGATAGTCCTGGAGGCCCTTAAGGTAGATGATTCTTTCAGTAGCAGAAGGGTTTTTGAAATTTTCAGGACAATTCAGTTCTGCCACTTCAAACCTAGGGTGATAACCATAGTTTGCATAGAAAGGTGTCTCTTTTGTGGTGTTAGAGACTGTGTTGTTGTAAGCAAATTCTGCAAGATGGAGAAGATCTGCCCAGTTGTCTTGAGCATAGTTTGTATAAATTCTTAGATATTGTTCAAGTACAGAGTTGACTCTCTCTGTCTGGCCATCTGTTTGAGGGTGATAAGCTGTAGAGAAGCGTTGTTCCATGTTTAAGAGTTTAGAGAACTCCTTAAAAAAGTTTGAAGTGAAAACTGCTCCCCTATCTGAGATCCAGTGTCCAGGAATTCCATGATATTTAAAGACCACCTTGAGGAATAGCCACGCAAGTTCAGAAGCTGTGATAGTCTCATTGCAAGGCTCAAAGTGTGCCATTTTTGTGAGCCTTTCTACCACCACAAGGATAGAGTCATAAGGGGTAGCACCCCCTTTTGGGATAGAAGGAGGCAACTTGACTATAAAGTCAATGGATATGGAGTCCCATGGGCGTTCTGGTATAGGTAGAGGCTGCAAGAGGCCATAGGTCTTTTGCCGTGTAGGTTTGTTCAAGTTGCAAGTAGTGCAAGAAGATATATAGTCTTGAAGAGTAGTCCTTAGACTAGGCCAGTAGAACTTTCTTGTTAGAAGTTCATAAGTTTTTGCAAAGCCAAAGTGCCCTGCAGCTGGAGCATCATGGAACTGCTGTAGGAGGTGTAGCTGTAATCGTTTATCCCTTGGGACATAGATATAGTTCTTGAATAAGAGAAGTCCATGCTGATTTTTTGAGAAATTCTGTAGTCCAACTTTCTCAAGAGAGGAACCTTTCTTCTGGAGGTATTCCAAAGTTCTTTTCGCAAAGGGATCATGGTTGTAAGCATCTTTGAATGCTTTAAGAAGTGTTGCTGAGGGTGTATAGTCTTTAAAGGTCTCTGGTTCCTGAGAAGAGGTAATGGGGGCAACTTGGTCTTGAGGGGATAAGTTTACCCCTAAGTCCTCTGTAGTACTAGGGTTGCTTAAAGATGCTGCTATAAGCTTTGCTGAGTCTAGCAGAGCCTTTGTATTGCTAGTTTTAGCAGAATCTTGGTAGTCATGTCTTCTTGAGAGGAGATCTGCTCTTTGATTCTTGGCCCCTGAGACATGTTTTATAACAAAGTCAAAACCTCCTAGTTGTTCAGACCACCTTGCTTGTCGTCGATTGAGCTGTTTAGTGGTTGTAAAGGTCAAGAGATTTGAATGGTCACTGTAAATAGTGATAGGATAGTTTGCCCCTTCAAGGTAGCATCTCCAATGCTTTAGAGAACATACTATGGCAAGCAGTTCCTTGTCTGTAATGGGATAGTTTTGTTCAGCTGCTGATAGCTTTCTTGAGTAAAATGCCACAGGCTGTAGCTCTTCTTGTTTGTCTTTTGGAGCTTGGTATAAGATTCCAGAAATGGCAAAATCTGAGGCACCTGTCTCAAGAGTGGCAGGTTTCAAGGGGTTAAAGTGTAGTAACATTTTCCCTTCTTTAAATTCTCCTTTAAGAGCATCGAAAGCATCTTGCTGTGTCTTATCCCAGTGATACAAAGTGTCCTTGTGAAGTAATTGAGTAAGGGGTAAAGCCAAGGATGTATATCTTGGTATAAACCTCCTGTAATAGTTGGCAAACCCAAGGAAAGACTGAACCTCTTTAATGCTGGAAGGAATAGGCCACGTTTGTACTGCTTTTGTCTTTTCAGGGTCCATCTGAATGCCTTCTGTTGAAATTCTATGTCCTAAGAAATCAACTTGAGACATATGGAAAAGACATTTCTCAAGTTTGCAAAAGAGTTGTGCTTGAGATAGCTTCTCTAAGACTTGTCTAACATGTAGAACATGCTCTTGAGTGTCTAAAGAGTATATAAGAATGTCGTCTAAGTAGACAACAACAAAGATATCCAAGTAAGGTCTTAGAATATCATTCATGAGAGCTTGGAAAGAAGCAGGTGCATTGGCAAGCCCAAAAGGCATTACCTGGTATTCAAAATGACCATAGCGTGTTCTGAATGCTGTCTTCCACTCATCACCTTCCTTGATGCGTATCAGGTTATAAGCTCCCCTGAGATCTAACTTGGTAAAGATCCTTGCTGAAGAGAGCCTATCTATGAGCTCAGGGATAAGGGGTAAAGCATATCTGTTTTTAACAGTGACTGCATTAAGGCCCCTATAATCAACACAGAGACGCAAGGAGCCATCTTTCTTCTTGACAAAGAGAATGGGAGCTCCTGCTGGTGAGGAAGAAGGTCTGATAAAGCCAGAACTAAGGTTCTCATCTAGGTATTCTCTGAGAGTTTTCAGCTCTAATTCAGATAGAGAGTAGATAGGGCCGTACGGAGGCATTGAGCCTTCTGCGAGTGGTATCTCATGGTCATAAGGCTGGTGCTTTGGCAGAATTGATGCCTTTGCCTTGTCAAAAAGATGTTGGTAGTCTTGGTATGCTAAAGGCAAAATGACCTCCTGAGATGATTTCTCCAAATCTGAAGTAGCTGCTATCTCCAGGACAGGTTGGAAAGGTTTAACCCATATCAGAGATGATATATCGTCCATAGTTTGGTCAAAATCCTTGATCTGGGACAAGTTTGAGTCTTGGACCTGAATAGGGGTAACTGAGGCTTGAAGGGTTTTTTCAGTATTGAGCTCAGGATTTGAGCTAAACCCAAGCGATAAATGCTTCCAATTGATAGTTGGATCATGCCTTTGAAGCCATGGAAGACCTAGGATAACTGGGTACTTCATTGGTATAACATCTAAAGAGATGGTGTCTGAAAATGTTGATTTTCCTAGGGGAATCTCAAGTTTGAGTACTGGGGTGTTGCAGGTAATGGAACCTGAACTGATAGGAGTTCCATCAATGACTCGGAGCAACTCTGGAGTGCGTTTGGGAATTGTAGGTAACTGGTGTGTCAAGATGAGGTCTTGAGATATAAAGTTGCCTGTTGCCCCTGAGTCTATCATAGCCCTTGTAGACAACACCTGTTGTTTGAAATGGAGTTGAATAGGGATTAACAGGTGTGTGAGACTCTGAGAAAGCACCATCGACACATCTTTGTTGTCTAGGGGAGAAGTTATAGTCTCAGTTGAAGTTGTGCCTGCTAGGGATTTTTCAAGTTTTTCAGGAATAGCAGTTGTGACTGTGTCTGAGGCTGCTATATGTTTTGAATCAGCACTCCCTCGTGCTGAATAGCACTCCTGAATTCTGTGTCCCCCTTTGCCACAGTATAAACAAAGGTTGTTGTCCATTCTGTGTTTTCTTTCTTGAGGGGTAAGTTTACCCCTTTTCAGTTTTTGAGGGTATCCTGTAGGCTGAGGTGCTGGATTTGCTGTAGATCTCTTTATAGAGGCGTCTAAGTCCATAGGTTCAGGTGCTGAGTCCTTAGCAGTTGGTGTAGAGGTGTAATTGTTGAAATTTCTTGTTGGATGCCAGTCTTGGTTCTTCTCCTTTCTTCTTTCAAAAAGCCTATCATCGAGTCTGACAGCTTTCTCTATAAGCGTTTGAAGTGTTGTAGGGCGTTCTTCTTTGCTGAGTTCATCCTTAATAGAGCTCTTGAGCCCTTGGTAGTAAGTGAAGACTAAGGCTTCTTCATTCCAAGTCAAGTGAGAAGTGATTCTCCTAAATTCTGTTGTATACTGAGCAGCAGAGGTCTTTTGACATAGCTTCTGTAGCTCTCTTTCTGCTGTAGCAGTTTCGTTGATGTCTCCAAAGGTCCTGGTAAGTTCCTCTTGAAACTGGTCATAAGAGGTAATCAAAGGTGTAGTGGTATTTTGGTTGTTGCCACTAAGTCTTCTAAGATATGGCTCAAAGAAGTTGAATGCAGATCCACGGAGGTAGCTGGCAGCGAAATAGATCTTCTGAATGTCTGAGGTGAACTGATGAGGCCTGAGGGTGAAGTAGATGTCCAGTTGCATAAGAAATCCCTTCAACTTCCTCCTGTCTCCATGGTATAAATCTGGTGTTTGCACTTTAGGAAGTGCACCTGGGGTACTCGAAATAGCCAGAGGAGCTGTGGGAAGCTCTGTATGATGTGTCTGAGTTGAAGATTGTGTTGCTGAAGTGTTGGCTTGAAAGGTGTTTTCCAAATTCTCAAGTTTGTTTGCTATAGTTTGTATAAAGGCAAACAGTTGTTGCATCTGCTGTTCAGCAGTAGTTGTAGGAGCTTGGTCGTCCTCCATTGTAGTATCGAAGTGCTGCTATAGAAATAGTTGAAGCTTGAAGCAGGCAAGGTGTAATGGTGGGTGCACCAGATATGAGAATCTAGCCACCCAAGGAAGGGATGAATTTACTAAGACAACACACTGTCTTAGGAAACAGAGCCAAAGGGTTGTAGCTTAGACTATTCCACAACGCAGCAATCAGGTGTATGATGTGGTGAAGTGGTTTAGACAAGTTGCAACAAATGTTGAGTCTGAGAACTCAGGGGTAAGTCAGAGGTTAGCACCTCACTGACTTTTCAAAAACAGAGAATAACAAGATCAATGCTTGGAAGCTTGGAAAAGATGTAGAAGTATGTGCTAGTCGATTTACTGTATTGCCTGCTTGCCCTTTCTTAAGGAAAGGGCAATCCTATTTATGCCAAAGGAGTGTAGTTCTCTCATTTTCCATGACTTTCCATGACTAACCAGGCTTGGTAAATGTATTAGAAATCAAGTGCGACCCACAACTAGCTTGCTAATCATGTAGTGAACGTAAGAGAATCCCATAGAACCATCTCTTGGGTTCCTAGCCTATAGGAAGTGAAAAGGAGGTCCAAGGTCAGAGTACCTATAGATAAATTATGTCATAACTTAACCAATCTTGTGGGTAACTAAGGAGCGATGACGTGTAATGAATCATAGAGGGTTGTAGAAGCTTCTAGAGCTATCGTTCATGTTCCTAGGCCTCTAGTTGGTAGAGATATGCCATGTGGTAGTATTGGCCCACCCCCTTAAGGAGGAGATTTTCTTAATAACTTGTTCAATGAGTGTTCAAATGATATGCCGTGATGTATGTAGCATAAACAGATGTAGTAGAAGAGTTTGCAGCAATCGTTGAGTAGTATTGCTTCTGTTGTTGGTGTGATAAGCCAAGATATGTATGGTGACTTGTAGGTTTGAGGAGGAGATTTCTAAGTTTGCTCTTGAGTTTGATAGCAAACTGAGTGCAACGAATGTCAGTATGACACTATCGTTCATGCTCCTAGGCCTCTAGTTGGTAGAGATATGTCATGTAATGAATCATAGAGGGTTGTAGAGATATGCTATGTGGTAACGCGATATTGCTTGTATTTGGAGCGGAAATTGATATGTCCAGTGCCGTCATCATGAACGTGACCACTTGCAACACGACTCTGGCTGTTTAATTTGTTCGACTTGTAAAGAGCGAAGGATATGACGGGCTTAGGATCAGCTGGGTCGTCGTGGGACTTATGGGGCTGAGATCCGTTCAACTTGATTCCGGTGATGATAGGGACCTTGGCAGCGATGCCTTCGACGAATGTTTCAGTGCTTTTTTGGAATGCAGGCTCCTTGATGGCTGCAACAGCTTTGGCCAATGAGGACTTGATTGGGCCAGACATGATGGTAGAGCGTGGAGGACTTGATTATCGATGGGATATTGAAAGAATGATATATGAACGAGGCTAATAATTGATGAGGTTCTGCTTGCTAAGGAAATGCCCAAGTTTATATAACTTGAGGTCTCTGCAGCTTGTGGCGATGATGCATTGTAGCTTGCCGCTGACTTGACTACCTGCGATATAATAGGCTCTTAGAGACATACTTACACATGAGACGGACAAGACTCTGCGGCTAGAATGTGATCAAGAGCAAGGGGACTGGCGTTCGTAGCACTACCAGCCAGATATCGAAACATGGTGGCCCATGGCTCTTGTCATACTGACATTCGTTGCACTCAGTTTGCTATCAAACTCAAGAGCAAACTTAGAAATCTCCTCCTCAAACCTACAAGTCACCATACATATCTGGGCTTATCACACCAACAACAGAAGCAATACTACTCAACGATTGCTGCAAACTCTTCTACTACATCTGTTTATGCTACATACATCACGGCATATCATTTGAACACTCATTGAACAAGTTATTAAGAAAATCTCCTCCTTAAGGGGGTGGGCCAATACTACCACATGGCATATCTCTACCAACTAGAGGCCTAGGAACATGAACGATAGCTCTAGAAGCTTCTACAACCCTCTATGATTCATTACACGTCATCGCTCCTTAGTTACCCACAAGATTGGTTAAGTTATGACATAATTTGTCTATAGGTACTCTGACCTTGGACCTCCTTTTCACTTCCTATAGGCTAGGAACCCAAGAGATGGTTCTATGGGATTCTCTTACGTTCACTACATGATTAGCAAGCTAGTTGTGGGTCGCACTTGATTTCTAATACATTTACCAAGCCTGGTTAGTCATGGAAAGTCATGGAAAATAAGAGAACTACACTCCTTTGGCATAAATAGGATTGCCCTTTCCTTAAGAAAGGGCAAGCAGGCAATACAGTAAATCGACTAGCACATACTTCTACGTCTTTTCCAAGCTTCCAAGCATTGATCTTGTTATTCTCTGTTTTTGAAAAGTCAGTGAGGTGCTAACCTCTGACTTACCCCTGAGTTCTCAGACTCAACATTTGTTGCAACTTGTCTAAACCACTTCACCACATCATACACCTGATTGCTGCGTTGTGGAATAGTCTAAGCTACAACCCTTTGGCTCTGTTTCCTAAGACAGTGTGTTGTCTTAGTAAATTCATCCCTTCCTTGGGTGGCTAGATTCTCATATCTGGTGCACCCACCATTACAGCTCTCTCGAATGAGTCTCTTAACAATGCTGGACCATGACCCTATGGCAGCAGCTAACCAGTGTGATTCTCCCTAGAACCGCTCGGAGACGGCCGAGATTCTGCAATGATCCTGCACATATTCTAAGGCTGCTTTGACGCGCAGATCTGCGAGTGATGAGGGTAGCGGAGGGATTCATTAATCAGCCCAAGGGGCTTCCCCTTGCCACCCGCTGCCGCATTACGCTATATCCACTGACTAACGATGACCCAACCTGCTCCAACACGAGATCCTTGCAAGTCGACATCTATAGGCCTATATTCCCTGTTAAAGTTATTACTGCCAAATAGACCTATTTTTGAAGCGCCACATGGGCTGGAGCGCGCGCGTAAATTGTCTCGGGGCTACTCGAAGTGAGGCCTTGGATTTGGATCACCTGATAACACCAACCTAATCAGGTTAGCTGTAGATAGGTAACCACCCCTGTGCGTAGCACCACCTATTAATAGAGCAGAACATTTTGCCCACGAATCAATGAACTAACGACCTTCTTCCAGCGGTTACCTACCCGAAGTCACCCTAGCCATCCACCTTCGCCATTACTTACCGACCAGAGATATTTGATTTCCATGTTTTCTCGTCTTCGTATATTCTTGTGGCCTCGCACTATCCCCTTATTTCGCGCATGCCGCGCTACATCGCGGTCCATGTCATCCTCAGCCAACCCATTTGAAGAAGAGAGGGAGATTGGCTTCGAAAAGTTCTATCCAATGACCTTGGGCGAAGTCATTAATGAAAAGTATAAGGTCGTGGCAAAACTTGGCTTCGGATCAGCAAGCACGATATGGTGCTGTCGTAACCTAGCGTGAGTGTAACTCAGAGGGTGTAAGGTGGAGTCTACTCGGTGTTCCACCCACTCGCTTCGCTCGTAGGTGGCGACAGCAAGTTGTGCGTGCGACAGCAAGATGTGCGTACACCGCTATTTTGATATATAGAAAAAATAATAGTATTCTTCATAACGTAGTATCTACAATGCCTCAAAATAACGATCCTACTATGATTGCTCGCCTTAATGAGGCCCAACAGTTCTTCTTAAAACAACCAAGTACATATACAATTGCTTGGGTTGCAAATAAATTCAATGTCAACCGTGAGACACTCCGACGTCGTATTACGAGTACTACGTCTCCTCAATTACCCCACGGAGGTAGCAATCGAGTCTTATCTCAATCGCAAGAGACCGCGGTCTGTCAATTCATATACGACCAACTTGAGCGCGGGGTCCCTGCCAACCGATCTATGATACTACGGGCAGTTGCAGACTTACGACCTAATCGTACGATACCATCACAACGGTGGCTACAACGCTTTCTAAAAGCACACCCTGAATTTCATACAATTCACACGAAGACGTTAAATACACATCGGAAGCAAGCACAAAAGAAAGAGGTGTTTGAGGAATTCTTTCTCACATATAACGCCCTTATTACAAAACATAACATTAAGCCATATAATTTATGGAATGTTGATGAGACAGGCTATATGATTGGGTGTTATAAGTCTACGGCTGTTATTGTACCAATCGGTGTAAAGCAGTGGACTGTTGATAATCCTGAGAATCGGCTCTCTGTTACTGTAATTGAGGCAGTAAATGCAAGTGGTGCTGCACTTGCAGAAGCTATCATTATCCCTGGCAAACTTCATATGGATTCATGGTACAATGATGACCTTGAGCCAAATGCTCTCATTATTGTAAATGAGAGCGGGTATTCAAACGACGACATTGCAATCCAATACCTTATGCATTTTATCCAACTATCTGCAGAGCATATGGCACCAGATGATACTCGCCTCTTATTACTTGACGGCCATGACTCTAATAAAACAGAGCGCTTTCTTACATTAGCAGAAGAGCATAACATTGTTATTTGCTGCCTTCCTGCTCATACAACACATCTATTACAACCTCTTGATGTAGCGGTTTTTAAGCAGTGCAAACACTTTCATCAAAAGGCACTTGATCAAGCAGTACGTAGCTACGACTATGAGTATAAGCTACGTACGTTCCTTTCAGACCTCCCGCAAATCCGACGGCAATCTCTAACTGTCCGTACAATTCAATCTGGTTGGAGAAATACAGGACTATATCCATATAATCCTCCACTTGTAATTGACAAGATACAAGAGACTCGGAATCAAACACCTGATTATGAGCCATTTGCTTCATATAATATTATCTCAACACCGAAAACAACTATGCAAAGTGTGCAAGCGGTTGAACATTGGCAGAAGAGAGCAGAGGAAGCTTTCTCATCGCCTTCAAGAGAAGGGTTTCAATCATTTGCACGTGGAACTACAGTTGTTCTACACCGGGCAGAGCTCTATAAGACCGAGCTAGATATTATGACTCTACGTGCAGTAGAGCAGAAGGCAGCAAAGGCAAGGGCACGGAAATCACTACAGAAAGGAGGGCAGTTATATGCATCAGATGCACGGAAAATGCGGGAAGAGAAGAAAGCAAAGTTGCAAGCAAAAGCAGACGCAAGAGCAGCAAGGGAATCGGACCAAGTAGTAAAGCAGCTACAAGCGCAAGCACGTAAAATCGAAATTGAAGAGCGTAAGGTTGAGAGGAAGCGGGTAGCAGAGCGGAAGAAGGAAGGGTTGAAATCAAAAGTGATCATTTTACGGTATAGTAAGGATCAAAGTGATAGTAGCAATAGTGGCAGTAGCGATAGTGATAGTAGTTCTATTGATTTTATGTTTTAATTATATAGTTATATAGTTGATATATAAGGCGTCTTTTTCTTCGTTTTATGTGTCGCACATCTTGCTGTCGCACGCACAACTTGCTGTCGCCACCTACGAGCGAAGCGAGTGGGTGGAACACCGAGTAGCATTAACCAGATATACCAGCACGGATAAATATGCCGCACTAAAAATTTACGCCCACGATTTGGTTGCAGAAGATGAGATTGACAACGAAACTGCCATCTACAAACATCTTAGCACCGTGGGGAACCCCAACCATCCAGGCAAGGCGTATGTCCGCACTATTCAGGACTCGTTCTCTATTACGAGTAGAGCAGGGAATCACCATCAATGTCTAGTTCACGAGGTTCTTTCTAACGATATATTGAGCCTCCGGTATACTCGCCCAGATTGTAAACTGCCCGAGATAATGCTCAAGCAAATTTTGATCCATTTGCTGCTCGCACTAGACTTCTTGCATAGCGAATGCCATATCATCCACACAGGTTAGGTCGCTCTTCTTACTATGCTTTAGAAAACATTTTAACAGAATGCCAGATATAAAAGAGGAGAATATCTTGCTGGGTTTGACCGATTCATCTATCGTGGAACAGCTGGACACAAAAGAAATCGCGGCATCGAGCTTTTATAAAGGTGTTAACGGGTACAATCTCTACAAAAGCGCAAATTTTGGTATTCCAACGAGATTTGGACGCCCGATCCTGTGTGACTTCTCACTCGCTCGGAAAGGACAGGTCGAGCACTGTCATGACATTCAGCCGGATCCTTACCGGGCTCCCGAAGTCATTCTAGAGATGCCCTGGGGCTATGCTGTGGATATATGGAACGTCGGGGTCATGGTGCGAGATTTCCCTGCATATAGCTAATAGCACAATACGTCGTAGCGAAACTAATGAGGCTTCTAGGTCTGGGACATGTTTGAGAATAGACGTATGTTCGATGGGCTTGACCCCGAGACTGGCAAGTATGGGAACCGCTTCCACCTTGCTAGTATAGCTGGTCTATTAGGACCTCCTCCCCTCGAGTTCCTCCAACGAAGCGAGTGCAGCTCCGTTTACTTCGATGATAGAGGTAAGCCTTTGATTCCAAGAATGTGCATTCGACAATCTAATATACATACGACAGGCAACTGGAAGTGTCTGAATCCTGTCCTATCAGTGTCTTGGGAAGATTCCGAGAGAAATCTCGAGGGCAACAATAAGAAAGGCTTCCTCGACTTCGTCCGCAAAATGGTCAGGTGGACACCAGAATCGAGAGCGTCGCCCTCTGAGCTATTAGAAGACCCTTGGCTTCTTGGAGAAGTGGAGGAGTAAGGAGTCGGTCTTGGTTTGATAAATGGGCAGCCACTAGGTAGATGGCGATGGTGAAACGGATTAAGGGCCACCATGGCGCTTGACAGCCACGTGGAAACTGATAGTTCTTTTGATATCGATGTCACTCACTCTAGCTCTATTTCTCTAGATTCCCCAGCATCTTATTGCTGCCATTAGAGCGCAGATTATATCAAACACTGTGTGTTGCGGGTGGACTGGCATTTAGCAAAGCGTTAGGCATTGACGTGCGAGCAGGAAAACCAAACTGGGTTGCAGCATCGTATCCGTAAGCTTCCTGACTATTTAATTTGAGAAAGCGGGATGGAGGGGATGGGATTCGCAAGCCCCGAGGTTGTCTGGAATCTCATCAAGGTGGCATTTACTTGCTGCTATATAAAACTCAATCGCTACGAGGATTAGCCGGTGGTGAGCTATGTACACGTGATTGAGAACACGTCATCCTTTGTGATCACAAGCGACAGCCTGAAAAGCCCATTCCTACAATTCCCTCGCCATTAAGTACCAGACTCCTCACCCTGTGACACCTATCCCTTTAAAGCCGGCATATATCTTAAATCTGTTCGAAATACCAGTCGTGACGACGTGCGATTTAAGATGACATCTGGACGAAAACCCTCGTGGTTTTGGGACCGCCGGGCGCTGGCAAGGCTACCACTATAGGTTGCATGCTCTTTAAAGTTGGTCTAGGCAGCTTACTGACAGTACATACTCTAACATCACCATAGTACGGGGGTATAGACATGATGACCATGCAGCGATTCCAGCAGGAGGGGGTTCGTACCTACGACCAAGCATCAAGGAAATTGAAAAGCCTCAAAATTGCACCAAGCTTTGATACTCCAAAACATCACGTCACGATAGTTGGTGCGTATTTTAAGTCGGTGGAGAACGAACCAAGATTTAACAAGATGTCAGATGTCAGTGCTAGCGAAGCAGATTGTACAATTATCGTGCTCTCTGCAGATACTGTAGCACATGGGATTGCAGCACAGAGCCTTTTTGCTGCTGCGAAACAACCGATTATACTCATCAATAAGATGTGAGTTGTGCATTCATACACCCCCAAACTCTGCTTATGATGTGTCAGGGACGGAATTGAATGGTCTGAAGAGCAATTTCAGAAAATCGTCCAAGAACTTGGCTATAACCCAGAGAAGTATTTAGTGGTCCTAAGAATCATGTTGGCTTCTCTCTAACCTCTACAGCGTTCCTATCATCCCCATCTCGGCATTGAAAGGTGACAACATCACTGACAGGTTACCATCTCCTAAAAGTCCGTGGTACAAGGGCTGGAAGAAGAATGGTCAGAGCGGAACAAGTCTTCTGGAGGCCCTTGATGTGGCGCTCGGGAGTTGAAGAAGGTGTGGTGTCAGTTCTTGGGTGTCGAATATCGGATAGCGAAGAAGTACCATGCCCCCCAGATATACCATTAAATACAATGGAAGTATTTATTGTTTCAACCCCTGCAATTTCTTCACGATTTCTGGATGTCGTGTCGCACGTGACAAAGGTGTCCGTCCCTCGTTATCTTTGCCTTCAACGTCAATACCTTTGATCTTTAGTAATATCTCGACGATGTCCAGATAGCCATAACCTGCAGCAAAAGAAAGAGCACTACGCCCGCTCCTATCTTTCTTATTCACGTCCAAAAGCCCCGAATCAAGGAGTATTTGCACTGTCTGGGGGGCGTTATTCAAGAGAGCCCATGCCAATGGCGTCCAACCGTCCACATCTTCTTCATCGATCCCGTGGCTATCATGCTGGATCCAATATTTGACCACCTTGTGATGGCCGCCCGCACAAGCCCACGACAATGCACTTCGCCCATCTCTGTCCTTTCTGGATTGATCAACACGCCCGCTTCGCAGGAGAAAGGCAACTGTTTCCATGTGTCCATTACCTGCTGCCCAAGACAATGCAGATCGACCTTTGTGATCTGGTTCGTCGGCCCTGACATCTTTCAGGCTCATGAGATATCTTACGAGCTCAAGCTCACCTGCCGAAGCGGCCCAAGACAGCGTATTTCGACCTGACCTGTCCGCGTGAATCACAGAAACACGACCGTCTGTAATGAGCAACCGGACCATGTCCAAGTTTTTCCCAGCAACGGACCAGAATAAGGGCGTCCAGTGGCCGATATCCGCTATATCGGGTTGGATTTGACTGTGTTGGAGAAGTTGCCTGGCGACATCGACGAAGCCATTACAGGCAGCTATGGATAAAGGTGTCCGACCGCCCATCGCAGCATGATTGACTCGGTACTCATTTCGTTCAAAGATAAATCCCTCGTCTTTCAAGAGGCGCTTCACCACATCTAAGCGGTTGAATTGAACAGCAGCAATGAGAGCATTTTGGCCGTCAACAATCCTCTTGTCCGGACTGATTTCCTCTCGAAGGAGAAGATCTACTACGTCACGATGTCCCATACGTGATGCCCAGTATACACTGTACGCCCCTATATCTGATTCGATGGAAATACCCTTGCGCAAGAGAAATTTCAGGCTTGACAAATGACCAAAATAACTCGCCGTCACGACGGAGGAAAAATCTCGAGGACAAGACATATGCATCTCTGCGTAATGCCAGTAGAATCTCAACCAGTTTAATCCAATAGAACTGCTCCCATTTGACAATAAATTCACGGATTCTTGTAATTCAGGCGGGCTTATTGAGCCGGCTGATAGGAAATGCTCCGCCCAATGCCTCGCAGCATAGCCAAATAATAAGTACTGTGTTGTAATAGATACACAGGCTTCTGCCTCGGATTCTTCGGAGTCCTTAAACAGGTTGTCTTCTCCCAAATCAAACGGATCCCACGTCTGTTCGATACTTCCCACGTCGTCGTGAATCGTGAGTGTAGAATCTGGAGAACCTGTGGTATCTGATCGATCCTTTGAGAAGAGGTCATCTTTGAAATCCTCAAGCAACAGATACGACACACAAGCCTTGGCTAATAATAAGTTTGCCTTGCTTGGGTCGATGCCGTAGGTGGCTGAAAGAGGGCTCTCCGTCCGAGTTAAAAGACCGTGAAGGAACTCCTTGAGAGACTGATGAACCAGATAGATCCGGGAATCCCAAACCCTCACTAGTGGACCCAATACCCCCTCGATTGTTTTTCGCATATTCGGTTGGGCATCTTCTTCGACTTCGGCCACATTGCGGTGATGGTCCTGTACTGCAATTAGAATTCGCATTTCATCTAGAGTCAGTGGTCTTGAGCTTCCGACGAGGAAATGAAGCAGCCTAGTAGCGAGCGTTTGGTATTCTGTGGAGATGCCCTGCAGGAATCGTTCGTACGTGGTGGTCAAATTATTCGGCAATTCATCAATGATGCGCATGAAATCCCTTTGCGACGCCAAAAGGCTCCTTTCTAGGAGATGGAGGACGAGCATGACCCAAAGGAAAGTTCGATCAGCTTTTGAATACAAAGCATTCTCAAGGTATGCTCTTGCAGCAGGCTTGCACTGAGTTCGCTTCGCGATGCCATCAACTTTGGTCTGTATCACCAGCCTTAGATCTTGCTCGATGTGGCTTTGGGATTGGTCAATTTGCAGATAGTTCGTGGTATACACGCGCCCTAAAAAAGGTCGGCTTGTTATAAGGAACCTGATGCAAGGAGTGCTGGAGCCCGTCGATCGCGACCGGTCTATGAGCTCGACGATGCTTCTTAGAAAGCGTTCTCTCGTTCTCTCTTCACACTCGTCAATAGCATCGATGATAACGCTGATAGGCCCTATCCGCTTGTCCCCAGCCATTGCAACGAAGATTCTCCACAGTTCATTGAAACTTCTGTCAAACTGTGGGCCGTGAAAATCGTACGCAGTCTTGACGTACTTGATTAACAAACGACGCCGGACAGGGAGCTGATGGATGATACTCCTGAGAATAGCCTTGCCGTCTCTCTGCGTGTCAATCTTCTCGTCACAAAAAAAGTAGCACAGTGTCGTACGAAGGCCCGGGGACAATTCGCCTGCGCTGAGATATTCTAGAAGATAAGCCGAGAGAATGGTTTTCCCGCTCCCGGGATATCCACTAATCCAGAGGAGGCACGTTTCATTCTGCAAGCTCCAATCACGGTACTGCGAATTTGACAAAATCCACTGACAAGTACCCTCTACGCGGCTGGGAAGAGATGACTTGTACTCAGCCACATTTTGTGTATTTTGTGTCAGAAGTGCCATGCACTTTCTCTCCACATCGTTTAAGGCTCGCATTGATATTTAGCTTCTTTGCACTATAATTAGGGGCTAAGACTACGTACAGGAAGCTGCAGAAGCTGTTGTCATTTGACTGGGAGACCCAGTCTTCAAGTTCGCAATATTTCTCTCCATTTCAAGTAAGTCATGTTCCTTTCTCTTCTGTATGTTGCTTATGAGGATCTGGATCTCTCCCGAAACTTGCCGGTACCCTTCATCGTCTCTGCTCGGATATCGGCACATCGACATGTGGTTTGCGTTTATGGTTTGGGTTGGTTCAGTGCCAGTGAGTGAAGATGAGAAAGGTTCCACAACCTAGTGAACTATAAACTAACGTCAATTAGAATAGAGGAGGTCACTGGAACTAACCCTCTCATTCATTTTAAGATAGCTTATTCCCGTCACACCCTTAGCTTCTTGAAAGGTCAATACTTTGAAATGACGATCGTTCTGCCCATAGAGCCTCATAAATAGCTCGTGTATAAGCTCAAGTTCGGTGCTATCGATCTGGAGGCTTCGGATGTTTTGATTTGTTGTATCGAATCCTGAAACCGAAACAATTTTTCGAAGAACTTCAGCAATTTCGGCCTTACCACTTCCTCGATGTGGCGTCCCAAGAAAAAGTATTGCCTCGGTGGATGCATAGATATCTTTCATATCAAATTCCGTATCGGTAGCGGCGCGGCGAAGGACCTGCAGATTTGGTCGTTAACGATTCATCCACAAGCTGGCTGGCTATGCCATGTCCATGATACGCTCACATCTTTCACGATGATCCCTTTCACTTATTAGCCACAGCATCCACTTTACATGGGTTGTGAGGATTGCTTACCGCCCAGAGAATGTGCGACAAATATGAGGCTCCTCTGTTGCTATTAGATGCTTTAGCAAAAATACCGTAGACACAGTGTCATGAACTAACGGAACCCAATCTGCAGATCCTTAATGCAGCAAGTAGATTTTTAGCATGTGCAGTTATATTGCTTTGGCTCGCAGGTCCACTGAAATAGTGTGAGACTTTTGAATCATAGCCCCATGTGAGAATCCGAGCATTTGAACAATCTCCAGGAAGAAGATCAAGAGGCCAAAAAACCTCATGTGTTCGATGCTCGTGCCCATCTTCGGACCCTATTTTATGTTTGAATGACAACAGTTTCCTAATTCCCCAAGGTGAAATTCTGGTTGTTTTATTCGAGTTTTCCAGGTTTGGCGCAGTACTGTTGCAAGTCCATGTTTTTCGGGGGTGGCCTTGTAAGCCATGGACAAAGATAATGCTGCAAAAGCAGTCAGAGGGTTGTAGAAGCTATCGCGGAACGTAGATTCACTCTGCTATGGCTTCTTTCGGATCGTGAAGGGTGGAAATCCCAGTGTCGTTAATTCTGGGCTTTTGTTTTGACGGTGGGCCCTCCTATTCCCGGCCCTTGTTAGCTCTTAGCCTAAGCTTTCATCGGAACGCTCAACATACCATTTCTCTTTACTTGTGCGCAACGGTATAGTATCACTTGGGTAGTGAACGTTACTGTGGGACTGAATTGCCAACATTTCGTCTTTGGGCCTGACAAATGGTGGTGCAGGGGTGGTCTTTCTAAACGAGAAGCTCCCTGCGATGCTGCCTGGTGAGTCCTCACCGCCTAATTGTGCATACAGCAGACTCGGTGGACGAAACCAATTTGAGTCAAGCACGCGAAGTAAACATATAATATAAGGCAGAATGAGTCTGGCCTCGTCTCATTAAAGCGGCAACTATAGTATGGTCTCAACGTAGCGTTATTTCGTTATTTTAAGTTGGAGTTCGCAAGTATATATCGGGATTATGGCTAGCTCCTTTGATCCCTACTTGCACGCCATAAGTTGTCACGTGAGACAAAAATTGAATCTGCGATTCGCCGCGTTCATGATCAATACATAGAGACTTATGGAGTAGTTTCCCTCTCCATTACATTGCCTCGAACTCTAATATTCGTTCACGGTTTATCGTAACTTCCTTCTCCCAAGTATTCTCAGCCGCTGGACGACCCTTCCACTGAACAAAATATTCAATCTTTCCTCTCCGTTCTCGTTTTTTGAGTAACTGCACGCCCAAATAGTTCCCTCGATAGCTCGCCTCAAAGTCATTGATGAGATCTGAATTGATGTCGTTCCGTTTCTGCCACGTATTATCCTCATCCCGGAAGCCTGCCCACTTCACGAGGTACCAAATCACGTTGCCTACTTTTGACTTGGCAAGTAGCGCTTCAACCTCCCACCTCGCTTCCGTGGCGTCGATGGCAACTAGATTGCTTTCTACTCCTTGGCTGCTACGAAGCGGCTGAACCTCCGCGCTTTCTATGTTTCCTGATGTAGTTGACAGTATGCTTCCGTGAGCATCCTCGGTCGAGTCAGCCGTTCCTGGTAGAATTGATGTGGAAGAAGGAAGAGCATCTTGAAGCTGTGGATCAAGCAAGTCCATCGAAAACCTGGATGGATATCTTTCCCCGCTTTCTTTAGCTGAGTTCGTTATCTTGCGTTTCTTGCACTTAGAGGTCTGCGAGCGGTTCTTCAGCTTTGTGGTGTAGTGCACTTGCAACGACCCTTTGGTCCTTTCCGGGAAGTATTCTGCAATTTCGTCCCATGGCAATTTGTCATCCTCTTTCAGCTGTATCAACAGTTCGTCGTCGTCTTCTGAATATGTCGAATGCCTACCAGGTCTGCTCACAATTCGTTCTCGCAAAGGCGGTCGCTTTCTCTGCTTCTGCAGAGCTGGCCGTGATTTCTTTGCATGAGATGCGCAAACCCGTGGATGAGCTGAATCCCCAACTGATTCCCCGCTAGACGTGGAATTTGATATGTGGAGACCGATTGATGGTCTGAACGAATCTGGAAGATCTAGCAGCCTGAACTCTAGGTTGTAAGTCGTCTCTCGTCCGATCCTCACGCACTTGAGGAAGCCCTGGAAGGGGTATTCTTGGTAGTCCGCGCCTAGAATTGACTCCGCATCGGCTGATGAACTACGAGAAACTGTAGAACCTCGAGTAGTGCAGGTCTGGGCTTGGGCTATAGTGGATGAGCGCGTATGGACGTTCTTTCGGGTGGCGGTGTCAGTCGCGTCAGACTCTATGTGGCGGCGCTTTCGTCGTCTTGGAGGCCGCACGTCCTCGTCCTCGTCATCCTCATTATCCTCATTGTCCTCATTGTCCTCATTGTCCTTATGATATGATTTGATGCTGCGTTCGCGGCCCTGTGAGAGAGGGGCCATGGTCTCGTCTTCCAGGGGTTGGTTCCGAAGGCTCTCCTTTATTTGCTGGCAGTAGCTAATCGCCTCTGTGTCGTCCTCTTCCTCGTAATCGTCTTCGTCTTGATCTTCTTGCTCTTTTTGTTGGCAATGCTGCTGTTCAACCGTCTTTTCCCACAATCGCTCTTCGCTCGAAATACCTCTAACGTCTGTATTATTTTGACTTTCCTGGTCCATCTGATTGTATTGCGAGTGAGGTGCGCTGGAAGGCGGCGGTCCTTCTGCTTCTTCTGAAGTTTGTCGTAGTTCATCCTCGATATTGCAGACGCTGCTAGGGTCGCACGATCCACCAGCTCTCTCGTGCAGAGGGCTATAATGAGAAGGCCTTATTTCGTCGACTATGGCCTTCTCGACACCCTGGCGAATTTGATCCTGACCTGTTGTCTCAGCCGGCTCAGAGCAATTTGGAGAAGGTCGTCGAACCTGAACAGGGAATGTCAAGTCCAGCTCTGCGAAAGACGGGCGCTGTTTGGAGAAACAATCGGCATAGAGGTATTCCGAGTCTCGAGGAGTAGACGGGCCAAATAGACTGCTCGGGGTCGAGGCGGTATCTTGAGTGGCCAGGCCATACTCGCTCGCGTCTTGGTTCGCAATGCTGGCAAGGAGATCGCTCGAGGCAACTCCAGCCTCAGCGTCGTCGTCGCTGTTATCTTCGATAATTAGGGGCTCTTCTGCGTCGAATTAGTAAGGTGTATAGGCATACAACAGCCAGCTGTAACGCTGACTTCTAAACGATAGAAGACACAGAGGTTCTCTTGCGTAAGGGTTTACTTATCAGAGGAGGCAGGGGATCAGACACAAAGGCTTCAAGTAACACGTTACTAGTATATAACAAATACTGTATTGAGTTGAGCACGAAGCTCCTATCTAAGGAAATACTATCTACTTATATAGTGGCGTCGTGCCTAGTGGACTCTTGGGAACTCACTCGAGTCCTCGGAGTCCTGGACTCTTAGGACTCTTCTCATCATCCTGCGAGTCCATCACGTGCCTAGTGGACTCCTGGGAACTCACTCGAGTCCTCGGAGTCCTGGACTCTTAGGACTCTTCTCATCATCCTGCGAGTCCGTCACGTGATACTTTCGGAACTACTATTCCCCGCTGCCCCTCCAGGTACCAGGGCCGGTCTCATGCGACCTCCCTCCTTCCTGTCCTGTAGTTGGCCAGCCTTCTTGTTCCGTCGTAACACCAGCTAAGAAACCTACTTTGAGTATTGCCTGGCACATAGGCCGGGTTCGGGGTTGTGTCATCAGTAAGCAGACGGCCCTCGTCGATCAGTTGGCGCTTCGAGATATAAAGGGGCTTGTGGTTTTGATGTGGCACCTGAGGGATGTCTCTGTTTTGAGGAGGGCGAAGCAGCTCTTCAGGTGATGGAGGAGAGTCATCTAACGAGTCGTTATCTTGAACATCCCCCGCAGACATTGCAGGTGGCGATCTGCTGGGTTGTAGAGGCAGTCGGTGCTTGTTCAACACCGACTTCGTCAGCTGAGCGTGTGAGGCCTTTAAGGCGGGTTTGGGGTTGGGGTTATAGAATTCAACGCAGTTCATGTTCACAGTAGCCATGCTGACACAAGAGTAGGACATGAGTGGGAGAATGGTTTTTAGAACGAGACTCTCGAGCGGAATGAAGGAGTTATATAGAGTCGGACGGTCGCTCTGCTGTTGGCTCGCTAGAATTTGCGAGCCCCCCTTGCTTCCCTGCTAAAGATGCAACTTCACTGCCAAGCTGGTCTTCACGCTCCGTGTGTCCCCTCATCCTTTTCCGTGCTCCGCAGCAAGGCAGTGACCTTTCCGCCACATGCTTGACCCCGATTCAGACATATGCGTCAAAGAGAGGCAAGACACATCGTATTCCGACGCATTCTTATGATTGCGTCGGAATACGACTCATAGTCCGGACATGATTTCTCCTTTTGGCAGCAGAGGGGCCGACCGCAGCGCTACACTTTCAGCTGGAACAGTGAAGGCGATCGCTTTGAAAGCCTAGGTCAGACGACTCTACCAGATTGCAATAGTTGTCCACTCTCCATATCCATTTATCCGCAATCCCAGTAGTATTCCCGAATGAGCGCCTCGAAACGAAGGTGAACGGCAACAACCTGCAACACAGGGACGGTCGCGGCCGCGACGGCCTTCGAGAGGGATCTCCACTTCGATCTCGAATCGGCCCTTCTCTCGAAAACCAGCCTAGACTGAGGCAGAGCTCGCTGCCAGTGCCTGCAACTCGCAACGTTGCAAAATGTGCCGCGCGGCGGTCTGCGCAAGAACCGGCCACGTCACCGCGAGGCATTTTTGCGATTGGCTAGGTCGTCGCGCAAGGCACTCTCGAGGCAGCTTGCGCATGCCACAGTTGCAAGAGGCTTCAGATGTGCGCGGCGACGGCGAAGGGCGCGAGAGAGGCAGGTCGAGCGGAACACAGCTCAGCTCGTCCTCGCATCTTGACCGATCCGACGGCCAGACGTCGAAACGCTCAAAGGGATCGTTGCCATCGCAAAGAGCTCGGTGGCATGGACGGCGCAGTCATTGGAGGGCGTAACTCGAGGTTGTGGCTCTGCGAAGCGTTCATGTGCCACTGCGGGTTTTCAGCTGCGGCGAGGCCGAGAAGGGCGATCCGTTGGGTGGAGCTATCATGCAGTGTGGAGTGGGCGGAGGGGGCCAAGCGTCGCGCGATGAGCGCAGCAGGTGCGAGAAAGTTGGGAGGGAGGAGCGACGGTGGAAAGGGACAGAGTCGGAGGGAGGGAGTGGCCTCTTTTATAGAAGTTGAAAGCGGCGGCAGGCCCGTGCACGCGCGTTGCCCGATCGGGCGGGCGCCAAACTCAGCGTGGCATACCTCGCGACTGAGATTATATAGATAAAGTTGGCAGCCTATCACATGTTATACCACTCAATCGAACACGTGATAGTAACCGGTTTGCCAAGAAACCACTAGGCCTGGTTTTCCAACCCGGGTGGTCCGGGTTGGAAAATCTTCAGACTGGCGGTTTGGAACCGTCGGTCCGCCGTGGCGCACGCTACCAATCACGAGATTCAGCATTTGGGTATCAAGTTACCGTGAACAGAAATCTCAAAAGTCGTCGCATTCAGCGACCAGCGCCGGCAGAGACGCCCAATTCTCTTGAGTCTATGGTCGTATGTGATTACTACATGATTATCAGAAGATATATACCATATAAACCCTCTAGCACCCCAGCTCTACTCCAGGTTAAAATCCTCCGAGACCCACAGCTAAATATGCGGTATATACTCCGACCACCCTCACCGAGTCATACGCGCTCAACGGCAAGCTCCTCAACCCAATAACATCCTCAACCAAGATATAGAGCCGAAACAAACAGTAAAAGAAGCACAAAAACGTGCAAGGTCCAAGCAAACGAGGTGGAATGGGCGCATCTGGCGGGTCGTCCGGCGACACAGCCCTAAGCCTCTTCGTCCAACCCATCTTACTCCTCCTCGGGTCAAGGCAGGATAATCGACATGTTTCCTCTCTGCTGGAATCGGCAGGGACAAGTCTTCGGCGTCCAGCACAAATCCTCCCATATCAGCAAGAAAGCATGGGCCAACGTCCATCTAGCAAACCCGACATCACGGAATTTCTACAAAAATCACTAGTCGGAAATGGGAGAAAGTAGCTAAGGCGGGCTTGAGCTGAATCACGTGCAGGCACAGACCCGATTTGGGTAACAGGACATGTGATACTGAAATAAGCGAAACCCGCTAGTGCAGAGAACCCAACTAGACAAGCGAGTGCCGGGATTATCCCCGGATTATCCCCGAAAAGGCACGCGAGGACCCGGCCGGTACGAAAATGTCAAGGACTAAGGAGTGAAGAAACGATCACGTGCACAGTTCACTAGCCGCCGTCGTGATTACCGTCGTGTCAGTTCTTTCCGAGGATGGAGTTGCAGTTGCGGATGGGGGGAGACGGCGGAGATGAACCGAGGGGAAGTAGGAGGAGGAGGAGGGGCTAGTGTATTGGATTGTATATGCTGCTGTACAACTGAATGCACCGCACGGCCTATCAAAACATCCGGCTCAATAACGACTCGCGTGCGGGTCATGTCATAGCACCGGCAGCGGCTGATGCTACTGTACTTGGCGCAAAACACAATGCCATGCATGTCCCAGCTGGCGAGAAAAACGTATGGAATATGTACGCCATTACTCGAGAAATCAATAAGTGATAAGAGACGAACGAGTTGGCAGGATCCCAGCAGGATCTAGCCTTCCTTGGAGCAAGGTCCAATCTCACGTCCGTACACATCCCTACACGTCCGTACCTGGTACACATCCTACACATCCCTACACGTCCGTACTCGGTACACATCCTACCCTACACATCCCTACACATCCCTACACATCCCTACACATCCCTACACATCCCTACTCCCTACACATCCCTACACTCCCTACACATCCCTACACTCCCTACGTACACATTCCTACACTCCCTACACATCCCTATACTACACATCCCTACACTCCCTACACATCCCTATACTACACATTCCTACACTCCCTACACATCCCTATACTACACATCCCTACACTCCCTACACATCCCTATACTACACATTCCTACACTCCCTACACATCCCTATACTACACATCCCTACACTCCCTACACATCCCTATACTACACATTCCTACACTCCCTACACATCCCTATACTACACATCCCTACACTCCCTACACATCCCTACACTCCCTACCGCGCCTAGACGCATGGGGATAGTCGAGCATGGTTAGAGGGCGTTAGCACATATTCTCGGGTTTTTAGACTAACTGGAGAGTTTCAGCGAGCGTTTCAGCAACTGAACTGACTAAACTGCACTAAACTGCACTAAACTGCACTGAATTGCACTAAACTGCACTAAACTGCACTAAACTGCACTAAACTGCACTAAATTGCACTAAACTGCCATCGCCGCCGCCCAACCAACGCCACTTACTGGCCCGTCCTACCAATCAACTCCTCCTCACTCCTCCTCGCTCCTCCTCACTCCTTCTCACTCCTTTTCCTCTACAAACTCTCTACAAAACTCCCTAACCATAATCACTCTCTAATCACCACCCAATCATCTCCTCCCCGCTTCTAAATCAAATAACTACAAATCAACTAATCTACAAATCTACAACTAAACTACTTACCACCCCCCCATACCACCCGTAACTTACCACACGTACCATTCCCCTACCGCTCCTTCACCGCGACAGCCTGAACAATCCATCCCCCACTCACCTCACTCAGATGGGAGGTTTAAAAAAAAATCTCGTCCGACCGTGCCCCCCCCGTTTGGCACCGTTTGGCACCGTTCCCACCGTTTGGCACCGTTCCCACCGTTGGCACCGTTCCCCCCCCTTTTGGCACCGTTGGCACCGTTCCCCCGTTTGGCACACCGTTCCCCCGTTTGGTGCACCGTTCCCCCGTTTGGCACACCGTTCCCCCCTTTTGGCACCGTTGGCACCGTTCCCCCCCGTTTGGTGTTCTTGTCATTGCCGCTGCTACCGTCATCATCTCCCCATCTCTCCGCAAAGTCCCCCAGAAGTCCCTCCCAGGGCGGCCCATCCAATCCATATCATCATCGGTTTCGGCTTCGGCTGTACTCGTACTTTGGGTCAAGAATTTAACAGGGGACCCATGTACGTAGTTCCATCTCAACGCTGTCTTAAAAAAGTTGCGAGAAATAATAATATATACATAACATTACTCGGGTTTTTATTGGACTACTCTACTACATTTATTAATCCAAAGTACCACTACTCCTCGCCCGCCCAATCACATCCTCCACAACTCCAATCCCTCTTATCAGTTACCGACCCTGCCATTCTCACTTGCCTCATCGAATCGATTTCGCCCCCGCATTGACGTCCAACCAGACCCCAGCCCGGCGATTCTATATAACAAACTTTCCAATACAATACCACGGACGCCTGCCGCGTCTTCACCAAGCACTCCCGTCCGCCTATCTACCCGAGTCATCGCCATTTGACCGCCGCCTCCCCGTCACCCTCACCGTCACCCTCACCCTCACCGTCACCCTCACCGTCACCCTCACCCTCACCCTCACCGACGCCTCTCTCATGCTTCGTTAAGAGGTTCACTCTCCGTCGAGCGACACATCCTCACTTCACCCTCACTCCATCCTCACTCCATCCTCACTCCACCATCACCATGACGATCGCATTCCAGATGCCGGCTCCAGCCACCCACTACAACCCTCACCCACCGCAATACCCATCACAACAGTTTTCCCTCTACAGCTCTCAGCCCGTCTCCCCCGCCTCCTCGAACCCAACAACACCGCAAGGCTCCTCCCCGACCTCCCCCAGACCGAGCACCCACCTCTCAGCGCACACCCGCCAACTCCGCCCCCCGAAGTCCCCCCTCTACGTCCCCGCCGTCCTTCGACCCTCCCAGCCCCCCCGCCGAAAGACGGGCACAGGAACCCTTACCCCGCCGAGCACCAACGACGGCCTCGACGCCCGCGCGCTCCTGCGCTCCGACTCCGATAACGGGAAATGGGGACTCGGGCGCCTCATGGACAGCGAGTGGCGCGGAAAACCGCTCGGTCGCGTGACTGATCTCCCCTCTCGGGATCACTGGAAGGTTAGTAGAATTGCCCCCTCTCGGCAAATGTGAAGCCGAGGTGAAGTCGAGGCAGAAAGCTAACATGCATACCCTAGCCCGACGCCGATGCTACCGTCTGCGATGCCCTCTCGTGTACTCGCAGCTTCTCGTACTTCACAAGACGCCATCATTGTCGCCGCTGCGGCAACATTTTCTGCGACACCCACTCCCCCCACCTCGTCCCACTCGACCAAAACGCCTCCTTCCACCCCCTCGGCCACCGCAGCCGCGCCTGCGAGTTCTGCTGGAGCGAGTCCAAAGGCTGGGAAGTCTCGCGCAGCTCCCGCACCGGCAGCTGCAACGGGAGCGACAGCATCCACGGCGGCGGCGGCGGGAGCGTCAGCGGGAGCGTCAGCGGGAGCGGGAGCGAGGATGGGAGCGAGGGCATGCCAGCGACGCCGGTGATTAGCTGCAGAGGGAGCGGTGCGTTTGGTGCAACGGATGTGGGGAAGGCGATGCCGGAGAGCGTGTCGGCGAGTGTGCCGAGGGATTGGAATTGGAGCACGTTTTGAAGTGCCGTGATGGGCGGATTTATGGATAGCACTCTTTTTATGCGGGGACCAGCAGATGGATCCAGTGGGTGATGAAGAGGCGATAAGAGCCCGATTCGAGGTGGAGGATGAGCTGGAATGCGGGAATATAGATGAGGCAAGCATGGGTCGATTCTGTCACGACCACCGACCACGGCTCCGGGTCTCCTCATGCCCAGCATCCGATGAGTCCCTTTGACGACCCCGACGACCCCGACGACCCCGACGACCCTGACGAACATCTAGTCACATCACGGGACACAAGCACGATCTGCCGAGAACTATCACCGACATCGACCGATTCATAGCATCACACCAGCCGTTTAGCGTTGATTTTCGGGATTTACCTTCATTTTTTGTATTCCTCTTACCGCGTTGGCCAGCGTCTCACGAGACTTTTACTCAAGCGATATAGACAGTCCTAATTAGCGTTGAATTTGTGCATTTACAGACACCATCTGCCAAACCTTGTTCTTCATCGTCCCTTCCCGTGGCAGTGATCTGTATCCCGAGAAACTACGTAGCACACAAGTCCTCCAAAATACCCAACATCCGTCTCTGCATCCCCAATAGCTCCGACTCCGTTATCCCTCCCCCTACACCCCCATCGTACCTAATCAACTCTGGTCTTGTCCCGAAAAACGGTACGCCGAGCCTATGAAGTTTTCCACCCATCTCGCCCACCATTTGGCATTGTGCACGGTATACCTTCCCATCAAACGCTCGTAGCTCCTCTGCTCCGTCAGACGCCCGAGTCTCTGTTACTTGTCCTCCGACTGCGCGCCTGGTGACCTATTAGCTGTGCCCACATCAAATGTCCGCTGGGGGTGGGAACGTACAACACCTCATCTACCTTCCTCTGCCCAACCTTCCTCGCCTCAATCTTCATCGCCAACTCCCGACGGCCAGCACACCACTGTGTTTCATGCTCGTGTTGCGTTTGTATCAGCTGTACCTCTCGTCAGCGCCCATCCCAAGTGGTGAGTCCCATCGAATCCCATCCCATAGCATCCAACCCAGAGTACAGTACGCACCTTCCGAATCTCCCCCACAACCCTCTCATTACTAGCCACACTCCACATCACACACCTCAACGCAGTCGGCCAATCCGTAATCTTCGACGCATCCTGTGCCGGCGCCGCTGCAGCAGGTGGTGGTTGTGGTGGTGACGGGACCTCAACATGCGGACGAGGCTGAGGGATCGGCGCGGAGAAGTGGTAGGGGTTTGAAGGGTTTGAGGGGGTTTGCTGGTCGCCTTGCTGAGATTGTGGTGCGAGTGCAGAGAGGGTACGCAGGATATCTGCAAGATTCGGCGGCGGGTTGGCCATTTCGTCAATGACCGTTCCATTCGTCCCAAGAATCCAAATCGTAGACCAATGGTTCTACTCCCCATGCCTCTCGCAGCCGGAGAAACAATCCGCAGCCTCACTACCAAAACCTCACATCCAAGGCACCCACCACCCACACCCAGACGCTAGCCCCAGACAGCTTCGAAAATATCTCCGGGACGTCCCAATTAATACCCTCCTCCAACCTCACGCGCGGTTCACCTGGCACTCCCACGTCACAACACACAACAAACCCATAACAATGGCACGCTCCCCAGCCGACGCCACGCGCTTCACCTCCACCACCCCCCACGCCACGAAGCCCTTTTACCCGACCTCCTCGAACCCGGGCCCATCCACTCTCCCATCGAATGAAGCCGCCGCCGCACCGGCGGGCGAGACGCCGCAGCAGAAGGTGAGGCGGCTGAGGGAGGCGGCGAATCGGGCGAGGGAGGGACGGCTGACGGGGTTTGATCGCGTGGTCATGACGGGGAGGGTGTGGGCGGATCGGGCGCATAGGGTTACGGCGTTGGGGTTGATTGGGGTTACTTGTGAGTACTCCCTACTTTTCCATTCCCTTTCCCTTTTCGGGGAGGAGAGGGGGGGGGGGGATTCCTTCTACGATTATGGCGGAGATAGGAGGGGGTGTGGGGTTGGGATTGGGAAGTATAGAGGGACAAATGGCTAACTGACTCCCAACAGGCATCGCGGGCGCAGTAACAGTCTACGCCCTAGGAGACATGATGATCTACAACCGCCGCCGCCGCCGCGAATACTTCGCGGAGCAAAAAGCCATCAACGAAGCAGCCACCCAAGACGCCGCCGTGGCCCTGCGCAGCGGCACCGCCACAGCCGAACAACTCAAGCTCCTCGAGCAGCAGCGCGGCCAGGCCGCCGTGGCGGCTGAGATGAGACAGAAGGCGCAGGAGATGCGGGAAGCCAGGGCGAATGCCGCGGCTGCACCGGTGGCAGCGGAGAAGGGGGAGGGAAAGGGGATAATGGCGTCCGCGACGGGGTGGTTGTTTAAGGGGCTGAAGACGGAGGATAGGCCGGAGGTGGGGTATGGGAATGCGGTTGGTGAGAGGGGGGTGGCGAGGGCGGTGGAGGCGAGGAGGGCGGAGGTGGCTGCGACGGAGAGGGAGAGGGAAGCGAATGGGGGACCGCTGGATAGGTTGGGGACGGAGGAGGAGGAGGAGGGGAAGGGTGGTTGGACGAGTTTCATGACGCGGAAGTAGGGGGGTGATGTGAGATGTGTTTGTTAGTTTGTGTATAACTATGTGTATATCGTGGGGTGTAAGATAGAGCATGTAGCGGCGTATATGGTGGTATTAGGGCCAGAAAAATAGAATCCCCGCCCGAACCTTATGGAAAGGAAGTTCCTCTGAGGAAACTTGGTATATATTGTCTCGTTTGAATTTCTCCCAAAAACATCTTTGTCTCTCCTGAACTGCCCTAAACGAAACTGGTATGTCGTTTATTCTCGCGCGGTATCGCTCTTACTACTGCCCACGCACGTTGATTCGAACTTTCTTCAAAGAAGCTGGTATCTCGTGTCTCGTCCAAACTCTCAAAGAAACCGGCATCTGCGGCCTCGTCCGAAATTCCTCAAACCTGACATCTCCCAGCCCGTCCCAACATCCCCCAATCAAAACCTGGCATCCCCCAGCCCGTCCCAACATCCCCCAATCAAAACCTGGCATATCTCATCCCACCTCTCACCCCCTCCCCCCTTCCTCCAACTGCAACCCAACCTCTACCTCAACACCCCCGGCCTCGCCTCCTTATTCCACACCACCCGACTCCTCACCCACTCGACCGCCTCCTTCACCCCCGCCCCCGTCAACGCACTGCACGGCAACACCCTACTATCCCTAATCCCCGCCCCCCTCGCCCCCTCAAACACCCTCTTCACAAGCCCCTCCTTAATCCGCACCACCTCCACGCAATCCTCCCTATCCTGCTTATTCGCCAACACCAGCAGCGGGACTCCACTCGTGTCTTGGTGCGCCAGCACTGATTCCAGGACGGCCCTGCACTCTGCCAACCTCCCGTCTTCCTCCCCCCCGGCACTAGTCCCGCCAATATCCGCCCCATCCAAACCGCCCTCGACGCCGGATCCGATGTCGGTGGAATCGACGAGGAAAATGATGGCGTGGCAAGAGGCGTAGTAGGACTGCCACAGCCGCCGCAAGCTCTCCTGCCCCCCGATGTCCCATACTTTGAGATACATGTCCGGCAGGTCGATGGTAGCGACGTTTTGGCCGACGGTGGGGACGGTTTTGGTGGCGGGCGCGGGGCGGGAGGGGTGGTAGTGGGATTTGATTTGGGAGAGGAGGGTGGTTTTGCCGGCGTTGTCGAGGCCGAGGAGGAGGATGGAGAATTCTGGGGGGGGGGGGGGAGGTTGGGTTATCTGGTGCAAGAGGTGGTTGTGTGGGGAGAGGGGATGGAGGGGTAGAGGGGCGTACCTTCTTTGCTGGTGACGTGCAGGTAAACGGACTTTGCTAGGTGATACATGACTTGGCGGGTGGGGGCATTGAAGCGCGGGAGGTCAGGTCGAGAGATGACAAGGTGCTGCAGCTGTGTACTGTATCGTCAAGCAGATAGCGAGTGTATTTGGATGTGGTGATGCGGTGAGTGGTGATGTGGTGATGTGGTGAGTGGTGATGTGGTGATGTGGTGATGTGGTGATGTGGTGATGTGGTGATGTGGTGATGTGGTGATGTGGTGATGTGGTGATGTGGTGTTGTCAGGTTGTTTGGCGCAGTCGAGATAGTTGTAATGGTACCTACCCCTGCGCAAGGCTGAGACGCCATGCGCAAGGCTGAGACGATGTGTAAGGGCTGAGAGTGGGGTGGCGTCAGGTGACAGGTCAGTTTCGAGGCTGTAGGGGATGATGGATGGTGGTATGAAGTCACGTGGATGGATGGGATGGATGGTGGTATGAAGTCACGTGGATAGATGGGATGGATGGTGGTATGAAGTCACGTGGATGGATGGGATGGATGGTGGTATGAAGTCACGTGGATGGATGGGATGGATGTGGTATGAAAGTCACGTGGGTGGTGGATGGATCCGGTGATGGCAGAACTTCCTTCCTTCACGTGCAAACCAAAAAGCGTCTCCCTCGTCTCTCTCTCAACCAGAAAATGTGTTGGTGCCACCCACGGCGGAGCGGAGCGGGATCTGCTTTTGTTGGGAAGCGATGGGATTATATTGAGATGTTGAGATATTGATTGATATCGACATCTACGATACACGAGTGTATTGAATTATGAGAGGAGATGACCCTCGATATCTCGATATCTCAATATCTCAATATCTCAACATCTCAATATCGAGGTATGTCAATATCTCCCACATACCGAGGTTGCTGTAAGGCGACATTTCCCACATTTCTGACCTGGATATTCCTGCTTTCCTACCCAACTCACCGCCGACACTCTTCCCTCCTCAACAAAAAAACAGAAAGAGCCATATACAGCCATATACAACAACCAAACACCACACAATTGTACCGTCTTGTACTATCTTGTACCCTCACTACTGTTTTCATACCTGCTGAGACAAGGAAGGTCTCACTTGCAATTGCGCCTCTTAACAATCCCCCGTCGCTTCGCCGAGGCTCAATTCTTCTCATCCACCCTCTAAAACATACGTAGGTCTAGTACGCCGACCATATATCTTCCTATATTCTTCTTCCCTATCTTCATCTTCATCTTCATCTTCATTCTTCATTCTTCATTCTTCATTCTTCATTCTTCATTCTTCATTCTCCACACTTCCTCAATTCCAACCTGAAGTATCACCCTCCTCCCATCTCTCCTTCTCTCCTCTCCTCTCCTCTCCTCTCCTCCTCTCCTCCTCTCCTCCTCTCCTCCCCTCCTCCCCTCCTCCCCTCCTCCTCTCCTCTCCTCTCCTCGCATTCGCGTCCAACCTACACAGACCTCGACCCATCCTCCCGGGTTGATCGAGGCCCCGTTCGAACCACCTCCTACCCTCACCGACCAAAACACCAGATCAACCGCCGCCATGTCCCCAAACATCTACTTCAGCTTCCCCTCCAACGCCCTCATCCAATTCCCCCCCTCCTCCGACCCCTCCACCCTTCCCCCTCCCCCGCGGGCACCGCCTCCTTCGCCCCCCCCTTCACCATCCCCGCCAGCATCTACAACTCCGCCTACGACGCCCGCGTCCCCCTAACCATCGCCTCCGTCTACGCCGTCACCGTCGTGACCCTCAACAAGGTCAACGCCGCGCGCGGCAACAAGCCATGGGCCATCTCCAAGACCGCCGCCTTCCGCTGGCTCGTCGTCCTCCACAACGTCCTCCTGGCCCTCTACTCCGCCTGGACCTTCGTGGGGATGTACAAGGGCCTCTCGCGCACCATTCCCTCCGTCTACGGCCCCGACGGCGTCATCGGCGTCGTCGACTCGCTGTGTAAGCTGCACGGCCCCGCCGGCACGGAGAACGCTATCGCCTACTCGCCTGGCACGTCGTCGTGGCAGGATGCCCCTGGTCTTGAGGGCGGCAGGCTGTGGAATGAGGGATTGGCGTTTTATGGATACTTCTTCTACCTGTCCAAGTTCTACGAGGTCGTTGATACGGCTATCATTCTCGCCAAGGGGAAGCGCAGTTCTACGCTCCAGACTTACCACCACGCCGGCGCTATGCTCTGCATGTGGGCTGGGATGCGCTTCATGACTCCCGCTATCTGGATGTTCTGCTTCTTCAACTCCGGCGTCCACGCCCTGATGGTACGTCCCCCTTATCCCCCCCCGCACAATCTTTTATTCCTGGCTAGACCAAGCTAATACCCCGCACAGTACACATACTACACCATAACCTCCTTCTCCGTCCGCGTCCCCAAGGCCATCAAGCAAACCCTCACCACCCTCCAAATCTCCCAATTCATAATCGGCGTCTACTACGCCGCCGCACACTCCTTTGTCTCCTACGACATCCCCGCCTCCTCCACCTCCGCCAGCTCGCCCTCCGCATTCCCCGCACCCTCACCAAACCGCAAGGTCCTCTACGCCGGACCTGCTGGAGCGGCGGACCAGAAGTACGAGACGGTCAGCTGTATCAACACCAGCGGCCAGACGTTCGCGGTGTGGTTGAATGTGTTTTACCTGGGCCCGCTGATGTATCTGTTCATGCGCTTCTTTTATCGCTCGTATATCCGTCGCGCGTCGCCGAGGGTTGCCGGGGGAAAGGGGGCCGCTGCTGCGGCGGCGGTGGTGGGGGCTGGGAAGGGGGGTAAGAGGGTGTAAGAACGCGAAGATGAGGAATGATGGTTTGAAGGTTGAGATGGGTGGTGCTTCTGAGGGTGCAGCCGGGAGATTGGGAAGCGAGGTTGAGAAGCTAAGGGGTTGCTCGAGATTGAATGCACCTCCGTCGCGGAGCGGATAGACCGGCTCGTGCAGGATGGAAGACCGCCACGGTGGGAGCGGAGGAGGACACGGGGAGTCGGAGCATGGCATTGCAGGCGTTATTCCGGGTCAACAAAAACTGATCATGTGTGGAACGGTAGAGGTGAACTGCAGGTAGAAATCTACAGCACACACAGACAAACAACGATGCTTGGTATAGTTGAATCCCTTCGTTTTAATGTCTACTTCTATTGATGACGTCGTGACCCTGCCTGTCCTGCCCTGCCTGTCCTGTTGATATACTGTACAATACCATATGTGCGTCCATCCTCGAACGACACGCCTATGACACTGCTGAAGCTCCCCCCGCGCTCACGAAGCTCCCCCCGCGCTCACGAAGCACCACCCCGCCCAAAGAACACCGACGAAAGCGACTTCTTCAGCTTAGCCGCCTTCCTCCCCTTATCCGCTTTCCCACTTCCACTCCCACTCCCATCATCCCCCCCCTCCCCACTCACCTCCTCCTTATCCACCTCACCCCCCACCTCATCCCTATCCTCCCCCCTCTCAGCAGTCCGCTCCCCCCTCCTCGACCTTCGCAACCCCAACCCCCTCAACGACGAAATACTCCTCCTCCCCCGGGTCTGCTGTTCCGCCACCCCCAACAAATCCCTCGCAGCGCGATCAGCCTGGACCTGCTCCACAAGGACGCCTAGGAGCGTGCGTCCTCCGACCGCAAGGCACGACAAGTGCATCGGCAGGAACTTAATCGTACCGCGTCGCGGCGGCACGGCGAGCGCCTCGTCGAGAAACTGCGCCATGGCGACGGCGTTGCAGTCGTTGTCGTGGGCCTGGCAGAGGGCGGGGGGGGCGCTGATGGTGAGGATGTAGGAGGGGTCGAGGGTGTGGTCGTGCAGGAGGTAGGCGGTATAGAAGAGGGAGATGGTGATGGAGGATTGGGGGCGGTTGTAGAGGTGCGAGAGGGCGTGGGAGAGGTTGTAGAGGGTGTATTTGTCTGATATCTTTGAGGGTCTTTAGCTCCATGTTCTTCAGGGAGGGTTGTTTCTTTGGTTCGGAGGAGGGGAATGAAGGTGGGGAGGTAGAGGGGGGGGGGTTCACATCGGAACTCGTAACCAGCTCGGCCACCACAGGAAAGTCATCTTCCATCTTCGCTTTCGCCCTCCTAATCGCCTGCTCTTCGGCCTCGATATCGGCGTCCATGGCGCCTTTTTTCCAGGAGAAGGTCGTAAACCTGCTGGCGTCCTTGTCCTTGTCTTTGTTCTTCTCTGGCGAGGAGCTACCGTCGTGGTATTGCTGGTCTAGGTCCGGGATGAAGGGGGGTGGGTCGGTGTGGCGGCGGCCGCCTGGCATGCCTGGCATGCCTGACATGCTTGGATGAGATGCGGGTTTCTTGTAGCTGGGAATGGTGGGATGCCTCGAGCGGCGGTATGAATTGAAGAAAGCTGTTTTGATTGATGCCTTTGGAGCTATTCAAAAACTATATCGAGTTGTTGGAGGAAGATCGGGGTGGGAGGAAGGTATATGTGATGAGGATATGTTATGATAGTGTGGGAACGGAAGGAGGTGTGATGTGCATGAGAATGGAAAGAACGATGTGGACAGAGATCGCACCTGCCTAGATGTCGACCATAACTAATAAATGAATGTGCACAGGTGGCACCTGCCTCATCGGTGACTATGCTGATGAAAGTATATAACAACCGAGTCACCCACCACATAGAGCCCCATACTGAACCGTCTCAGTGATGATGAAATAAACATTCCTGGACAAAAGTATTAAATACACCTGACAAACACAGAGACATATTTTAACGTCCCAAAGCAAACAGCACAAACGCCATCCAAGGCGCAGCCAAGGGACCCATTCCTCCATTACCCCAGTATCCGACCCACCAGACCATCACACATCACATGCAACCCGTCAAAACATCAGCGGTGGCTCCCTTTCTTCCCCCCTCTTCAAGACAGAGCGGGACTCCCCTTTCTCGCCGCCATCAAGTTAACCTTCTTATCCTGCACAACCGCCATGGTGCCCGCCACTCCAATCAGCGCGAACAGCGGGATCATCATGATAGTCAAGTACAGGCCCGCCTCAGCCTGTTTGCAGATGCGGTGGAAGTCCGGCTCGGAGGTCATGGCGACGTCAGACCAGTGGCAGGACCAGCTCTGGATTGTTGCCGTGACGTCGGAGGCGTTGATGCCGTAGAAGAAGGTGGTTGCGACGATGGCCGAGACGAGGCCGGCGAAGGCGGAGAGAAGGGTGAGGAGGGTGTGGAGGGAGGTGTTGCAGCGGAACTGAGGGAGGGAGGTTAGTAGGTGGTTTAATATGGTGATGGGGGAAAGTAGGACTTACAGATGGGATCTTGCGGGCGAGGAGGGACCCAGTGGCCGCAACGATCATGATTGATCCGCAGGCAACGAGGGCGATGCTAGGGCCGAGGTTAAACTCGAACGGCCATAGTGGCAGCAGGAACTCGTTGGAGACGTGGGTGTCGTTGTAGATCTTGAGGTTGTGTGCTGAGGTGGCTAGAATTCCGATGGCCAACATGAGGGCGAGGACGCTGAGGCCCATGCGGCCGGCTTCGAGGGCGCGCGAGGGGCCGGGGTGCCTCTCGTTATGGTCGAACTGGGAGGATTCATGGTACTCTGGCGAGAAGGACGCTTGCTTGATGTCGGAACCCATGGCGGTGGTGGTGATTGGGGTGGAGGTGGAAGTGGAAGTGGAAGTGGGAGGGGGAGTGTTGTTGGGACGGGGAAAGAAACAGTCGATGAAGAGGAAATGCAGTATGGCACAGCGGCACAGAGGCATATGAGGAGCGGCCATAAATAAGGAAGAAACACGACCTACCTGAATGGGTCCCTGGAGAGGAGGGGATTGGAGGGGATTGGAGTGGCCCTGAAGTGACGGCGTAGTGGCCGCCGTGGAGTTGGGAGGTGAGCGCTTGCTTGCCGCTGTGGTGGTCCGGGCGCATGGTGCTGATTGGCGGTGATCGGTGGTGGTGGGCGATGATTGGCCAGGTATTTCAAAGTCGGCGCTTGCCTGCAGATGCTCACTGGCGTCTGTGAAACAAGTGCCGTGTCAACAGCGAATGGGGAACGAAAGGGGCTCTATGCTGTGATTGATACTATGCTCAGACTAAAGGGAGTCGCCGGCAAAAACACCAAAAATTCCCTATTGCTACAATTACTACTACACCATAATCGTAATTGTGTCTCTCGCATCGTACGGGAATTATGGCCCTAATACCACATAAGCTACAGCGCTTCTGTCGGCCGTTAGAGCCCACCTGCTGACTACTCTCACTTGCCACCTCCGTACAGACTTGAGCTAGCACTCTCGACTTGAGCTAGCACTCTCAAGGATATCCTCCTTAGTATCCGAATTTACTCAATAGTAGAGAGGAAGAAGAGCCATTGAAGGACCCTACCATCACTTTGATCTTGCTTGCTGCACAAACCTACGCAGCATGCTACGACCCCTCGCCTGCCTTCCTCCCTCCTAAACCTACCACCTACTGTGACTCTCCCATCCTAAACGATGCCTTCAAGTCCATAACCGCGAGTCTGGACAGGCTCAGAGTTCAACACGAACTCCTTCTCCATCGAGGTCACGACCTCTACCCACTCTCTAACTATCTCCTCCATTACCCCCCCCTCGCCTTCCCAGAATACAACCTCTAGCAGCGGCTTATCAGCATATGACAACGGATCATAATTCGCCGTGCATTGATCATTCCACGCCCCGGGGCCCCTCTTTTCTGGTACCAAGATCCCCCTCCACACCTCTCCCTTGCGGCCCGCGCCATCCTCACGATTTAAGAGGGATGGGACGAGCTGGATACGGAAAGGGCGGCCTTGCGTGAGTGCTGAGAGAGGAACCTGCCAAGGATCGAGGATGATGGTTGAATTTGAAATGAAGGAGTCGATGTATAGTCCCTTGCTGTCTGATTGTGCGAGGACAAGCGTCGAGTTCAGCGGGGCGGCGGCGGCGAAGGTGCCGGTGTAGCTATCACAAAGGTCTCGCTGGGCGGTTTCTTCGGCGGCGCGGAGAAGAGGAACTGTGACGGCGTCCCGTATTAGATCTAGTAGGTCTGGGGGTCCCGCAGTAAAGATCGATATTCCCAAGTCGTAGTCGGGCGTCATAATGACATATGTGAAGTATGCCGGGAGACCGCCGCCCTTGGTGACGAATGTTATAGGGCGCAAGGTAGACCTGGATTCAACTTAAAGAAGGCTTCAACTGAGATTCCATATCGCTTTGCTAATAGTGTCCAGGTGTAAGAGTCAACTTCTAACCACTTCGTGCTGCCCATATACCGACAGTTAACTTGACCTGGATCGATATCTCCTGTGGTAATAAGGGGGCTGATAGTAACGGGGCTGATAGTAGGGTTTGCTTCTAGAGTGGAAATGCTGCTACCTGCGTTGGACGAGGCAGTGGGATCGGAAAGTTGCTGGCCCTCAAATTCCCCTAGTTGAGCAGCCATCAAATGCACCAACTGTGGATATAAGATACAAAATAATGCAGAAGACAAGGTGCGGCGGCCAGGTTGTTCTTTGAGGATACTGCATCGCCCTTGTTAAACTTCACGGGTCCGAGAGGTAATTGAGACAGCGAGGCTCTAGCTCACAAATAACAGATTTTGGTAGTTTATGGCAGGTAAGGACGTCTTGGATAGCTCTAGATTCATCCCGTATAAAACTACAATGGATGAGAGATAATGGGTATGACCTATAAGCTCTATGATTCAGACGAATAATATCCTAAAAAAAAAGGAGTAATGTTATGGCACGGCAACTTCGGAAATACTCCCGCCTCCTGCGACTGTGGCCCGTGCACCCCATACTTCGTCCCGAGCCAGAGCCTTCCAGTAAGCGCCTCGAGGACAACAGTAGGTACAATTTATCTTTTCTTGCTTCATACGTTTCATTTCCTGCAGTGAGCACAGTTGCTGCAGTTGTATCTCCAGTCATTATCTATCCTCACCCGCAGACCGTTTCAAGGCCGCCATGTCCATCATGACAGACGCAGTTACCCCAAGAAAGAGGGCGAAATCCGTCACCTTTGCGACCCCGCCGCCATCTCGTGAGAACACCGCATTTCGCTCTCGCACTGCCCTCGTCCTCGGCGCCCTCACACTCAGCGGTGCCTACCTCCACTTCTACCAGAGTGCGAATAATGGCCTCTTTGAGTCTCTCGGCGAATTGGTGCAGGCCGAGACTTTCCCTGTCTCCAATGGGGAATTCAAGCGCGTCTTCACGGGCATCAAGCCGCTCGACACCTACCTCGCCAACTTTACGCCCTTCTTCGGCATTCTCACCCACAAAGGAGATGACAGCTCCTATCTATTTTGGCTATGGATGATTGGGCAGCTCGGCGTGCAGTGGATCATGTTCGTCATGGAGAGTCTCAGGGAGGGAAATAAAGGCAGTCTTGCCAGCTAGTATGCCCCCCGACCAGAATCTACTCAAGCAGCCTCAAACCATACTAATCCCACCAGCATTGGCCTCGTCGGCTTCATCTTCCAAAATTTCGGCCTCGCAACCGTCATCCCCGCCTTCCTCCTCATCACCACCCTCACCTCGACCATCTCCCGCGCCTCCTCCCCCACTGGGCTCATGAATCTCATCAAAGTCCACGGAATCGACCTCAACATCCTACCCTTCTCCTTCTTCCTTGCCTACTTCCTCCCAACAGTCTGCATGATGTTGCCTTACCCCGCCATCAACTCCCACAGCAGCTGGCAAGGCTGGATCGCCACCTGGCAATTCTTTCCCCTCTACACCGTTGCCTTCCAGTGGCTCCTCGCCAGCTTCTTCAAAGCCGTCGACCAGGGCAAGGGCCTCAAGCTCAAGTCCGATGAGGGCAAGATGATCGCATACTTCTGGCACGCACGCCCCTTATACATCGGCGCCCTCTTCATCTGCGCCGTCTTCCACGTCAACGTCCTTGTCGTCTGCCTCCTCCCCGAGTGGCCCATGGAAATTTTCCCCATCGCTGGAACCTATCGCAGTGTCTCCTTCGCCTCCGTCTTTCTCCCTCCCGTCCCATTGCCGCCGTTCGAAACCGTGAGCGTGGTGCGCGGGATCCACATCTTCCTCATCTGGGATATGCTCGTGTCTAGCGTCGCAGCGCTGGTCTGGGCGGCGCTACAGACGCGGAATGTGAGCTCCAGGACCTTCAGCGCAAAGTGGGTGTTGAAGATGATAGGGTTCACGATTATTACCGGGCCGTCGGGGGCGTTCGTCATGGCGATGTGGGAGAGGGATTCAGCGGTTGCGGAGCTGCTTATTGAGCAGGCCATGAAGGATAAATGAGTGGAGATGTGTTGATATATACATATAGCATTTAACGACCTATATTCCAACAGAATTGCTCCTGTGCTTTCTGTGATTCTAATGCGTCTATCCAATCACACATATCCTTCAAATCGCCCTAATACCCCCTCTCCCTATCAACTGCATTCACCAGCCCCTCCCCCCTCGCCCCCCTTTCCAAATTCTCCTCCAAAACCCCTATCGTCCTCCCCAAATACCTTCCATTCCACGCACTCACATGCGGCGTAATCACCACATTCTCCAACCCCCATAACTCGCTACTCTCTGGCAAAGGCTCCGGCGTCGCCACATCCAGCGCCGCCCCCCTCAGTCCTCCCATCTCAAGCGGCTTCTTCAGCGCTGCGATCAACGCATCCTGGTCTACACTCTCCCCCCTCCCGATATTCAGCACGTACGCCCCGGTGCGTCCCAATATCTCGAATTCCTCGGCCCCGAGAATCTGCTTGGTGGAGCCGGTGAGCGGGAGAGCGAGGAGCACGTAGTCAAGATCTGCGCTGAGGAAGGCGTGTAGGGAGGCCTTGTCGGTCCCGCTGTGCCAAGCCACCGGGAGGGTACCGTCGCGGTCGCCGAGCGTGCCGGGGACGATGAAGCCGGTGTCGCGCTTTGATTCCGGGGTAGTTCGGGGGTTGGCGGTGTACGCGATGATTTCCATGCCCATTGCTGTGAGGACACGTGCGGCTGTGGGAGTTAGTTCGGGCTTCTTCTAATTGAGGGTTTTTGAGGGGGACTTACACTGCCGCCCAATACTCCCATACCCGAGAATCCCAACACGTCGTCCGACACTATCTCGGAACCCCAAGGTGCTATCCCCCGCAGCCCTCACCCAGCGCCGCTCAGACTGCCACTTGTACATGGTGCGCTGCAAGTGGCTGTCAGCGAGGATCTGGAGTGCGACCCATTCCGAGATTGGCGGGCCGTGGATGCCGGAGGTGGTGGTGATGGGGATGCTGGTGGAGCTGAAGATGGGGTGCGCGGCGAGATGGTTCACGCCCGCGGAGGTTAGCTGGATGAACTTGACATTCTTGGTGAAGGCCGGGACGATGCGGGCGGGGGGGAGATAAGACATCGTTGCGAGGTGGGTGGCGGAGAGCCATTCATCTAGGGCATGCGTTAGTTAAGGAATTGCCATATAAGGGAGAGAGTGACCATTGCTAACTTCTTCTTCTGATAGGCGCGCAATGGTGGCGGGATCGCTAAAGGCAACGCTGGCTTGCTTGTATGTGATTTTCAGATTGGGGTATTTGACGCGGAGCGCGGCGATATCTTGCTTTGGCTCTGGAACGCCCCAGACAACGAGAAGGTGTCCTTCAACTGGTGTTTCGCCGCCCATGATGGTGGTTGGGGAACTAATGGGGACGGGGTATGGTTGGAGATGAGGGCACGGGATGAGGGGTCGTGTGGGGTATTTATGTTTCTGGGCCGGAACGCTTAAAAGGCGAGGTCGATTGAGATAAATCGGCGGGTTGGAGAAGGGAGGGGGCGTCGTTGACGTTTTATACCGGCCTCCCGTTAGATATTGTGGTAAAGCAGGGGCGGCAGTTGCTTATGTTGGTGAGTATCAATCTGGAGGGGTCGGTGCGTCTCCAATGGCCATAATAGTGGGGAACTGATTGACGCCGTCGTGGGTCGATCACGATAATCTGACGTCGGGGATCTTTATTCTGCTTCAATTCCCATACATTGCCCTCAATTGCTATGCGCGTCCTTATTGCTGCCTCTTAGCTGATGGCGTAAGTAAGCTGACTACAATATTTTCACAGCCTTGCCCATCATTTTCAATTAAATCTATATCTCTTCTCAGGATGGCCCCTCTCAAGTATGTCGCCCTCGGCAGCTCCGTCGCGGCCGGCCCAGGTATCCAGCCCATCACCAACCGGTTTGCACGGCGCTCTGCGAACAACTATCCCAACATCCTCGCGAAAAAACTAGGCGCCGAGCTTACCGATCTCTCCGCCTCAGGGGCCACTCTCAAAAACATACTGTCTGTGCCCCAAACGTCCTTCTATTTGATCAGCTTCGAGCCGCAGATAAAAGGCATCCCTGCTGATGCCGACATCGTCACCATCTCTGCTGGCGGGAACGATATTGGTTACATCACCGGTATCATGCGAGATACCTGGAGTACAACATTCTCTGGCCGTCTCCTTACCGGGCTGCTGCCTACCGCGGAAGACCTGAGCAACCAGGACGTCGCTGACCGCTTCACGGCTATTATTGACGAGATCCGCAAAATCGTCCCCAAGGCTCTCATCGTTCTGGTCGAGTATCCGACGGTGTTTGGATCGGATAAGCCGATTCAAGATATCCCTCTGGATAAAGAACGCATTCGTCATCATCGGACTGTTGCGGATTCCCTTGAGAAGGCGTATCAGTTAGCGGCCAAAGCTCGTCCGGGCGTGAAGCTCGTTTCCGTTGGCGAGCGCAGTCGTGAGCATGCAGTGGGGTCGAAGGAGCCGTGGGTCAGCGGGAATGTGGGCACTTTTGGGTTCCATCCTAATTTGGAGGGCATGCAGGCGGTGGCAGATATGGTTTATCAGGAACTGAAGTCTGAGAATCTCGTCTAGAACTGGGAATATCTGCTTTGTTGCGTCTGTTCTTATGATAGACGCCGCCCGTTCGATTTATTTATTAACTTGAAATTGTCGCTATGCATTCATTGGTCCTTGATACCATGAATGAGAGACTGAAAATGGGTAGAACTAAGTCTGCGTGGATGAGACTGAGGTTCAATAAATACCCCGCAAAGAGAGGTGTTTGAACCGAAAAGAGAGGCCTTTTAGGATTCGGCTCAATCCTTCCCCAAACTAAATGTGACTTGACGCCTGCTGCCTCGAAAAGCACTTGGTCGGTTCAAATGGGGAATAATTTAGGCAAAAGATACTCCATGCGAGCAAGCGGCGCAAATATCCAGGATATTTGGGGCCGGCTTGGGGTCTATAAACGGGGTTGTTTCTTAATTCTATACAACAACTTTTGAGAAACGGCGAAGAGATAGTTGCTGAAAGGGAGCCCAGGGGTGGGCAATTTATTCTAAATGGCCGGGGAAAGTGGTTGACACGATGGTAATAACATTTTGGTTGTCTATCAAGGTATAATAATTTAATTGGCATAAGTTAACTTATTTTATTTTATTTTTGGAGAAATAGCAAAGTTTCTTGACGTTAATTGCAGAAGCAACATGAGGAGAGGTGGGCGATTATCATGTTAGGTTGCACAATTTAAAAGCCATGAAAAGCGTCCTCTACCAAGCAATCTGACGCGTATATGTATAGCTCTATGTATAGCTTTATATCGAAGTCTGTAGAAACGCCCCCCCCTCCCTCCCCTACCTCACATTCCCGACTGCTTCGCCGCCATGGCATCATGTTCGATGATGTCCGTCGCCTCCCACGGGTAGCAGATCCAGACATCACCGACCGTCCTGGCAGCCAAGTAGCGATCATCCCTCAGCAGCTCCTCTGGCAGCTTGCCCTTCTTCTCCTTCTCCTTGTTCTGGTTTTCGTTAGCCCCCGCCCCCACATCAGTCTACGGCACTAGGGGCACTTACGTGTAGCACGAAGATCGAGAATGTAGTCTCGCCCTCGATACCCAGCCTTAGCCTCGCAGCCTCGACATCCTTCTCGAGCTCCTTCACGGCATACTCGAGCGTAGTCCTGGTATCATCGACCTCATCCACAATCAAGATCCTCTTTCCGATCAAGTTCGACATCTCCCCCAAACTCGACAGATCCAACCACTGTGTCCTCGTCACCTTCGTGCCGAGCTGTTCGACATCGCCAGGAGTCGAAGTCCCAGGCGTAGTCGACGGCAGCTCCTCGTAGAGCGACAGCCCGATGGCCTGGATGGGGATGTTGGGTGATCCGGAGCGCTTGAGGAAGGAGCGCAGCATGCGCGCGGGCACGTAGCCGCCGCCGCCGATGGCGATCATGAGCTGCGGGTTGAACTCATTGAGGATCTTGGGCGCAGCTTCCTGGCAGAGCTGGTGGATCTGGCGGGGGGCGGCGAGGTCAGCGAGAAGGTGGGGGGAAAGAGGGGACAAAAAACACGCATGGGTGGGCTTACCTCGTTGTATGTGAGGTAGACTTTTTCGATGGCCATCGTTGCGGTTAGTTGGGCGGTGGTGGGAGGGGGTTTATAGCAGTTCCTATGAGTGAGGGTATCGTGAGAAATATTGGGAACGCCAAGACCTTTGGCACTACATGTACAGTATTAGACTTTTAAGTTAAGAGTGATTTGATTAAGTTGCCCCACCATCTCGCCTATTGGCCCTAATCAATCGATAAGAATTTTTGGGCCGATAAGGCACTTGTCGACGCCGAGGCTATGAGTACAGTAGTTTTCGGGTCGACATCAATGATTAGAGGAACTGATGGAGACGAGGAGTAGTCTCATATTATGCATGGAATTATCAAACGTGGGGAGTAATTCCAATTCATTTGTGGTAGATCAAATAAAAACAACCATACATCCCCCATCACCAGAATAGAAACACCGTACATCCCCATTTCATCAGAATACATCCCCAATTTCGTCAGAATAGAAACAACCATGCACCACCCGCACCGTCCAAACCATCATCACCTCCACGTTGCTCTCTCATGTATGATATTGCCATCGCCGAGCCGCCCCAGATAAGTTCCGTAGGGGGATGGGTAATGTGGAATGAGCATCACAGAGCGGAGGGCCGTAAAAGAACCGTTTACTTCGCGCAGCATCCGCAGCTGGCGCAGCCGCATCCTGAATCGCAGGCGCCTGGATAAGATCCGGTCAGTGACTATATGGCATGGCAGGTCAGAGTTGAGGTGAGGCGAGGGCACTCACAGGCAGCAGCGCAAGAGCAGCCAGGCATGATGACGGTTTTGGGGTTTTGGGGGTTTGGTGGGTGTGTGTTGGGTTTGTTGGGTTTGTTGAATTGTATTGTGTGTGAGTGTGAGTGCGAGTGCGAGTGTTGATATCGAAGAGCTTTGGTATTCTCATCTGGATCGATGGAACTCTTCAAGCTTTATATACACGACAACTCAGCTTCAGAGCTCAAAAGGTGTGGCCCACCATCATCGACCAGCCAGTAAACGGGGCAGCCTATCGCCTTGACGCCCTAATTCTTCGGCCGGATGCGCATTGGGGGGGGTTCATAAGATGCCGAGCATGACTTGGGATAAAAAGGAAGGTCGTAACGCGCCGATGATGTCGGGGGATCCCAATAGGGAAATCCGAGCAGCCACACCTTTCAGCTTTTCAGTAAAGTTCAGTAAAGTTGTACAGCAGTCTGTTGTTTTGACCCACTTGTTGAAGATTTTCCATATCTTCACCGAGTCCAATCAGACAAGGGATGTGCCATCTGGGGGCGATCGGGTGGAATAAGCCACGGCGTGGTTAGGACATTCTCCCATGTGTTGGTTGGTGCGTTGGTGCAACAGAGTAGAGCCGAGAGTCCGGTTCGTCAGATGCAACGCCTCCGTACTTATTCCATATGGTATTTCATGCCCATCTACGGTGCTGGGCTGGCTGTGACTGGCTGGAGTTTGACGATGGAGATGGGGATAAGCCGAGCTTGGCCGTCCCGTCCCCCCACATAACTCGCATACCTCGCATACCTCGCATACCTCGCATACCTCGCAAACCTCGCATATCCCGCATATCTATGACGAGCTGTGGCCGAAGGAGAACAAGGAGGGAGAGCCAGACCAAGGGCGGCAGATGCGATATGGCACGGTGGTGGACGGGTGGACGGGTGGGCCGGGTGGACCGGTGGGAACGACAGGGTCAGCTGCAGGACTCGTAAGCAGAAGAGTCAGTAGAGGGGTCAGTGGAGGGGGGATGCCCCCTCCACCTCCCTCCACCTCGTTCCATCTCGACAAATCAAATGATACCTCTCGAGCGTAGGCGATTAGTGTTTGAATCCCGTAACAAAACCAAGTTGTCCTTCCCCGGCAGTTGCACTTGCAGTTCCTACTATTCGGAGATCCCGAAGCATCAAATCTCAACGCATCAAAGCGTCAAAGCATCAAAGCATCAAAGCATCAAGCGCATCTTCTCTGACACTCAAGTGGGGTCGCACCTTCCCTAGCTTTCTTGTTGCCGCTGTAAGTCTCTTCTGATACCCGCACCCCCGCCCCCGCCGTAAAGCGGGCTGATGTGACAAGAGCTGGGAGGAAGGCGCCACCTTTCATTGGCTAGAGGCGGCTAAATAAACACCCCGCCCTACAACTCCAGTTGTCGTGCTTGCAAACTCCAGATAGACCTCGACTCTTTAACATCCAACAACTTCCGACAACAACTTCCAACAACTTTCCACAACTTCCCACAACTTCCCACAACTTCCCAACCTACAATCAACTCAAAACAAACACCAACTCCAAAAACCCATCCAACTTCCTTCCAACTTCCATCCAACGTCCATCCAAGACCCCATCCAAGACCATCCAAGACCATCCAAGACCATCCAAAAATCAAAATCAATCATCATGGGTGACTGCGGATGCTCCGGCTCTTCTTCCTGTACGTTCCACAGCCTCCATCGGCAGTTGACTGCTCAACCCCGCTCCAATGACCCCGCTGTCAGATGAAATGATGCCCGAGATCACAATCAATGACTAGCTAGCACGTAACTAACACACAACCATAGGCAACTGCGGAAGCAGCTGCTCCTGCGCCTCGTGCGGAAAATAATTCCCTCTGTCTGCCCAACCTCCACACCTCGGTCTCGCCCACTTCACTCCATGCGGCACATGCGCGATGCGATGCGATGGCTTGACAGAATCGGATGGAGCTATACGACCAAAGGGGGAGGGGGGGGAGGGAACAGAGAGGCTAAGGATGGCGAGATGATATGCTGATGAGTTGCTGGTTTTGACGAAGGGGGGTGGGCGGTTTGATTCTGAGAACTCCATGGCTTTCAACGACGACTGCGATCAACGTTCGCAATACAATGACTACGTACCAATGATACCTCGATGACTCACATGTGTCTGTGATGTGAACTCTTGATCCATTTGCTCGCATAGTTAAGCAAAGCAGGTTGACGGCACATACGACAAACAGCCCCCTCATCCATCCGTCCGTGTCAGACGTCTAATGCGAACTCATCGTCTTCTCTCATGGGTGGATGTAACGTCGTAATCCGTACAGATATTAATACTACCGCCATCTATCCCTATCATCACGGTTAAACACGAACTGCCCTCCCATCGCTAGACTCCCGTTATGCCCTACCCACACACGCCAAACTCCAGTCGTATATTACAATATGGCCATTACATTATGGCCCCTGCCAGCTCTCCTAAGCATCGACCGTCCCATCCCCTAACAGCCGCGCAATCAACACATACGTGAAGATCACCGCCCCAGCAAGCAACAACCTATTCCTCGCAACCCAGCTCTGCCCCACCTCCCTCGCAACCTGCCCCCCATGAACCGCGGCCCCAATCGTGCCCGCGCTCCCGCTCGGCCGCCGCCCAAACGCCGCCGCCTGCGGCGAGCACACCGGCGCGTTCGGGCCCGGCATCCGGTCCCCCGTCGCGGGGTTAATCCTGTTCTCCTCCATCCACTTCCAGTTCTCCCTATCGAGCTCGGGCCACTCGGACCTGAACTTCGCGCCGCCGTCGCCGGCCTTGATGGCGCCGTTGCCCTTGGGGACGGGCATGCCGGGGACGAGTCGGGTGGAGGAGCCGCCGCCTGTGGAGTTCCACCAGCGGGTGCGGGCGGTGGTCCATTTGCGCTCGGCTTCTGTGGCGGCCACGGAGCCGGTGGTCATTTCTTCGGAGGTCATGAAGGAGAGGAGCCCGATGAGGATTGTGGAGACTTCCCAGGCGGGGTTGAAGGATTTGGGGTGGAAGTCGGAGATGGATAGGCATAGCCGGGTTGAGGATTGGAAGCGTCCCGAGGGTGTGTGCATACGGATCGCAGGCGGGGCGAAGGGGTAGTCCGGTGGGAAGATCAGTGTGCCCCAGTACTGTCCGTTGTGGTAGGGTGTCTTCTCTGGGCCGGTGATTATGTAGTGCCATCTGCGCCATGTTAGTTTGGTATCGTGGTCCGAGAAGTCTGATGGACATACTCGAGGATGTTGGACTCGGAGGGATGCGCCACAATGTATGGCGGCGGGTTCTCGGATATAGTCTTATATTCCCGGGTTAACTAGAATGGTCAGCATATCCTCACGAGTAGTTCGGTTGGAGTGGCAAACCCGTTTGTTGGCTGCGCGGCTCGCCATATTGAGGCCGAGGGGGGACGATGGCGTGGTGGGGGTTTTGAGTCGTGCTTTGAGCGAAAGTTTTCTGCGCAGAACGGTCCACCAGGGTGCAGGCGATTATTAATGTTAAAGGGAATGGTCGGATCCAGGAGGTCTATTGTAACAAAGATTGCCGCGTCGAAAATATGTCCCAGGTTTTGGCCACTTGAAGGTTACTTTCACAGGCCGAAGCCAATCAGCTGATTATGTAAGCTCGACTGACTCCAATTTATCTGTAACCCGGTTTGTTGACGTCTCACAGAGTCATGGCATACCCGGATAGTGACGGCGAGGTAAAGTCGAGCTCTACATGTAGGCATAGTTAGATTCACTGACTTGCCAATTAGGTCTTCGCGGCCCTAAATAGCGACATTGACCCAAAGGTGCTCGAGGAGCGCGAGAAGGCAGTTCAAGAACGGGCTCAGGCGCAATATGCAAAGGCACAACAAAGATTGCAAGATTTGGTGGGTCCCCAGCGTTGGAAGAAGAGTCAAGAATGAAGCTCATGATAGTAGATATCTTCCAATTCTACTCTTCCAGTTACCATCTCATCCATCCGCGTTATTGGAGCTACGAATACCCGGAAAAGCTTCCTCGATCGGCTGTTCGCTCCTATACTGAGCGCAAACAATGACAGGCCATATACTCTGCAGGAGGCCTTGCGGCTAGCGGGCAAAAGCGCCGACAAGCTGCGAAGATTTGGTAAGCACTTTGCCCTGGGTCACAGCGACATGGTACTAACGACACAGACATTTACCATGAGGGTGTTTCCATGTTTATCGACAAGCCCGACTCCACCGATCCTCTATCTACGACATCCGACATTGATATATTCCTTGCGGTTAAGGAGAAGGGAAGGATTGCTTTGAAGACTGGGACCGACCTTGGAAACACAGAGGGTTCGGCATACGGCAACCTTCTCCTGCGAAACATCTTTGGTGGAGCCGAATCTCTTAACATCAACGCCTCCGCTGGCACAAGAACAAGGTCGTCATATACCGCCACCTTCGACACACCGATTCTGAGCGATCCTGATATTCGGTTCTCGCTGGATGGCTTTGCAAGCTCGACTCTGAAGCAGTGGGCTAGTCACGAAGAAGTTCTCAAGGGTGGTAACGCCAGGATCAGATGGGCCGATGGCCAGAGCAGGCACGAGATGGCATACACAGGGGCATGGCGACAGATAACTGCCCTAGCAGCAAATGCATCTCCATCCGTACGACATGATGCTGGTGATAGCGTCAAGAGCAGCATCACGCACACTTGGTTCAAGGAGAGACGGAACCACCCTTTCCTCCCGACAAGCGGTTACTTCATGCGAACAGTTTCGGAACTAGCTGGTTGGGGCCCGTTGCAAGGAGATGTGGCATTCTGGAAATCCGAAGTGGAAACGTCTGGAGCTGTCGCGATTCCGCTGCCTGGGAAGGAGGACAGTGGCATCTCGTTAACTGGAGGTCTCCGCGCTGGTTTACTGTACCCGTTGCCAATCGGCACAGGCTCTGCACCACAGGCATCTCGCATCAATGACAGATTTCAACTCGGAGGCCCAACCGATGTGCGCGGATTCAAAATTGGTGGCTTAGGGCCAAGAGACGGACCTGACTCCGTCGGAGGAGACGTATTCGCTGCTGGTTCCGTGAACCTACTCTTCCCCTTTCCAAGAGTCGGAAAAGATACCCCACTGAGGCTGCAAGTCTTTGCAAACGGCGGCAGACTCCTGGCATTACAGCAAACGAATGGATCTACGTCGAACAGTGTCACTTCGACAATTGCGAAGCTGGCAGAAGGCCTGCCCAGTCTGGCGGCTGGAGTTGGCATAGTCTATGCTCACCCAGCGGCGAGATTTGAGCTCAATTTCAGTTTGCCTCTAGTCCTCAGGAGAGGAGAGGAGGGGAGAAAGGGGCTCCAGTTCGGAGTCGGCATCAACTTTTTGTAGGTCTAAGTGTATGATATTACGATGCTTGGAAAGCTTCATTTATTGAGGCTGGAGATTGCCAAGCTAGAATGGGACCGTTGGTGGATCTTGGGTTCATTTGTATAAATCTCCTAATCTTAGAAATCTCTGGGCGGGACGGAAATGTCTTGGTTGTATTGACCACAATATTTAGCAAGGACAGGACCTTGATCTATCAGATTTTTGATAGCAATGAAGAGAGGGTATGATTAAGGTGAAATATCCAGCGGTAATAGCGTTCATTGAAAAATGGTGGAAATGAAAGTCCGTTCTTGTGAAGCTGAGAAGAAAGGGGCAGGGGCAATGCGAATACGACAGAAACCCCAGATCGTGTGTTTTTAAGTATGTTACGTAACTAATTATAGTTGGTAGTGGCAGAAATCTGCTTGTCCCGATTGGGACTATTGTAAAACCGCAGCAACGAAACTTATATAACTTAAAGGGTAACTTACCCAACCAAGAGCGATTTGATGCACCACCGTTACCTCTCTTACTACATATATCTGACCGCCGTTCTCTCAGTAGAACACAGCCGCAACTATGGCTTTCGGAATCATCTCTAACCTCACCAACCCTCTTATCACCGACCATCCTTACTACCCCATCGAGGTCGAGATTGCCTCATACCTCGCGAACGAATGGTCTGTCCCAGTGCTTCTCGCGGCATTCGGTGGTGTCTGCGCGACGGTACTGCTCATCGCGCAGATTGTCGTCGATAAGCTACACTCAAACCTTCGCACCTCGGAGAAAATCACCATCTGGTGGTTCGTTCTTTGTATGTGCCCCCCCCCTCAACTCTCCTGGGCTCACAAACTAACGATCACAGCTGGATGCATTCACCTCTTCTTTGAAGGTACGACATTATATCACAATTTATGAGGAAGACAATTGACAATCGCAGGCTACTTCTCCGTCAACCACACCCTGATGGGCCCAAAACAAGATCTCTTCGGGCAGCTCTGGAAGGAGTACTCCCTCTCCGACTCGCGCTACCTGACTTCTGACCCCTTCGTCCTCTGCATGGAAACCATCACTGCTGTATGCCTCCATTTCCTGCCCCTACCATCCGCCACTGACCCACCTCGCAGTTCCTCTGGGGCCCCCTCTGCTTCATCATCGCCGGACTGATCACAACCTCGCACCCCCTGCGCCACCCCCTCCAGATCATCGTCTCGACCGGCCAGGTTTACGGCTGCATTCTGTACTATGCGACCAGCATGTTCGACCACTACTACAAGGGAGTCGTGTACAGCCGCCCCGAGTTCCTGTACTTCTGGTGCTACTATTTCCTCATGAACTTCTTCTGGATCATGATCCCTTCGAGTACGTATTTTCCTTCGGTTGTGCGGAGAGCATGGCGCTGATGTAATATAATGTAGCCCTGGTCGTTAGCAGCGTCAACCAAATCGCGATTGCCTTCAGGGCACTCGACTCTACCTCCGCCAAGGCAACCAAGGGCAAGAAGGGACAATAAGCATATATAGGGGTGTGGGATGGCCGTGCCACTACGACTGCTAAGGCAGCAGCGGCGTCCGCATTGTGTGCGAAAGAGCTAGGAAGGAAAAGTGTTTGGCAACGAATACATGCACGGTATACCGTGGTTTCGGTAGCCGCGCCACGCAACTTGTATATACCATGGCGTTGGAGCGATATATAAATATGGGTTTAATAGACAGTCTATAGAGTTTCTAGAATTATAATGCTATTTTCCCCAGCGCCTTTGAACCTGACTGAAACTAATCTTGATGAATAGTCTGTAGTCATACATTTTTGATCCTATTAACAAACTCCCCCACCCATACATTACTGTGTCAAAAGTCCTGCAAAACGGCTTGTGGTATATTGCTCCTGCGCTAACGCCTGCGTCATCTCTTAAAATGGAATGTGTCGTCCACATCCTCAAGAGCCCCGAGTGTGGTAATAGTTGGCTCGTTATCCATAATCTGCCTCGCCGTTGCCTTCCCCTTCTCAGCAGGAACAAGAACAAGCGGACTCTCCTCCAGCTGTCCATATATATCCACCGCCTTCTCTTCGGCATCTTTCCAAGGCAAGTCCACGTCTGCAGCCCCTGCCTCGGAAATGGACGCCAGGATACAGTCATGCGTGTCGCTAAAGAACAGTGCGGGAGAGCAGTCAGATGTCCTCAGCCAACGGATCACGGCCTTCCCCATGATTTTCCCCTCGGGTAGCTGGGTGCCGAAATCAACAATTTTTGGCTCCTCCCAGGATGGCTCCCAGACGTATGCAACCCCTTTCGATTCCTTGCCCTCGCAGCGGATTACGAGGACCTCATTGATTGTTGGGTGCCATGTAGCCTTGGCAATGAGCGAATGCTGGATCAGGACAGCTTTGAGGATTTTGGATGAGGAATCCCAGATGAATACTGTTGTTGGTAGATTCTCGCACCGGGAGGCTACGAGTGTGCCTGACGCATCAATGGAGATACTTACTATTCCAGATTTGGTTTCCGGCGCGGGTGTCGACGAAGCCGATGTCGGTGGACAAGTTACCTGTGTCTGGAGGTTATAAGAACGGCCAAGACCAGACGGGGTGGCCTTTAATTGCTCCTGCCATATATGTACGCCATCTGGCCTAATCGTTGTGGAATGGTCGAGCCTCATTGCCTCGGAGAAGTTTGCCGTAGATAGTAGAGTCACCCTCTGGCTGTAGTCTCCTACTGCGAGTTGTCGTCCGTCAGCGCTCCATTCGATTGCCTTCACGCCAGCTCCGCAATCTATATCCTTCTCATCTGCGGCTGGCCGTGGGCCCGTCCAGGCCTTAAATAAATGCCCATCGGCCGTGTACAACAGAATCCTATGTCCTTGAGCGGCTGACTCAATCACAGCCAGCCATTTGCCGTCCGGGCTCCAACTCAATCCCTGCGCATCGATTGTATCAGGGTTCCATGATCGGAATACCATATAGGATTCTTTGGAATGTAGACTAATCACATCCTTTCCAGAGCCTCGAGATAGTAGGGCGAGGTGTTGGGTCCTGGGTCGATATCCATAGCCTTTCGCCGCGTTGCCTGGAAGAAACAACTTAGGCGCTGGAATATCTATCGACGTGCTAGTCGTGAGATTGAATATTGTAAGCTTCAGTCCAAAGTCTGAGAAAACAAGAACTTCATCATGGGAGGCGCCAAACGATATGTAGACCGCCTTTGTTGTTTCAGATGTTGGCGATGCGATTGTAGCTGAATATTGGGGGGTGACGGCAGAGAAAACGCGGATGGTATTATCAGACGAAAGAAGAATTCGCTGTGACGAAAGTGACCAAAGAAAGTTCGATATCGACGTTGAAAAGGTAGCGGGGAGGGGGATTGCGCGTGTAGCTTGAAGGGATCGGGTTGTGCGAATAATTAGTTTCGCCTGGATTATTGTTGCGATGTATGCGCCATCAGGACTTGGAAGACAATGCGCTGAAGCTGTAATTGTGTTACAAATCTTGTCATCAGCTGTGAGACATCATGCTTACATTTCAGCGGCCGCGAGAACTGCATTTCAGAAACAGCTAGCAATCGACAGTCGCGAGAGAAAGTGTAGCTTTGTCGCGGCGTGCTGATAAACAATGACCCCGCGCCGCCATAGGCCGTCGGCGTATTGGGCTCCAAATGCGGATGTCCGCCACCAAAGGCGGTGTAACCTGACTTTCCCCAAGCTTATCTGCCCCTCGTTTTAGTAATTAGTCTAAGCCATAGGTTCTCCTTGACATCTCCGGCCATATTTATTTCTCCTCAGCTCCGTTCAGTCTAATTTACTTTTACAATGTTTGTTTCATAGATCTCTCCCGATATTCCTGGCCTTCAAGCAAGCCGGGGAATCATGGCCGTGGAGAAATATGCTCGGCGCTCTGGTGTGGCGTTGATGCGCTCAAGTTGGAGGCCTCATCTGCGACCACCATTCTACTCCATTGCAGCAGCTTCCTACCACAAATCAGCTCCATGGCGAGAACCAGCCGCGCACGTCGTCGAATCCCCAACTCCAGAACGCCTCCCAATCTACCCAGTCGACACTCCAGAATCTCCTCCGCAAAAGTTCAAGCCGTCACGCTTTAAACGCATTGAAGAGGCGGCGCCTTTCTCCTCCTTTCTCACCGACACCTTCTATCGCCAACATGACTACCTCCGAATCTCCATTACCGAAAAATGCAACCTCCGGTGCCTCTACTGTATGCCTGAAGAGGGTGTCCCACAGTCGCCACCGTCACACCTGCTCACCACCCCCGAGATTGTCTTGCTATCCGAGCTCTTCGTATCTCAAGGCGTCACAAAGATACGGCTCACAGGCGGCGAACCGACAGTTCGAAAAGACATCGTGCCGATGATGCAGCAAATCGGACAACTACGAGGGGCAAGGGCTGGGAGAGAGGGGTTGAAAGACCTGTGCTTGACAACAAACGGGATTAGCTTATGGAGGAAGCTCGATCCAATGGTGGAAGCTGGGCTGACGGGTGTCAACCTATCCCTCGACACTCTAGACCCCTACCAGTTTCAGATCATGACGCGTCGGAAAGGCTTCGATGCAGTCCAGCGCTCTATCGACCGGATACTTGAAATGAACGCCCTGGGTGCCGGTATAAAGCTCAAGATCAACTGTGTTGTCATGCGTGGCCTCAACGACCGAGAGATACTTGATTTTGTTGAACTCGGGCGAGAGAATGACATCGAGGTGCGTTTCATCGAATACATGCCCTTCGACGGCAATAAATGGTCGGAGAGGAAGATGCTGCCATTCCAAGAGATGCTGGACCGCATAAAGGGAAAATATCCCGGCGTGGAGAAGGTTCAGGATCACAAGAACGACACAAGTAAGACGTACAGAGTTTCTGGGTTTGTGGGCAAGTTCGGATTTATTACGAGCATGACACATAACTTCTGCGGCACTTGCAATCGGCTGCGCATCACAAGCGACGGGAATCTAAAGGTCTGCCTGTTTGGCAACGATGAAGTGTCTTTACGTGACATTCTCAGGGAGAACAATTTGGGCAACCCGATAGATGAGGAAGCCTTCGAGGCAATGAAGAAGATCGAGATGGATCGAAGAGAAGGCCGAGTGGACGGCGTACTCGGCATGCTGAATAATGAAAGTGAACTACTGGGCGTCATCGGAATAGCGGTTAAGGGGAAGAAAGAGAAGCATGCCGGGATGGGGGAGCTCAAGAACATGAAGAATCGGCCGATGATATTGATAGGTGGGTGAAAGGATCTCTTGGGTCGTGCATCGAGGTGGGCTGGCAATCAAGTGATTCACGAATCATGAGCGGCGACTGGCGACACGGTTGTACTTATGGGGTTTTCATATCGGTACATGAGCATATACCCTTGGCCATCTACTGTGTATATATATGGGTGTTAGCATCTTTTTTGCTCTTATCCAATTCATAGCATTTAACACATTTCTCGATTTCTACTGCTTCCACGTGACTATTCTTTTCAAGGGAACTAACGACCTCCTCACCACCAGCATAGATAACAAGTGAGACTGGGTGCTAACATTCGGCAGGTTCACCAGAAGTTGCAAAGCTGACTTCACCCCATGCCGATAGCCATTTAAACTTATACGACATGCAGCCTACAGCCGTTTCTGCTTCGGCAAGGCGACATGTGCTTCTGCATCTTCTCACTAGCTGCCCGCGAACGTTTTTACGGCATTATCACGCTGGGAATAGGTTCCCAAAACCATCTCCTATATTGTCGCCGCACCGTGCCACAGGGAAATATAGCCAATTGGCAGACCCTGTTATAGCGCGCATGATATCTTCCACGAATTCCTTACCAGCAAAGCCTTCACCCAAGTCCCCCATCCCGCCAGCCTCGGCCCCAAGACTCACACACCTCACTCCTTCCGGCAGCGCCCACATGGTGGACATTTCCGCAAAAGACCCCACATCCCGCTCAGCAACAGCCGTCTGCTCGCTATACTTTAGCAATGCAACGGCGGCGCAGTTGATCGCGGCGAACCAGATGAAGAAGGGCGATGTGTTGAGCGTCGCTCGGATTGCGGGGATTATGGGTGCGAAGCGTACTTCTGATCTGGTTCCGCTGTGCCACCCACTATTCATTACACGTGTGCAGCTGGACCTTGATCTTGTGCCGGCGGAAGGTTTTGCTGATGATGGTGTCGGTCAGGGCGACTATGGGCGCATTGATATCAAGGCAATTGTAGACTGCGAAGGGAAGACGGGGGTGGAAATGGAAGCACTTACCGCAGCGTCGGTGGCCTCGTTGACAGTTTACGATATGTGTAAGGCTGTTGATAAAGGGATGAGGGTTGAAGGGTTGAGAGTGGTGAGAAAAGAAGGCGGCAAGAGTGGGACATGGGTGGAAGGGAAGGGGGTTTAATGCCATCGTGTTCACAGAGAAAGGGGTTGAATGTCCGTTATTATGAATATGCAATGCATTATATGGAGCTGACAGGTAACATTACTCTCTATGGTTCTGTTTTGCCTTCAAACTTCCAGCTCGGAATCAATAAAGCCCCAGTTTTACAATTCGAGAGATTGCAAAGAAATGCGGGTGTGGCAGCCAAAATGCCTACATTGTTATCCACCATTCACATTACTCCCTCGTCCTCATCCTCATCCTCATCACCTGCTGAGTTCTCCTCTTCGTCGTCACTCACTTCTAGCACAAACTGTTCGCGACGCGGCTCCAGGAAATAAAAACCAGGACGCTGGTGACCGTCATGGGCATTTCGACCGTCGGCATTGCGAGCCACAGATGAGGTATTGACGCCGGTCATCTCGGTGTCTATACAGTTACGACCCTCATCCGTCTCAGGGGTTTCCCACGGCATAAAACCCACGGCAGTGTCTCCCAACCCTGTACCAGGCCCACCATTGATAGTAGACGTTCGCCACTTCACACCTTTTTCATGGATGTCCACTTTTATCCTCGCCACCGGCGGCTCCAGAAAATGCCCCTGGAAACGCGATGCCTTGCTTTTGTTCTTCTTCTTTCCTTTTCCGCTCGTCGGAGCCCACTTCACACTATTATCGCCCGCAGGTGCTCCTCCCCACAGTACCGGCTCGTCATTTTCATCTACATTGTTAGGTTTTGGTTCTGGGATGTCCCATCCTCCCCAGTCGATTGGTTTGGGCTCAGGCTTTGGTTGTGGCTCCCTGCGGGCGGCCTGGAGACCCTTGTATTGCGGCTCGGGGGGTGGGGCGTAGTTTTGGACGTAGAGACCCAGGCGTTCGCGCCGAAAACTGATACTGGAGTCCGAGCTGAGGTAGGTGGAGTTGGTGGGTACTGGACCTGAAGGATTTGATATCGAAAGCTGATCTCTATTTGAGAATATATTTGTGAATATTGGGTCGGCATCGTGGGCGTCAGGCACGAGCGGCGGCTGACGGAACAATGATGATTTGATGCGGTATTCTGTCTACATTAGAGAGTCCATCTTGTTTAATAGATGACTGACTGCCTGGTTTTGACCTCACTGGTTTGGATCCAGAGCCATGCTGGTCCTGGGGTGCCATGGTGATGAAGTTTTGAAGTCAACTTGACTGACGTTGGGATGAAATTTTGTTGCTCTGTAGTGTAAGAGAAATGTTTGTTGACCTTGCTGTGTTGAAAGTAGATCTCTTTGTTCTGTTTCTTAACAAATAAGCACCAAACCGGTCACTTGTCGTTGAGATGAGTATATTTACTGTAGTTTCGTGTTCTGAAATATACCACAGTATCTAATTAGGTGAGCCGTGGGGTAAATAGTAACAACAAATATATTGTAAAGGCCTGACATATATACCTATCTAATTAATTACTTCGGTCACTAAATATTTCGTCAGCATTATAATTTACTTCACTTCTTCTTGTTCTTTCCAGTACCCTTTGCACTCGACGCGACATGGTGCTTTCTCTCTTGCCCCCTATCCCTATCTTTGTGGGAATGTTTCCCCTCCCCTCTTTTGACCTCATTCTTACGCGATGATTCACGATATTCCGATCTATTCTTCACAACAGCAGAACTGGATAGCCCTACTGCCCCGGGGAGCACCAAACTGCTCCCATTGGCAATCGGGAGGCTACTTCTGCGCCTCTCCCTCTCATAAGCAGTCTCTTCAGGAGGTGACATTTCGCCTGTCTCGATAATCCCTTTTCCATTAGCTCCCACACCCTGAGGCGACCCCAGATCTTGTTCAACAGCGCCTTGGCAGCCCATACCCAATCCCGCCATCTTCACAGCCAACTCATCCGCCCTCTCAGGTGCACCTTCCTGGGCAAATTTGACCTTAAGCGCATATTTCCTTCCGTCCGAGCCTTTCACGCTCATCCCATCCAGGCGCTCTCGCACCAAGCGCGCCTGCTCCTCTGTCTGTAGAAGAATCAGCGCATGGCCCCTCTGTCGCCCATCCGCGTGTGTTGGGATCTCAATTGTTTCGATTGGGTTTGTAGTGGGTGCGTGACAGGCGGCCAGCACGCGCTTTCGGATTTCTTTCTCACTGGAGGCGCCACTGGTCCGTGTGAGATACAAACGCCGGTTTTCTAGGCGAATGGTGGTCGGTGGCGACGGAGGGCCTGCTGGTTGCGAGAAGGAGGGCGATGCGATGGCACTTGTCGTGGTGGGGTACGGCGCATATGCATACTGATATGTGGGCGTGGCGTTGAGCTGTTGGATACCACCTCGGCCATACATCAATGGTTGCACGAAGGATGTTGTGTAAGTGGGCGAAACCTGTTGCAGGTTAGGATAGGTCCCAAAAAGTGAGAGAGCTCCTACCGGTCCCCCAAACGAGTATTGCTGTGGGCTTGTCACAGAATATCCGAGGGCGCTTGTTCCACAAGAGTATGCCTGTGTTGTGGCTATCTGCATTATCGGCTTAAATGAATAGGCAAACTGGGAATTTTCGTTCATACTACTAGTCGTGGGAGCAATGGATGCTACTGAATAAGAGCTTCGGGCAGAACGCGGGCTTTCCAGCGGGATATACGACGAGGGACCAAGAGGCGTTTCTTGGTCATAGTTTCTCATGTCCACTTGGAAGCGATTTCCGTCCCATTCGGCCTGTTTAAGCCAATCTACTCCGGTTAGTTATGTAGCCTGCCGCAGTTAGGTTGCAACCCATACCTCCGAGCCTCCAAAAGTTGTCCTCGCCGTCAACACAGATCCAGCCGGAGTGCAGGCCCGCATGGATCTGGACGTGTGCGACTTGAAAACCAGCCTGGTGTACAAAATCCTTCAATTCTTGCCAGGTTCTTTTGCGAGGGATCTTAACGGCGTGGTCAGTAGGGAGCATTGAGGGTTGGTTTGCAATCCCAGCATGCAGGTAATCACACTTACATATCCGAGGATGATATGAAATCTCCCCGTTGACGTGCCAGGCGGTGCCATCGACATATTGAATATCAATCAACAAATGAGATCAATGATGCATATAGCCAAAGCTTAACTAGCCGGCGGAAGTGGTACAGATTTATCAAACAAACGGGAGAACTTCAAACGGAGGCCCAGTTCTACATATATCGGAGACGCCAAATCTTAGCCTGGACCGGCCCTCTTCAACATAATTCTACGCCCTAAATCTAACGACTCACACCATCGGTTATATTGCCGGGGCTTGTTCAAAATGGATGTACCTATATTAGAAGGCATTAATTCGGTACAACCCAGAAGCTCATGAGGCCCTCCACCTTGAACCTGATAGCAGCTCCCAAGAGCCTGGTTGGCTGGTTGGCTGGGAAAACCCTCGACAAGGAGACACTAAACGGATGGATGTCTTGGGGCATGGCGTGCAGCTCTCCATAAAGTGGTCTGTCAATTGAGACGGAGTTGGAAACGCCACAGAATAGCAGGCCAAGGGTACAAAAGAAAGCGATCGCCGTCGCATATCTCATGACGAGAGAGACCTTGCATATCTACCATATTTTGCTAAGAGACTAAATCTGATGTCAGGATATGGACGCATTTCCATTAGCGGCCCCGACGGCTATGAGCTAGTCGGAATGCTCCAGTCTGACAAGTCCATTCATGTTGGACTGGATAGGGATTGTTTTCTTGGTGAAGGCGACTACGCCGTTTGCCCACAGTTCTTCAAATGGCCGGTAGGGGACTGATATCTTGGTTGGTGCTTCGGGCAGCCAGAATGAGGGTCGAATTAGGATTCGGCAATAGTTAACAGGTCTATACTGTGTGTTTCTTGGGGAGCCGGGTGCCATTCTGAGAATGCATCAGATCAGACTACCTGGATGTAGCCCGCTTTCTTGGCGGCGGTACGTGAGTACCAGCTACACCAACCCCAAACCGGTGGGGAATCCCTGGGTCAAGATCGTCGCGGTCTCAGAAAACGCCAGATAAAATTGCACACGGCTAAGTTCCTAAACTAATGCATAGCAACAGTTGCCGCCGCCCCGAAGTTGCTTCGCTCACCAAGATCCTCCCAATCTGAAGCCTAATTGCACGAGGCAATCCCAGGCCACGGGCTGGCAGCTTCAACAACAGTGGACGAAGTTAAGAACGTCGTCCACTGTTGTTGGGGAAAGCTGTGGATGTTCCGCGACTGTGTTCCACTGTGAACTGCACAGTACGTATGCAAAGAGTGTTCCAGATCAGACAGATGGGCTGACAATGACAGAGACGGAATCATGTCGAATTGGCCGGCTTCATCACTGCCCGTATCGGTTTGATACGTGCGCTGCAAGTACTAACGTATGGCGAGTGGATTGCTGCTTGCAAGGAACGAGTGGATCGTCGAATCTGGGGCGAAACTGGTGGAGAGTGACAAGGAGGGGCTACGATCTTGCCTGTGCATGCTCATGTCGGCCTGTCTGTATCTGGAAAGATGAGGCCGCAACTGCTTCCACATCAAGCCTCAGCTTTCCAGCTTGTCGTACTATATTTTCCTCGCATTTTTGCAACACACAGATATGACATGCCCGATTCCGCCGACGAAACCAACACACTGATATTACATGCCCGATGATCCAACAACAGAACCAACAAATGCAACCTCTGCATATATCATCTTGGGGAATTTCTCATTCCTAACCGCTCAACAAAGTAGGTCCCCCAATGAACCCTACTGTTGTAGATTCCAGAGTTATTGCAGTGGCAGGGGCCGCCGATGGCATTCCTTTCCCATATCGGCCGCCGTCAAATCCAAACCCGGAAGTGCCCTGCCTGGCGCCTGCATGGACGATCGACTGATCTTCGCCATGGGTAGCCCTGGCCCCCGCTGCAACCTCCGGGACCGGGGCGGGCGGCGCATCGACTAAACTGGGCCCGATTCCGGGTGCGTCAATAAATCGTCGTGTGCTGGGCGTGAAACTGCACCTCCTTGCGCGATATGCAGCCTTTGTTGGCGTTACACCACAAGCTTTGCCGCGAACGCCCGCCTGTCCCCGTCCGTACTCCGTGCCGGGCGGGAGAAATCCAGCCGATGCCTTCAGCTTCAGATTATGGGCCGATTAGTTCCACGGGCATATTTCCATTGATTCGCACTTATCGACTGTGTCCGTATACTTACGCCATTAATTACTACCTAATTACAGCACCGTGCAGGACTGTACAACGGTGGCACTTCCAGGCCGTCGACGACCAAAAGAAAGGACCAGTGAAGTAAATGGACGGGGAGCTCCCGTTATATTGGTCTTATTATCCACCCGCCATAACGCTGGGATCTTCCCCAATGACAGACAATTCTGTCGTTTTATATTGCCCAAGGCTTTGGGCACCACGAAACACCTAATTGGCTTTTCACCCAAGATATATTAAGAATATATATAGGTGTAACCTTGCCACACTGTACAATGGATCCAACCATGCACCCGGTTTGCTTTGTTTTGTTTCGATTCGGTACATGAGGAAGCTCTACCTCATTCATGAACAGGGGTTTGTTGTACGCCGTGCTTCAACCTTGTTATACATGCTGCAGCCCTTCCCACACCCACCGTCGAACTTCACGGCACTTCATATGCATCCCGCTCCTACGGTCTTACCACGGCTTACATGGTACCGCTCACATATCCATCTCTTCCTTTGACGATCCCATAGCATGGTCCACCTTTAGAGAACATCTTCCTCACATCCCCACATAGTTCCTCAGGTTTCTCCCATGCAGCAAAGTGCCCACCTGACTCATGCTCTACCTCCTGCACCACGGCCCCAACCATGCTGCCCCATGAATAAGGCATCGGCATCAATTCCTGGGGAAAATGGGACAGTCCAAATTTCGGCCCAGAGCTATAATCTCTGGTGGTCTGCATGAGGTGAATGTCCCCGTTCTTTGGTTTGACATCCGGCGCCCTAGCCTCATGGTAGATACGGCTCGAGGCGGCCGGTCCGGCAGCCGAGAACCAATAGATGCTTACCCAGGTTAGGACCTCGTCATCCGTCCAGGGGTACGCGTCTGTCCAGTCGTGCAGTTTCTCGTAAATCCAGGCGAGCAAGGCGACGGGGGAATCGGCTTGGGCGTAACCAATCGTCTGTGGCCTCGACGTTTGGATTACATTATAGCCGCTCCCAGCCTGAAGGAAGGTGAAGGTTTTTGCAAGGCGCCTGCGACCTTCGGCGTAATTTGTTACGAAGTTAAACATTACCTGGAGGGCGGTGATGGGGTGGTAGATGGCATTGATTAAGGACGGGACGGTGGGGAAGAAGTTGAGGTGAGAGGCTTTGACTGATTGGGGGTACAGGAGGCCCTGTGATCGAGTAATGAAGGCGCCCCAGTCGCCTCCCTGGGTCACTGCGCCTTGTTAGCAAGGGGACAGGATACTTGAGTTGGACATACCATATTCATCATAGCCCAGAGAGAGCATAAGATTGTGCACCGTTTCAGCATGTTGCTTTAAGCCGAATCCTCTCTGTAGACTATGAGAATGGTTTCAAGGTGAAATCTTGCAGGCATATACACACCTCTTTGGGGCCATCAGAGAACCCAAACCCTGGGAGAGACGGCGCAACGACGTGGAAAGCTGGTTGGGTCTCCGAACCTGCCGTCAGAATGGGGAGCAGCTTCGTCACTTCTATGAAGCTTCCAGGCCCTATGGAGTATCAGCTTCGAGTTGTTTACATAATTTCAAGCTGCCTCTAGCCACTCGGGCCCAATTCTGACATATATCAAGCAGAAACAGCGTGTTGGGAAACCAAACTCACAGCCATGAACAAATAACAACGGAATCGCCCCATCCACCTTGCTCTTCTCGTGCACAAAATGGACGTCCAGTTCCCCAAACTTCTCTGTGGCAATTTTACTTTTGAATTGCGGCAATTTGTTCAGTTTGGCTTCTTGCGCGCGCCAGTCGAAGCCATTATGCCAGTACTCAGATAGTCGCTTCACGTGCGAGAGAGGGGCACCGAGTTCCCAATTTGCGTCAGTGAGCTCGTCCGGGAATGTAGCCAGGCTTAGTTTGTCGTGGAGAGACTTTATGGAGGATTCTGGGATGTTGATTTGAAAGGAAGTTGGAGTGGTCATCATGTCAGGGGCGTACGACGACTGTTCAGTCCTCAGATGGTTTATATGAGAAACGGCAAGACTCGGTTATAAAGTTTATAAAGTTCAATTGGTCAACCAATCTGATGGCGGGTGGGATTGCGAAGAGTGTTTGGAGGAGGGGTTTGGAGTTGTAGGTGGAGGAATTTCAAAACAGGTGATATTCAGATGAGGGGTCTTTGTATTTCTTGTTATCCGGCTCCGTAAGCATGTGGTTGGTTATCCTGGTGTACCTGGCTCGTGATTGCGTATCCAGCAAATCTCCCCCAGGTTAATAATCTAAGATTTCCAACCCCTTTTCTGCGAAGTGGTCTCGGCAACTTCTGCTTTGGTAGAGAGAACAAACTCTATTACGAAGGAAACTATGATATCTACCAACTAATACTGGGAATGTGCCTGGTCATTGTCGCCCTTCTTTTGTTGATGATGCTACTTGGCGATAGGCGGTAAATCCGGGCAGTATATTGGGCCTCGGCAGGGGTTGTGGACAAGAACCTCCTTTCAAACCTTGGATCAGGTCGCCAAATATAGTGGGAAATAGCTATGTAATCACAATCATTATTTGAATACAGAATGATTTAGTAAAATCTCGATTTCCACACATGGGGAAGTATCAAAAGAAACTGCCATTCTAATTCTGAGCGTAAACCAAAGCTGCCAAAAATTCCCTGCATTCATCGCCCATAATTTATCTCCTTTGACGCCGTTATTGGATCCGCTTTCATGAAGTCTACCTCCTGCCTCTCACTCTCGGCGGTTCGTTGGCGATTCTTCTCACCACCGCATCCAAACTGAAAACACTCTCATCGGTATTATCCCTCCCAGGCCCTCTCAATGACTGAGCCCTGCTTTCGCCCTCCGATTCATACATTATCGTTTCATAATCTCCCTCCTCGCTCATCGCCGACTCGTCGACATGGTGGAGATCAAATCCATCCCGAGTTACTGTAACTTGGCTGTCGCCTGTCGGATCCCGCGTGAAGTCAACAGGACGGCGTCGATGAATACCCTCGAGTCTCCGCAACGCCTCTGCCCACGCCCACTCACGCCTAGGCGAACTCGGAAAATGTTCGTCTGCATCTGGCTGGGAAGGAGGTTTGTCGTCGCCCCGCTCATGAATTGGCACGACTGATTTGGCTGTATCTGGAGAGTACACCGTCGGCAACAGAATTGCCTCTTGCGATGGGCCGTAAGAAATTTCTCTATTCTGCCCTCGTATAGCCTCTGTTGGCCGCAGAAATGCGCTGGTGCCTCGTGACGTGTAACTCTCAGCTGTGGGAATGTATGGCACAACTTCTGAGCGGTCTCGAGAGTAAGATGAGTGGTAATTGGAAATGTATGGATGGCGACTTTGAGACGGCCGTGCAGAGACCCGGTTTGGCCTCCGGTACTGGCTATTGATGCCATGTACGCGCTCTGGTGGAAGGGCTATTGATGAACGCCGAACATTCGACCAATCCGTGTCAACGGCACTTTGAACATCCGAGGCAGGTCCGGTAAGGTTCCTCTGCGAGACGGAGCGCATCAAGCCAACATAGTCTACCACCGTTGGGCTGGTGGAGGCTGTGTAATTTATCGTAGTGCCAAGGGAAAACTTCTTGTGCATGCCTCGGCCAGGTGAGTATGAGGAGCTTCCTGCCTCTATGTGCCCATTGCGAGATGCAAGCTTCAACTTCTTCTCTCGGGTGCGGCGCCATATCCAGAAACCCAAAGCAGTTGCCAGGATGAAAAAGACACTGATACTAGTAACCGTGGCTGTTATGAGCATAGTTTTATGAATACCAGTCTGTGGATCAGGGCTTGATTCCGGAGTCGTTGCCGTTGTGGTAGGCACTGCAACCATTGAGGACTGAGTCGAATGAGTCGTAGAAGCTGTAGGAGCTATCAGAGCTGTAGCTATGCATGTTGTATATGTAACAGGCACAAATTTTGTCTCGGTAGGAATCGACGGGAGTCGTACGGTTATGAGGACATTTGTTGTATAAACCCCCGAGCCGTTACTTTGTGTATCCGAGTAAAAAAAGTCATTATAAAAAGTTCTTGTAACCGTTGGTAGGGTTGTGAAGACAGTGCTGGTTGAAACCAGGGTCCTGAGAGTCCCCCTTCCTGCGCAGCTGGCTGCCACTGCCGACGGTGCGGGCGTCTGTTTGGATGACATCAAAGTCAAGCTCACAGCCAAGAACCTTGAAAGGTGTTGTCAAAAGATAAACAGTTGTCCACGGTGGGTGGAATAGGGCGCAGGTACCCGCGAGGTAAAGGTGTAAATCTTCAGCATCAAAAGCGTGGAATACTATATCGAAATAGAGGTATTTGCACAACTTTTATTAATTTGGGCTTGAATGCTGTGTGAGAACACTGCCAGGAATGAATATGACCGTGTTATAAGCCTGCCTTTTAGACTGGATACACTCGAAAAAAATAACACTCACCGTAACTTCACTGTTAGATGTGTATGAGCGGCATTGGTAGGTATTCAGTCAAACTAAACATCACTTCGAAAGTTAGATACTAAATTTTGACCTTGGTAAGTGAGCGAAGAGTAAAGCATCCCATTCCTGGGATTTGCAACTGGACGCTGAAGTAAGTTGACGTTAGTTACAGCAGGTTATGAGTGTCTCCTTTGAACGTGAGTATTAGATTCAAGACTTCGTAATATATTGTACATGACACTTATCATACAGTATATAGTGACCCATCATGGTGATATCACTCCACCAAATCCAACAGGTGGGCGTTTTCCGCCCGTCTCTGGAACAACAGCCATGGCCTTATATACCTTCCCCATGCCGCTTGGGCCCCGGTCGATCAGGCGTTTCCAAGCACCATCTACTCGTTGCTTCTTCCCTTCATCAAGGTTGTTACCTTTCAGCAGCATTTCAGCCCTCTCTTTAATGCCCATTCCGAGAAGAAAAAATCCTTGCTCAACGGGACCATACACTTCAACCCCAAGAGATCCCTTTAGTGCCGTCTCAGCTAGGGCCATAAAATCAACATCTGCAGAGAGATCGACGAGACCCGGAGAGCTCAGAGGGGATACGCGTTGGTGGCCTTTGATTCCACGCAAAGAATTGACTGGTATGGTATCTGCTGGGCCGTAATCCAAGATCAATGCAGCACCGGATGGTTCTGCTTTCGGCTCAGCAGCCGATCCACCTATCCGTTTCGCAATCTGTTCCATGTAGGCGTGAGACTCTGGCGAGATCTCAATCAGCGAGTCTGGAGATTTCCTGAGAGCCTTGTACCGATCTGATATCTCTGGGAGATACAAACTGTGTGGTGTAGAAGCCTTAGAAAGAGCAAGCTCGAACTCTGGGGGCGGATAGAGGTCTCGCTCAGATTTGGGCGTGCCGAGGTCTTCATGAGTCGAATTTGGAGGTGCAGGAGAAACCACCAATTCGCGCCACTGAGGTTCCTTTGCTGCCGAGCTTTTGGCAACTTCGGGCGCAAGGTCATGAACACCTGTGGGAGTCTCAATCTTAGTTTGCGGAACTTCCGAGGGAGCAACCGATTGAAACGCGTGGATTGGAAGAGCGTCGAAGAATTCATGGGCGATAATAAACGGTGATTTGGAGGGAGATGATGGAACAAAGCGAATATTCTCAGTCCATATTATAGGGATGTTAGCGTATTTGCTTATGCTCCTGAAGCCAGTTTCGTGATCCTCCATCGGGCTATCTCCACACAGGACCTGCCTCTGTGTTTCTCGCAATGCTGGGCTCGCCTCCACCATGTATACGGCCTCAATAGCAGAAACCATCGGCTTGAAGTTCTGAATAGTCTACAGGAAGTTAGCTTTGCAAGGTCAAGTTCCAACAATACTGACTCGAAGCATATCATCCATCAAGGTCCCCCTTCCTGGGCCAATTTCAACGAGCTCTACGCCTGCGCCCTTCTTTCCCTGTGCCATCCACTCTGCCACAAACCATATACCAATCAGCTCGCCAAAGACTTGTGATATCTCTGGAGATGTAACAAAGTCGCCCTTCTGACCAAATGGATCGCGACCCTCTTGTTTCGACATGTAATATCCGCCCAGGTCTGCAGTCAAACACATTCGCATGAAGCTCGCCAATGGAACTGGTCCAGTAGCCTATAAAATGGTCAGTCTGCAATGAGCTTTGAATGGATTGCTCTCACTGTGATAGCTTCTGAGAGCTGTTTTGCCAGAGGCGTTGACCATTTCCGATCGTCGCCAGACGACATCCATTGCCTGGTGGACAATGTCAATTGTGCCGGTAAAGTCCTGCTCCTCTGGACCTGCCTCATGCAGGTCCTTGTCGCCGACAGAACATTGGATCTCATGTTATTACTCTCCAACCTCACATCGCAGGAAATGGTTGTCGTGGGGGACTTGCCGCCGTAAGTGCTTAGGCATTTTCGCGATAAGCTATCCCCAAGCTCCACCCAAAGTTTATCTCGCGCCAGAGCCGGTCCGCACCAGCTTTCAACAACGACAGTCACCCACCGACCGACATAGATGGCAGGGCCAACAAAATCCCGCTGGGCGGACGATGAAGAGGATCCTGCTCTAGATACGCAGCGAAAACGCGAAAAGGAAGAAAAGAAGCGGGCAAAGGCTGAGAAGCAGCGGAAGGCTGATGAAGCTGCTGCAGCTGCCGCCGAGCAACAGCGGCTAGAAGCATTGCGCCGCGCACAAGAGACTCATCCAGAGCATGCTGAGCTAGCGAACCGGCCGGCAAAGAGGCGGAGATTATCTCCAGAGTTGGCAGGGGAGCTAAAGAGCGGACAGGCGAAACTGTTGAGGTTCCCTGGCTCGAATTGGAAGAAATGTCGCAGCGTCGAGGATTTCGAGAAGCTGAACGACATCGAGGAGGGAGCATACGGATGGGTATCGCGGGCAAAAGACTCGATTACGAGTAAAGTCGTGGCATTGAAGAGGCTTAAAATGGAGAATGCACAAGATGGTGTGCCAGTCACTGGGTTGCGAGAGATCCAAACTCTGATGGATTGCTCACATCCCAATATTGTGCGCCTACAAGAGATAGTAGTTGGCGAGGACACCAGCAAGATTGAAAAGTAAGTATCCTATTTTCCCGCCTGCCTACTGCCACTAACAAGAAACAGCATCTTCCTTGTCCTTGACTTCCTAGAGCACGACCTCAAAACCCTCCTCGAAGACCTCTCCGAACCATTCCTCCCTTCCGAAACTAAGACCCTCTTCCACCAGCTGGTGTCGGGAGTTGCATACCTTCACTCGAACTGGATTCTCCACCGAGATCTCAAAACGTCCAACCTTCTCCTCAACAATCGAGGCATCCTCAAGATAGCGGACTTCGGCATGGCACGGTACTACGGCGACCCCAGCCCGAAACTTACCCAGCTTGTCGTCACCCTCTGGTATCGAGCCCCCGAGCTATTGCTAGGCGCAGACAAGTACAGCACAGATGTGGACATGTGGTCTGTCGGATGCATATTTGGTGAGCTGCTCACACGCGAGCCGCTGCTACAAGGGAAGAACGAAGTGGACGAGCTCTCGAAGATCTTCGAGCTGTGTGGCATTCCGACGGAGGAGTCATGGCCTGGCTTTCGCCGCCTACCGAACGCGCGCAGTTTGCGCCTGCCTAAGAATCCAGCTACGCACGGCTCGGTAATAAGGAGCAAATTCCCATTTCTCACTACGGCAGGCAGCAACTTATTGTCGAGCCTGCTGAGCCTGAACCCAGCAGGTCGTCCGTCTGCACAGGAGGTGCTGGACTCACCATATTTTAGGGAAGACCCGAAGATGAAGAGTACGGCCATGTTTCCGACCTTCCCTTCTAAAGCGGGAATGGAGAAGAGGAGGCGGCACACACCGAATGCACCTATTCGCGGTGATGCCCCGGGTCTGCAGAGTATTGATTTCAGCGGGATATTTGCAGGTCGGGAAGAGGAAGAGAAAGGTGGTGGATTCAGCTTAAAGTTGATATAGCGTTTTTCTCCGAACGAGATGGGAAGTTGGGAGGTGGATATACCCTGGGAATGGACATTGTAGATAACCGGGATACAGTAGAATGCAACGTGTGCTTCGATTAATTCATTAAATATCTGCTTGTTGCGCTGTCTATGCTAGCCAAAATCATAACACGAAAATCCGCATGGCGCCAGGTTCCGTTCGTTGCCTCATAAAACCTATGCTAAAACAGATCAAACCAGTCGTCCATCCCCTCCAACTGACTCTGCAATTAATACGCCAAATTATCCCCTTATTTCCTCAAATGTACAAAATATGTAAATGCGTTACCAAATGACATTCAACCCATTGACAAACCACGTAAATGTCATCACTGTGATGATGCTCATCCCGAACATAAAACCGAGTGCGTTGCGCTCTAATGAGCCAAATGCACCGCTGCACGATATACATGGCACAGGTCCCGAATCATCTGTGTAATCCTGACCATTATACATTCCGAATGTGAAGCTTTTGAACGGGGCTAGATATCCAGCCACAGGAACATCACTTTCGCTACCCTCAGAGTCGTATATAATCAGGGTGTATGTTGCCACCACCAAAGGTGCACTGCTGGTCTCATATCCGTGGGAATCCCACACAGCCCGTTGTGTTGTGGCAGTACCGTTGATTGTCTGGTTCATGGCAATCGTATACAATGCTTGGTTGAGTGTGCATGTGGCCATGATGTTCAGCGCTGTGGGAGTTGCCAATAAATCGGTGAAGTTAAATCCAAAGGTCGCCTTGTCACCAATCTTAAAGATGGGCATGCCGGCTGTCGCCGTGGGGCTGACAACGGTTATACCACCAACTGGCGATCGCGGGTCATAGGTGGTATGGACGGCAGATTTGGTAGGTTTGGAGGTCGAAGACCCTTTTGATTCAGAAACAGAGGTTGATTTATGTTGACCAGAGCTGGGTGTCTGCGTTGGTTTGCTACTAGTTTCTGAGGTAGTGTGCGTGCTCGATTCTGGAATTTGGTTAGTAGATCTCGCAGACAAAGAAATGGGCGACGTACGGTCTTCATTGGCGCGCACGACAAGAGAATCAATCTCAGGAAAGAAGCTCGGCCACGGCCATGCTGCAGTAAACGTCGAGAGTAATACAAGAAAGGTCGCGTAGATGAAAAACGTCGCTGTTGACCTCATTTTGGCGGCTGGCCAGAAGCAAAGTAATGTGCCCTAAGTTAGGCAGGGCCGTTGCCACCGAGACTGATCTCAATATATCCCTCCGAGCAACGATTATAAGCGTAGAGGATATCTCCCGGTGCAGATAGTGGTCGTCGGATGTCGCGGTTCAAAATTTGTTGTCAGAACGAGACGTGTTTACCCCTGTCCTACACTGTGCGTGCGTTGTTGAGAGAAAGTAGGATGAAAGTCGCCGAGCGAGTGAAGGCAAAATGCGTAATAGATAATACAATTAAAATAACGAAGGAAGTCCGAGAAGGTAACTGTCCGAATCAGAAAGCGCTCTCGTCGGTAGGAAATGGAAGCTTTCGGCCAGATGCATGGGGATCCTGTTTATTTTTAGATCACAGCCTCAAATCCGATCACGTGATTACGTCAAATACTGACTTCCGTACTAACTTAATAAATGAGTGCCTCTGCCAGTTCTACTCTATTGTACAGAATGTGTAGTGCCTGGATCATGAAACTTTCACTTTCGTGCAAATAAATTGTTATTGCATTGCAGCCTAGTATTATTGCTTATACGCTACGACTAGATCGTAGCCCTGTGACCCTCCATAAAAGATGCTGATTCTGAACGACCTACGCGTTCTGAAATATTCATGATCCGGGCTGTTTCTTAGCCCCATTCGCTGAAGTACTGAAGCCCATTGACGCCTCAAAAGTATAGGTATTGTTTGCTGCAAGCTCCTGTCGTTGATGCGTCAACGCAAGATACCCAGCCACCATTTGACCGACTGCCCTGTTGTATTTCATGCAATAAGATGCATATAATGGCCTGGAACCCTCTGCCGACACTTTTCACAATCACTCTTGTATCCCATGCTTAATTTTTTAGCATTGCTCCCAAAGCCATCACCCATCCCTGTTGGCACATGCCCCATATTCCTGATACCAAGCTTGGTCGAACCATATTTCTTCAGGCCGTCTCTTGCAGGCGCTCGTGTCTCCATATCCCTCTGCATATCTGCCATAAAGCTAGTTGTAATTTTGTGACTGGATTCATCCTCACTGATGGGACTGGGAAGGCGACGGTCATATTTCAGCCCGCTGGTCGCTTCCTCGATTGGTAAACTGCGATTACTCGTTCGAACATGGGAGGGAAAATGGCCAGTAATAGGCGTTGGGATTCGGCCCGCATGTTTAATAGATGGGTCCATGTGAGAAGGCTGCGACAGTTGTGGGCTATCATCCATGTCCTCATCAATATCCATGGAATCATGTCCTTGTAATCTTTGCGATGCCGCCTGTAGGTTGTTTTGCCAGTCCGAAAGTGAAATTTCTTGGGGTATGACCTCTCCGTAAAGTTGCAGAACAGCTGGCGAAGTATGGTACGGGTTGTTCCATCCAATATTTGGACGGTCTTCGCTATCCGAACCGTTTGGAGTAATCTCAGTCCCTCTTGGTTGAGACATGGCATTACTCCGAGGCCGAGGAGGAGAGTTAGTTACCGGTCGGATGACAAGAGAGGACGTGATCTGGTTCTGGGAGATGAACTCTGAAGCGATGGAGGATCGTTTGGTGTTGTCGCGCGCCTTGAGGATACGCCGGTGCTCGCTGAAGCCATGAAGCGTGGCATCGTCATCTTCCTGCCGGCTTCGTTTTCTGGTATTTTGAATATTCATAGCATAATACATTGAGGCGTCAAGTTGTAACGGAAATTAAAGGCTTAGACAGCACTGTGGACGTCCTTGATGATGGAGCCTGGTGGGGGAAATGGTCGCAACTCAATCCTTTATCCCTCCTGCGCCGGAGTCTCAAGCAGGTAAGCCTTCTCGTCGTCGCTGGCACACTCGGGATAACGATTGGAAGCCGATGGACGGTCAGTTTCACTTTTGCCTCATCCACCTATGGTTGGTGTTTTGGATTTCGGGAAGCCTTCATCCAGGCGGGTATGTCGCGGAGATATGTCCCTCCGATCCAATGTTTAGCCTAGCGTTCCTGGCGCCTTCAGCCTTGCTTAAGTAAGCCACACCATATAACACGGCAAAGATCAAGGCGGTGAGACGAATGCGAAAAAGAATTTGCCCACGCCGAATTTGCTCCGACCACATGTTGGTGGGGTTAATGTGGTGTGTGTAGAGTCATAGGTTGAGAATGTTCCTGACTGGGCCTCGGACTGCAGAAAGAGAACTTCATATTTACTGCATAGATTATTTATATAATTCCCTCATAGAGCATTTTGGAGATTTTGTCATTTTGGAGCCAAAAGTTGTCATTGTGGTAATCAAAGGACAACAATTGGACATTTGCCAACGCATATCTCTTGGTTGGTTGGCTACTTCATCCTCGCCTTTGAATACACCTTTAAAAACTACACCAACACAACCCATTGTTGCACCCCTCCTATACTCGCCATGTCTGAACATGAGGTCAGCGATGACACTCGCGGCAAGTTTCCCATGAAAGCCTATGGCCAGCTTACTGGAGCTAATCTTCAACCTCAGTCCTCGGCCAAGATCCACTGATCCAGCCAGAGTTGCTGATCTCAGAAATTCCCATCACCAAGGCTGCCCTCCAGACCGTTATTACGGGTCGCAAGGAAGCCGTTGATATCATCATGGGTGCATCAGACCGCCTTCTCGTAATCTGCGGCCCATGCTCCATCCACGACCCCGCCACAGCTGTCGAGTACTGCCAGCGCCTCAAGGCTCTCTCCGACAAGCTATCCGGCGATCTCTGCATTATCATGCGCGCTTACCTCGAGAAGCCGCGCACTACTGTTGGCTGGAAGGGGTTGATCAATGACCCAGATATTGACGAGACCTTCAAGATCAACAAGGGCCTCCGTGTATCGCGTCAACTCTTCTGCGACCTTACGTCGTCTGGCATGCCGATTGCCAGCGAAATGCTCGACACTATCTCCCCACAATTCCTCGCGGACCTGATCTCCCTCGGAGCTATTGGAGCGCGCACTACAGAGTCCCAGCTGCATCGCGAACTTGCGTCTGGACTTTCCTTCCCAGTTGGCTTCAAGAACGGCACGGATGGCAGTCTGACCGTTGCCATCGACGCTATCGGATCCGCTGCTGCCAAGCACCATTTCATGGGTGTCACAAAGCAAGGTCTCGCGGCTATCACGAGAACAGCTGGAAACCAGCACGGATTCATCATCCTCCGTGGCGGCACCAGAGGTACCAATTTCGATGCCGAGAACGTCAAGTTGACCAAAGAGGGCTTGGAGAAGAAGGGACAGAAGCAAGCTATCATGATTGATTGCTCGCACGGTATGCACATCCAAAATCAAAATCAATGACATATACTAAATGCAGCAGGCAACTCCAACAAGGATCACCGTAACCAACCAGGCGTCGCAAAGGTCATTGGCGACCAGCTTCGCAGCGGCGAGAAGTCGATCATCGGCGTTATGATTGAGTCGAACATCAACGAGGGCAACCAAAAGGTCCCCGCCGAGGGCCCAGCTGGCTTGAAGAAGGGCGTCTCCATCACCGACGCTTGCATCGACTGGGACTCGACTGTCACAACACTGGAGGATCTGGCCGAGGCTGTCAGGGCGAGAAGGAAGCTCAACTCTGCTGCGGAATAAATGCAGCTTCAAAAAGTTTTGTTGTTAGCGTTGCCACCGGTGCCAAAAAAGCGGAAAATGGTGCCTTAGATTGTGGATATTTCTGTCGTGACATCTACTATGCGAAACTTGTTTGACCATTTTGATACACTTGATACAGGTTCTGATCCGACCACAATATGGATGTGACACATCCCTTCTGGCTTCCCAGGCTCCGGCACTTTCCAAGTTAGGCGGTAGATTTCATATGATCAAGCCCGTGATTCCCTTCGGTTCTTGGCCTACCATAAAGGGCTTTATACTTCGACCGACAGCTAAAGTCTTCCCATTCTCCGCCCGAGATAGCCGTTTCCGTTTATATTGGCTTCTGTATATTGGTATGCATCGCACCAGCGCCTCGATTATTCCCGCTCTGTTGGATAGCAACTCGAAATCCAGATTACCCGTTGTTTACCGGTGCATACGCTCCTTGGTCGCCTTGCCGCGAGCCACTGCGCCTGAACAGGCCAGGGCCTCCTGCCTTCCTCTTCTCTAGCACTTTCAATCCAGCGGCCCAGCCGAGAAGCCCTAATGTCGTGCAAATAAACGCTAGCACGATAATCTGGTCCTTCCTGCTATCCCTCTGGAAGCACGTTGTAAATATGTCCTTCTCTCCGGCATTCTTGCAGATCGGTAGGTTTTGCGCGATACAGAAAGCGCGATTACATTGGCTGCAATCGGCTGAGGAGGCAGCACGGCGCTCTAGGGATGCAGGCGGATCGGGCGAGAATCGGCTGAGGAGGTTCGCCGACTTCTCAGATGTGGTTTTCGGTGTAAGTTCGATGATGGTGCTGTTTGTAAAGCAGGTGCATTTGCAGAAGGAAGGAGGGGCTGGAGGGTTAATCAGCGATTGAAATTAAACGACCAGAGAACTTCACGAGAGATTAGACTCACAGGTGCAAGAGACAGTGATGAAGAGGGCGAAGAACGCTACGAGAGCTTGGAACCGCATCCCGACGTTAAGCTCGCGTTATATGCTGTGGAAGGCCGTCAGGTTCTGTGGATAACAAGCAGTGCGCAGTAATCGTTAGATGTAATATTATAAGCTTCTCTAGAATCAGAACTTAATAAGTTTCTTATTCTGCGATATTCGAGAGATGCATTGAATGATGAAGTGCATCATATGCTACCAAGGGTACGACCCGGGATAATCACGATGTTCCGAAATGGCCTAGCGCGGTGTGCATTGGTCTCTAGCCATTGTTGGCCAAAACTTCATGGGCGTTCCGGGGTCGAAATAAAATAAGTCGGTTCCAACACTGCCATTCTTGCCCAAACGCACACAACACACAATGCGACGAGTAGTACGAGCTGAACGAGCCATCGGGCGAATCCTGTCGACACCGTCTTCGACGCAGTTTACTTGCGCCGCCTGCCGCCAACATGCTGCTCCCTTCTCGACTCGCGCGAGCTTAAAAGCCGTCGACATGGAGAAATGGCGCAAGAAGATTTGGGGAACAGACAAGCCGCCCGGTGCGGCAGATCCTTACGGAGGGCCTGGTGCAGCAGAGATATATGAGGCTGAGAGAAAGGCTACAAAGGGAGAAACTGCTGTCGAAGAGACTTCAACTACACCCGCTGAGGATTGGGATATGTCCGCATACGAACCGGCTGATAACTGGGCTGGATTGGAAGAGGTGGGGGGGAGGGGAGTCTGGTGGAGTGGGAGGCAGGAGCCCAATTACGCTGGATACATTCCGAAGCAGAAGGTTACGGATCCATACGAGCTGACTGCGGCCCTACATCGCGCTGTAATCGAAGTCTTCGCTCTCCGTGATGCGGAGCAACCGTTGTCCAAACTCGCCAATTCCGATGTTGGACCTGATCTCACGGCCGAAGTACAGATTATCACGGCAGACGGAGGAGCCAAGCTGAGCCTCCCACAAAACATAGGTCTACAGGAGATTGCAGACTCCCTGGCGCCGAGGGTGCAGGAGCCTGTCGACGAGACAATAGTCGAGGATGAGACAGCCGTTAAGGCTAACCTAACAGAATCAGAGGTGGATGTTGCTGCAGACAGATCCCCTGTTGATCCTCTATACCAAGCGCAAGTACAAAGTGCAGTTGAGAGTTGGGATCCAACCTGGCTCAGTGTCTCTCTCAATGACCCAGAAGTCAAGTTCACTGTGAGTCTTTTGTGCCACTTCTGTTCCCGTTGACGAATATACTGACGAAAATAAGGTTGTCAAGCGCGTGTTGCAGCTGACCGGAATCCGCATGTCCGATTCAAACATCAATGCCTCCAAGAATGCATCGGATCTTCTGGGATTCATGGCCACACCACCTAAGCCAAAGAAGGTCATCGAGGCCCTCGCACAAAGGCATACTCTGTTTGATTTGCCCAATGTCAAAGTTCACGCACGGAGGGTGACTCCGGTTGATAGGGAGAAGTCGCTTGGGAGATGGAAGGTTATTGAGAAAGAGCTGGAGGCAAGGGGACTTCCTGTTCTGGGACATAGTAGGAACTAGAGTTTGGGACTGTGGATGGTGTATATTATTGTAGGCTAGCGAAATGTAGATGTATAAGTACGTCATTTATCATCCGTTATATGCGATCAACTGTAAGTTGTCACACTCCTCTAACCTCGATTCTAATAATGTCTTGCCCCAAACTCTTTTGCCGGTATACAGGGGGTACCGGTGGTGACGGTTCCCTCTATGGGCGGGCTACACTATTGAGACGAAAGGACGAGAGTGGCAGGCCAACCTCAATGGGGCTCCTTTCCTCGGGAATTGTATATACAGGGAAGTAATATTTCATTTGTGAACCTACAATCCTTTCTATTATTCCCGTTTCAAAACCCTCATACCAGCAAGATGTCGACACTCACAAGGAGAGGCCTCAAGAACATCTTGGCCAAAAACGCAGACGACATCGTGATACTCTCCTCTCTACGAACATCCATAACCCGCTCTAACCGCGGTGCCTTCAAAGACGCATACCCCGAAGAATTACTCTCCGCTGTACTACGTGCTACCCTGGCCGCAAACCCGAATCTCGACCCCGCACTCATCAATGATGTTGCACGGCACAGTTCTCAGCGAACTCGGCGGCACCAAAGCCGGCCGCATGGCCATGAACGCCTCTGGGTACCCTTCTTCGACCAGTTTCTACCGTTAACCGCGCCTGTGCCTCCGGGCTGACGGCGATTACAACCGCTGCCAATGGTATACAGAGTGGGATGACGGGTGTGGCCATTGGAGGGGGAATGGAAAGCATGACGAGGAACTATGGGAGCCGTGCCATCCCAGAGGATCTCTGGCCACAACTGCGAGAAACAGACCAAAAGGATGCAAAGGATTGTATTATGCCCATGGGCCTTACATCTGAGAACGTCGCAGAGCGATATGGTGTCAGTCGGGCTGACCAGGATGCGCTGGCAGTGGAATCCCATCGGCGGGCAGTGGCGGCGCAGGAAGCAGGGAAGTTTGACGGGCAGATTGTGCCTGTTACCACTCGCTTTTAAGAGGTGGATAAGCAGGGCAACAAGATTGGAGAGGAACAGACGATTACGGTCACGAAGGATGGTGGGATCAGGGCGAATGCAAGCTTGGAGGGAATGGCGAAGCTGAAGCCAGCTTTCACAACGGATGGCACGTTTACGGCAGGAAACTCGTCTCAAATCTCTGATGGTGCAGCTGCAACACTGATGATGCGCCGCTCTACGGCTACTGCTCTTGGGCTTTCTGGCTCCATCATAGGAAAGTGGGCTGGGAGCTCGATAGTCGGATGCAAACCCGATGAGATGGGCATTGGTCCGGCGATTGCTATCCCGAAGCTTCTTGCACAAACGGGGCTGAATACCGACGACGTTGGGCTGTGGGAGATCAATGAGGCGTTTGCTAGCCAGGCAATTCATTGCGTGAGGGAGCTTGGTCTAGAGAAGAAGTACGAGGAAGGCAAGGTGAATCCGAATGGCGGAGCTATTGCACTGGGACACCCGCTCGGTGCTACTGGGGCGAGGATGGTGGCAGATTTGCTGCCGGAGATGCAGCGCCAGGGCTTGCAGACGGGAGTTGTGAGCATGTGCATTGGGACCGGGATGGGAATGGCCGGATTATTTGTTAGGGAGTAAGTATGTAGTGCTACGTAGATGAGGCATATATTGTATTTAGACCCGAATTATTTGATCAAATATGAGGTTCATGATGCCAGTTGAGATCTGTCGGCTGGGTATAGGACGATTGCATTGTACGACAGTGGCGTCCCGTGTTTGTCTGCCGTGAAATGTTGTGCAGAGGGATGCAATACAAGGCTGAGCACAAATGCAGGACACCGATGCGCCGCCGTCGTCCCCTGCCGCCTCGGATGATCTTTGTCGCTTATTTTTGGTGGTGACATGGATGGGTTCTGCCATCAATCTTAGCGCGGGGGGAGCTATTAAGCCACCCATGACAACCTTGACTTCACATCGTTCACTATCCCAAACTGCAGCATTCACCCACCCGTCATCCTCCCTCTTAACCATTCTCGCCCAGGGCTCATTCCGGCAGACGTCTGGAGCTGTTGGTGGCATTTTTTGGTGACGACTTTGGGCCTGGCTCTATCGCGCCGTAAGTGATGGATCACATTTGGTGGATGGCATTGGAACAGCATGGCGTAGAAGAATCGGGCAGTGGCACAGCATTGTGTCCTTCACCTGCCCACCTGCCCTTCTGACTGACATCGGGCCTTTCGCTCGATGCTCTCCCAGTGAACATTCCAGAACGGCAATGTCGCACAAGTTGTCAATGTGTCATTCACTGACGATTTGTATTGTTTAGATTCCCTCGCCCCTGCCGAGCAAATCAGCCAAAGATGGCCAGCAATTCGGAAGTATGTATTGTCTCAGCTGCCCCGTTTCTCCCTCTCTTGTCGCTTTCCAATGATCTTTGGTATTCCCTCTTAATTTCCTCTTTGGGCGCTTTGTGGCTTGATCCTTCAAGGGCGGGCATGATGCATCAAACCAGCCGCAGCATCGCCGTGTAGCAAGCTTGGGACGCGTCAACCTTAATTTCCGTCTCCGCGCGTACCGCTTCCTCAGTCGCCTTTTGGGGCGGGATATGCGGCAGCTGGAGAGAGGTGGTAATCATATCATATCGCCTTCCGCTGCCGCCAATCTGACAAGTCTGGCGGCGGACCGAGTCACGCGAGTGCGACTTATGGTGTAGCCAATATGATCTTGGCCCTGATATCGTCTCTATTGGAAGTGTGTATCCAGCCACTTGTGCGTCGCATCGGCGACGGCTGGTGAGGCAGACCGCTGATTGACTTTCTGGGTAACGGTACGCCCATCATCTTTGCCGCGTTTGGAATGTCGATCCATAACTCTGCGGTGCTGTCTGTCCATCAAATTCCAATTGGGAACGGGGACCTGCCTCTTTTCACTCTGCAGCCGTCCAGGCCGAGTCACATATACCACCTGCAATACAGAACCCAAGGCTATCGATAAGACTGCTATTGTAAACGCGCACAGGGAAATAGCTCGATGCGAGGTTGTGTGTTGTCCAATATCCCGTTTGGTATTGTCGCGTTTGGCACCACCTCGTTTGACATCGCGTGGTGTCGCTGGGAAGCGTTGTGCTGTGGGAGCTGTCGTGGTAAAGTTGCCCGCGGACCACCCTCAGAAATTGATTTCACGGCGCAAACTTCCCAGCAGCTTTGTCAACATTGCCCACAATGAATCTCCTTCAAAGTGGTCTGAGGAAGACCAAGGGCGATAAACAGTATAATGGACCTCCTCGCCGTAGCGGCGCAAGATTTGTTAGTAAAGCATCACTGACCTTGCAAACTATCCATGAACAGAATCGACTCAACCTCCAAAAACGCGATAATGGAAAGGGGAGCATCAAAATACCTGATCCGGCGCCTGGCCCTGCCGCGAAGGGAAAGCCAAGATTATTGTTGATGGGCCAAAGGAGGTGAATATAATGATCTATAAAAAACTGCTTTAAATCCTAATTTATCATAGGAGTGGGAAATCTTCCATATCAAGTGTCGTCTTTCACAAGATGCCGCCCAATGAGACACTCTTTCTCGAATCAACGGCCCGGATACACAAAGACTCGATGCAGTATGACACCCGTCTGAGACAAAGAATTCCTCACTAATACTCCCCAGCTCCTTCATGGACTTCCAAGTCTGGGACTTCCCCGGGCAACTGGAATTCATGGACCCCTCCTTTGACGCCGACGCCATCTTCGGCGAGATCGGCGCGCTGATCTGGGTCATCGACGCGCAAGACGACTACCTGGAAGCCATCTCCCGGCTCAACATCACCATCATGAACCTCGCGCAATCCTACCCCGCCATCAACATCGAGGTCTTCATCCACAAAGTCGACGGCCTGAGCGACGACTACAAATTCGACCTCCAACGCGACATCATCCAGCGGATCCAGGACGAGCTGTGCGACCACGGCTTCGATAACGCCCCCATCACCTTCCACCTCACCTCCATCTACAACCACAGCATCTTCGAGGCCTTCAGCAAGGTCATCCAGAAACTCATCCCGCACCTCCCCACCCTCGAGGCCCTCCTAAACGAGCTCTGTCGCTCCTGCCGCTTCGAGAAGGTATACCTCTTCGACGTCCTCTCCAAGATCTACGTCGCCACCGACTCCTCCCCGCTCGACATGAGTAGTTACGAGATCTGCTCCGATTACATCGACGTCATCGTCGACATCTCCGAGATCTACGGCTGGGAGCGGCCCGCGGCGTATCTAGAGCAGCTGGAGGGACCGCCGTGGAATCGGTCGCTGGAGGACCAGATGGGTTGTCGCGATGCCGAGAGCGCGATTGTGCTGAAGGATATGAAGAGGCCGATTATGTTGAGGGAGGTGAATAAGTACCTTGCGCTCGTGGCGGTGATGAAGGAGGGGAGCTATGAGCGCATGCCGCTTGTGACGATGAATGTCGAGACTGTGGTGGCGGGCTTGTTGGAGGTGTTTGAGGTTACGGGGGCGAGGCGGTAGGTGGGTCGTGTCGAGCGTTGGGGGTGGGGTTGGGGGAGGTGGTTTTCGAAATTCAAAAGTTCGAGGGCGACAGGCGTTCTGGGTCTGGATCGTGTGCATTAGTTTCTCTCTTAATCAGATTTCAAATAAAAGCACAGATAAATGTGACCATATCACCACAACATTCACTCACACACTGCCATGCATCAGAAGAGGCGTATACATGCAACAAGTTCTATTCTCATTAAACATTTTCCACTAACGTAGGGTGTATAGCGAATGTCACACTCCGATGCAGGCACGCACCAAATCTCATGGTAATTCTACTACAACCCCTTAAATTAAGTGAAACTACTCGGAATCCTCGTCCTCAGGCACCTCTTCTATGATCCCACAAGTGCGCATATTATATCTAGTCTCTCCACAGTTGCCGTAGCGCCGTGCGCGTGTTTCTTCCCTTGGCTTCCGACTACCCCCTCCTTACCTTTGTTTCTTGTTCTACCTGCTATATAACATTTCTCTCGTCCTGTAGATCCTATGCTTCTTGTTAACTAAGTGATCCTCCTTGCTATAGCCGTGTTTTCTTAGTTCTCTAGCGCTTGCTTAATACTTCGTTTACCTGTTAAGAGGTCTTAGTTCTCTGCCTTTAACAAAGCTAAATGGTACATTATTTATAATACGCCCTTTGTAAACTAGTCTATAGCTACATAGATTGAGGTTAGAGAGCTATTTTGATGATATGTAATTTAGTGTTTAATGAAAGTTAACTATGATGTTGCTTTAGTTAGGTTATTTAGTGTTTAAGAAACCTAAGGTTATGTAGTACAGTACATGGTGGAAGATGACACCATCGAGAGGTCTTGCAACTTGTGCACAACCAGGATTAAAGAAGGAGAAAGCACGAATCTCTTTAGTCCTCTGTGCTAATGCAACTGGAAATGATCGACTTGATGTCTGGATTATTGGCAAAGCAAAGACTCCACGAGCTCTTAAGAATATCAATGTTGCAACTATGGGAGCGCAATGGAGATGGAATAAGAAAGCATGGATGAATACAACAGTGATGGTTGAATGGCTTCAAGCTTTCTATTTACATATTGGAAGTACAAGGCGAGTCTTATTAACAATGGACAACTTCTCAGCATATTACACAGCGTTGGAATTAGCACCTCCACCTGCAAATATACAATTTTGCTGGCTGCCTGCAAATTCAACAAGTCGATTCCAGCCTTTGGATCAAGGAATTATTCAGTCATTTAAGGCTAATTATCGTCGACAATGGCTGTCTTATATGCTAGAATGCTTTGAGGCAAATCAAGACCCTCTTAAGTCAATGAATATACACCTTGCAATTCGCTGGATTGTATGAAGCTGGAACCACTTCCTTACAAATACAACTATATACAACTGTTTTCGCAAGTCAACTCTTGTCACTTCTCCAATCTCTCTTCCTACACCGCTTAATCCACCAAACATATCAGCTCTCTATGATCAGGTAGCAAGGGCTGGGAATATACATGATGCAATGGCAATTTCAAACTTCCTAAATCCAGAAGAGGAGGTTGAAGTAGAAGAAGAGGGTGAAGCAAACCAAGAACAAGTCTTGCAAGACTTGATAGCAGAACATTTAGGTGTATCTCAAACACAAGATGACGACGAAGAAGAAGGGCAGCTTGAAGAGCCTGTCTACTCTATACAAGAAGCTCGGAAGGCTAATGCAGGTTCTTATTAAATTTACTGAAGGTAGTGCTGAGCTCCAAACAGCTCATTTAAGAGCAATTGAGCATCTGGAGCATGAATTGGAGGCATTAGACCAGAATAGGCATGTTCAAAGTAATTTAGATGGATGGCTTACATAAGCTCCAATAATACGATTTATTCGATAGAACGATAATATTTAGTGGCACCAATTCATATATATATCTTTTTCTTGAAACTCCCCTGCTAATGTCCGCAAAGTCTTCATCTCTTCTTCTGCTGTTGTAGGAACAGATCCTCCTTCGCCGTGTTGTGTGTACTCTTTGATATTATGTTGTTTCTTGAATTTCTGCATCCATCCGTTGCTGTATTCAGGGCAAGGTTGGCTAGCGTATTGAGGTAATTGCTGCCAAATCTGCTGAGCTTTCTGTCAAAGCAGTTCTCCACTTGTCACCCCTCCTTTCTCTTCGATGTGATGCTGCCAAAGAATCAAGATCTTCTCAAGATCTGGCCACTGCCCAAGTCGAAGGCGTGCACGATTGCTGTCTTTGATATTATCGAGGCTGTCGAAGTGTGTCGAAAGAGACTCGGAGACACTAGATTGGCTGATCTTATGGTTGTACTGCTGCTGGAACCACTCGATACACGCTTTTTGGGACGGTCGTGGGTGTTGTTTATGTGCCCAAGCCCGTAAAGCACGTCGCTGTTCAAGGAGTATCTGCTGTTTGCGTGCCATATTCAATAGCTGTAATGACGAAACGGTATATGATAATACAATAGTTAATGAAATTGTTAGGATACCATGAATATCGTATTTTGTGTGGTATTTGAATCTGTTCCTAAAAAAATATCGCACTATCGAGGATATTGGCCTATTGAATATCATACTAAGGAGGTTATACTGTACTTAGGTAGGAGCTTAGGGGTGTTAGTGTCTTTAACCTAAGATTAAGCGTAGATATCACACTCTCTAGATTAAATAGAAGAAGTCCTATACCTTAAAAGCTTCCTTAAATGTTACTTTCTGTTATTATAAAATTATGCAAGATTGTGGTGTCGGAGCTGCTGTTTTCGGCTGGCGTTGGTTGCTGCTTTACGCAGCCTCGAACACCAGGATTTCATCACGTGACTTTCTTGGCGATCGGCCAGTGGATAATTTTCAGACCGAATGCACCGTACCTGAACTCCAAAGCCCAAAACCCGTTGTCCTGTCTCCGATTATATGCCGTCTATATATATCCCCCAGCTCTCCCATGCAAGCCGTCACGTCTTTCAAACACAGCACTCTACTCCTCTGCACCTGTCACCCCCCCGAGACGACGGTGTGGCTAAAATCATACCCTCTCAAAGCGGAACAAGCTCGTCGTCGTCATGGTCTTCAGAAGGAACGCACCCATCGACCCACGTCTACTTCAACGCCTTCATAATCGTGTCGAACATCGCCAACCAAAACTAAAGACCAAACGCCCAGCTGGATACTACAAAAGCCTTAAAGACAAGCATGATGACCCAACGCCGTTATTAAAAATAAATATGCCCCTGCCACCATAGACAATCTTGAGGGTATTAGAGGCAAGTTTAAAAGGCAAGGGAACAATATCCCCAAATCGAGACGTTGGAGTGGCTACAGGTACTAACTCTTGTTAGGTTCTGTCATGATCAGCATTTGGGGGACTGGCGTTCTGTGATTCGGGACTGCTCTAGAGGGACTACAATATCGTTCATCCAGCATATGTACGATGAAGACCGGTTGAAGACGAGGGGTGCGATGTCACAATACAGAGCACAGTTTGGTATGCTATACAACAAAGAGAATGGCCGTCTCATGGATAGTAATGATAGAAAGGAGGTCCTAAAGGTATGCTGCTTTCTGTTCATCACTACTTAATCTAAAATTGCTAATATCAGTAGTTTATAGACACGCTCGGGCTAGACAGAACAGTGAAGTCGAAGCCTGTCTTTGTAAGGACACAGGGCACCCAGCTCACAGTAATAGCATATGAGAGTGCGAGTCGGAGGCTAAACGGATGCTATCCTATAGGTCTACTGCGAAGGATACAAAAAAGATGAAGGGGGAACCCCGTGAGTCGATTGTCTCAAGTACCTGAAAACCATCCGACTCAGTTCCGACTCGGTTAGCCCACCCAAATGATCACACGTGACCCCGCAGCTACCCAGAGTCTACTACTTAGAATGAGAGACAAGAAGGCATCCTTACAGTGGAAGGGGACGCTAGACTCTTTGATGCGCTCTGCTATGAGGATGTCCGCCTACTGGTCGTACACAGTCCCAACAATAGCGAGCGGGATGTGCTCGCTATGGAGGTCAAATTGTCTCATCATAAAGGACACAATAAGCACCCCAAACTGTGAGTTGACCGACCGCTTTAGACATACCACCTAATATCAAACTAACAGACATTTACAGAACGATATTTTTCTTTACTGAGTCGACGACCCGATTTTCTGTGCCATCACTCACTTCGTATCCCTTGCACTCGCAGATGACGCATTCGAGGCGCCGAGCCTAACTACTCCCAAACATGTCTTTGAGCACAAGATACGTGGTCCAGTCAATTGCACTAAGCTACACTGGAAGGAGGAAATGCTCAAGACACCAATATTCTGCTGAGATGATTCGGAGGCGGCCCTTCCATAGAATCAGCTTCATGATTCCCTTAACTGCCTTGGGAAGATAGCAGGCATCAAGGATTCTAACTAGCTACTGCTTTCAACGTGGGACAGCCAATGTCGTTGATCGTAAGTTGTTTATGGGAGCTTGAGAAGGAGATCACTCTTGCTAATATAGAATTTTTGTTACCTAGATGCCGCTACCGATGCTGTTCGGGACAATGAGAAAGTGCAGTTTGACGTTCAGTCTGCTGGCCTCGGGCGTCCATCTGTAGATGGCATCCTTCGTATGCTGATGCATATGAGTCTCATGTGCGATCCTCGCGCACCTGTTCACATCCCTGACGAGGTCCTGGCTGCGCTTCCTCCTGATCCTATTATCACTGCACTTGAGCTAGAGCAAGAACAATTGAAAGCTGGGGCATACAGAATTTGGGGGACGAGCATCGAGGCAGAAGTTTGGCGACTTACTGTAATGGTGGGTGCACCAGATGTGAGAATCTAGCCACCCAAGGAAGGGATGAATTTACTAAGACAACACACTGTCTTAGAAAACAGAGCCAAAGGGTCGTAGCTTAGACTATTTCCACAATGCAGCAATCAGGTGTGTGATGTAGTGAAGTGGTTCAGACAAGTTGCAACAAATGTTGAGTCTGGGAACTAAGGGGTAAGTCAGAGGTTAACACCTCACTGACTTTTCAGAAACAAGGAGTAACAAGATGAATGCTTGGAAGCTTGGAAAAGACGTGGAAGTATGTGATAGTCGATTTACTGTATTGTCTGCTTGCCCTTTCTTAAGGAAAGGGCAATCCTATTTATGCTAAAGGAGTGTAGTTCTCTCATTTTCCAAGACTTTCCATGACTTACCAGGCTTGGTAACTGTAGTCGACGTAAGAGAATCCCATAGAACCATCTCCTAGGTTCCTAGCCTATAGGAAGTGAAAGGAGGTTCAAGGTCAGAGTACCCCTATAGACAGATTATGTCATAACTTAACCAATCTTATGGGTAACTAAGGAGCGATGATGTGTAATGAATCATAGAGGGTTGTAGAAGCTTTTGGACCTATCGTTTATGCTCCTAGGCCTCTAGTTGATAGAGATATGTCATGTGTAGTATTAGCCCAGTAACTAAGGAGTGATGTCATGTAATGAATCATAGAGGGTTGTAGAGATATGCTATGTGGTCATTGTAACGCTGACTTCTAAACGATAGAAGACACAGAGGTTCTCTTGCGTAAAGGTTTACTTATCAGAGGAGGCAGGGGATCAGACACAAAGGCTTCAAGTAACACGTTACTAGTATATAACAAATACTGTATTGAGTTGAGCACGAAGCTCCTATCTAAGGAAATACAATCTACTTATATAGTGGCGTCGTGCCTAGTGGACTCTTGGGAACTCACTCGAGTCCTCGGAGTCCTGGACTCTTAGGATTCTTCTCATCATCCTGCGAGTCCGTCACGTGCCTAGTGGACTCCTGGGAACTCACTCGAGTCCTCAGAGTCCTGGACTCTTAGGACTCTTCTCATCATCCTGCGAGTCCGTCACGTGATACTTTCGGAACTACTATTCCCCGCTGCCCCTCCAGGTACCAGGGCCGGTCTCATGCGACCTCCCTCCTTCCTGTCCTGTAGTTGGCCAGCCTTCTTGTTCCGTCGTAACACTCGCTCCCTTCCCCTGGGCATTCGTCTCGAATCCTATAAGTACGTCCATGCCCCCGGGACTCTGCTGCTCCTCAGCGAGTCCTTCAACATGCAACATGCCTACTGACACTGCCCGCAAACTCCAGGAACGCAACGATCTTGTCCGTCGAATAAAGAACCACGGATACGAACTACCCGAAATGGATTCTTGCTCGAACTGCGTGAGGCGAAACGTTACTTGCGTGTCGTCTCCAAATGATTCACGGCGGTGCGCCGAGTGCGTTCGTCGCAACTTAAAAGAAAAATGTGACTGTATGGGTCCTGAGCATCCCGACTGGGTGAAGCTCGAACGGGAGGAGGATCGCCTGGATCGCGAAGAGGAAGAAACCCTTTCGAAGTTACTTCGTCTGCGGAAGCAGAAACGCCTCATCCGAACCCGTGGTAAAGATATGCTCCGGCGAGGTTTGAAAACCCTCGACGAGCTTGATGCGGCAGAGGAGGCCGAACGTGTGGCTGCTGAGAAGCGTGACGCTGTTGAGGCCGAGGAACAGGCAGTTAGCGCTGCCTCCTCGTCTGTGACCGGGACCCCCGCTGTCATACTGACATTCGTTGCACTCAGTATGCTATCAAACTCAAGAGCAAACTTAGAAATCTCCTCCTCAAACCTACAAGTCACCATACATATCTTGGCTTATCACACCAACAACAGAAGCAATACTACTCAACGATTGCTGCAAACTCTTCTACTACATCTGTTTATGCTACATACATCACGGCATATCATTTGGACACTCATTGAACAAGTTATTAAGAAAATCTCCTCCTTAAGGGGGTGGGTCAATACTACCACATGGCATATCTCTACCAACTAGAGGCCTAGGAACATGAACGATAGCTCTAGAAGCTTCTACAACCCTCTATGATTCATTACACGTCATCGCTCCTTAGTTACCCACAAGATTGGTTAAGTTATGACATAATTTGTCTATAGGTACTCTGACCTTGGACCTCCTTTTCACTTCCTATAGGCTAGGAACCCAAGAGATGGTTCTATGGGATTCTCTTACGTTCACTACATGATTAGCAAGCTAGTTGTGGGTCGCACTTGATTTCTAATACATTTACCAAGCCTGGTTAGTCATGGAAAGTCATGGAAAATGAGAGAACTACACTCCTTTGGCATAAATAGGATTGCCCTTTCCTTAAGAAAGGGCAAGCAGACAATACAGTAAATCGACTAGCACATACTTCTACGTCTTTTCCAAGCTTCCAAGCATTGATCTTGTTATTCTCTGTTTTTGAAAAGTCAGTGAGGTGCTAACCTCTGACTTACCCCTGAGTTCTCAGACTCAACATTTGTTGCAACTTGTCTAAACCACTTCACCACATCATACACCTGATTGCTGCGTTGTGGAATAGTCTAAGCTACAACCCTTTGGCTCTGTTTCCTAAGACAGTGTGTTGTCTTAGTAAATTCATCCCTTCCTTGGGTGGCTAGATTCTCATATGTTTATGCTACATACATCACGGCATATCATTTGGACACTCATTGAACAAGTTATTAAGAAAATCTCCTCCTTAAGGGGGTGGGTCAATACTACCACATGGCATATCTCTACCAACTAGAGGCCTAGGAACATGAACGATAGCTCTAGAAGCTTCTACAACCCTCTATGATTCATTACACGTCATCGCTCCTTAGTTACCCACAAGATTGGTTAAGTTATGACATAATTTGTCTATAGGTACTCTGACCTTGGACCTCCTTTTCACTTCCTATAGGCTAGGAACCCAAGAGATGGTTCTATGGGATTCTCTTACGTTCACTACATGATTAGCAAGCTAGTTGTGGGTCGCACTTGATTTCTAATACATTTACCAAGCCTGGTTAGTCATGGAAAGTCATGGAAAATGAGAGAACTACACTCCTTTGGCATAAATAGGATTGCCCTTTCCTTAAGAAAGGGCAAGCAGACAATACAGTAAATCGACTATCACATACTTCCACGTCTTTTACAAGCTTCCAAGCATTGATCTTGTTATTCTCTATTTTTGAAAAGTCAGTGAGGTGCTAACCTCTGACTTACCCCTGAGTTCTCAGACTCAACATTTGTTGCAACTTGTCTAAACCACTTCACCACATCATACACCTGATTGCTGCGTTGTGGAATAGTCTAAGCTACAACCCTTTGGCTCTGTTTCCTAAGACAGTGTGTTGTCTTAGTAAATTCATCCCTTCCTTGGGTGGCTAGATTCTCATATCTGGTGCACCCACCATTACACCTTGTCTGCTTCAAGCTTCAACTATTTCTATAGCAGCACTTCGATACTACAATGGAGGATGACCAAGCTCCTACAACTACTGCTGAACAGCAGATGCAACAACTGTTTGCCTTTATACAAACTATAGCAAACAAACTTGAGAATTTGGAAAACACCTTTCAAGCCAACACTTCAGCAACACAATCTTCAACTCAGACACATCATACAGAGCTTCCCACAGCTCCTCTGGCTATTTCGAGTACCCCAGGTGCACTTCCTAAAGTGCAAACACCAGATTTATACCATGGAGACAGGAGGAAGTTGAAGGGATTTCTTATGCAACTGGACATCTACTTCACCCTCAGGCCTCATCAGTTCACCTCAGACATTCAGAAGATCTATTTTGCTGCCAGCTACCTCCGTGGATCTGCATTCAACTTCTTTGAGCCATATCTTAGAAGACTTAGTGGCAACAACCAAAATACCACTACACCTTTGATTACCTCTTATGACCAGTTTCAAGAGGAACTTACCAGGACCTTTGGAGACATCAACGAAACTGCTACAGCAGAAAGAGAGCTACAGAAGCTATGTCAAAAGACCTCTGCTGCTCAGTATACAACAGAATTTAGGAGAATCACTTCTCACTTGACTTGGAATGAAGAAGCCTTAGTCTTCACTTACTACCAAGGGCTCAAGAGCTCTATTAAGGATGAACTCAGCAAAGAAGAACGCCCTACAACACTTCAAACGCTTATAGAGAAAGCTGTCAGACTTGATGATAGGCTTTTTGAAAGAAGAAAGGAGAAGAACCAAGACTGGCATCCAACAAGAAATTTCAACAATTACACCTCTACACCAACTGCTAAGGACTCAGCACCTGAACCTATGGACTTAGACGCCTCTATAAAGAGATCTACAGCAAATCCAGCACCTCAGCCTACAGGATACCCTCAAAAACTGAAAAGGGGTAAACTTACCCCTCAAGAAAGAAAACACAGAATGGACAACAACCTTTGTTTATACTGTGGCAAAGGGGGACACAGAATTCAGGAGTGCTATTCAGCACGGGGGAGTGCTGATTCAAAACATATAGCAGCCTCAGACACAGTCACAACTGCTATTCCTGAAAAACTTGAAAAATCCCTAGCAGGCACAACTTCAACTGAGACTATAACTTCTCCCCTAGACAACAAAGATGTGTCGATGGTGCTTTCTCAGAGTCTCACACACCTGTTAATCCCTATTCAACTCCATTTCAAACAACAGGTGTTGTCTACAAGGGCTATGATAGACTCAGGGGCAACAGGCAACTTTATATCTCAAGACCTCATCTTGACACACCAGTTACCTACAATTCCCAAACGCACTCCAGAGTTGCTCCGAGTCATTGATGGAACTCCTATCAGTTCAGGTTCCATTACCTGCAACACCCCAGTACTCAAACTTGAGATTCCCCTAGGAAAATCAACATTTTCAGACACCATCTCTTTAGATGTTATACCAATGAAGTACCCAGTTATCCTAGGTCTTCCATGGCTTCAAAGGCATGATCCAACTATCAATTGGAAGCATTTATCGCTTGGGTTTAGCTCAAATCCTGAGCTCAATACTGAAAAAACCCTTCAAGCCTCAGTTACCCCTATTCAGGTCCAAGACTCAAACTTGTCCCAGATCAAGGATTTTGACCAAACTATGGACGATATATCATCTCTGATATGGGTTAAACCTTTCCAACCTGTACTGGAGATAGCAGCTACTTCAGATTTGGAGAAATCATCTCAGGAGGTCATTTTGCCTTTACCATACCAAGACTACCAACATCTTTTTGACAAGGCAAAGGCATCAATTCTGCCAAAGCACCAGCCTTATGACCATGAGATACCACTCGCAGAAGGCTCAATGCCTCCCTACGGCCCTATCTACTCTCTATCTGAATTAGAGCTGAAAACTCTCAGAGAATACCTAGATGAGAACCTTAGTTCTGGCTTTATCAGACCTTCTTCCTCACCAGCAGGAGCTCCCATTCTCTTTGTCAAGAAGAAAGATGGCTCCTTGCGTCTCTGTGTTGATTATAGGGGCCTTAATGCAGTCACTGTTAAAAACAGATATGCTTTACCCCTTATCCCTGAGCTCATAGATAGGCTCTCTTCAGCAAGGATCTTTACCAAGTTAGATCTCAGGGGAGCTTATAACCTGATACGCATCAAGGAAGGTGATGAGTGGAAGACAGCATTCAGAACACGCTATGGTCATTTTGAATACCAGGTAATGCCTTTTGGGCTTGCCAATGCACCTGCTTCTTTCCAAGCTCTCATGAATGATATTCTAAGACCTTACTTGGATATCTTTGTTGTTGTCTACTTAGACGACATTCTTATATACTCTTTAGACACTCAAGAGCATGTTCTACATGTTAGACAAGTCTTAGAGAAGCTATCTCAAGCACAACTCTTTTGCAAACTTGAGAAATGTCTTTTCCATATGTCTCAAGTTGATTTCTTGGGACATAGAATTTCAACAGAAGGCATTCAGATGGACCCTGAAAAGACAAAAGCAGTACAAACGTGGCCTATTCCTTCCAGCATTAAAGAGGTTCAGTCTTTCCTTGGGTTTGCCAACTATTACAGGAGGTTTATACCAAGATATACATCCTTGGCTTTACCCCTTACTCAATTACTTCACAAGGACACTTTGTATCACTGGGATAAGACACAGCAAGATGCTTTCGATGCTCTTAAAGGAGAATTTAAAGAAGGGAAAATGTTACTACACTTTAACCCCTTGAAACCTGCCACTCTTGAGACAGATGCCTCAGATTTTGCTATTTCTGGAATCTTATACCAAGCTCCAAAAGACAAACAAGAAGAGCTACAGCCTGTGGCATTTTACTCAAGAAAGCTATCAGCAGCTGAACAAAACTATCCCATTACAGACAAGGAACTGCTTGCCATAGTATGTTCTCTAAAGCATTGGAGATGCTACCTTGAAGGGGCAAACTATCCTATCACTATTTACAGTGACCATTCAAACCTCTTGACCTTTACAACCACTAAACAGCTCAATAGACGACAAGCAAGGTGGTCTGAACAACTAGGAGGTTTTGACTTTGTTATAAAACATGTCTCAGGGGCCAAGAATCAAAGAGCAGATCTCCTCTCAAGAAGACATGACTACCAAGATTCTGCTAAAACTAGCAATACAAAGGCTCTGCTAGACTCAGCAAAGCTTATAGCAGCATCTTTAAGCAACCCTAGTACTACAGAGGACTTAGGGGTAAACTTATCCCCTCAAGACCAAGTTGCCCCCATTACCTCTTCTCAGGAACCAGAGACCTTTAAAGACTATACACCCTCAGCAACACTTCTTAAAGCATTCAAAGATGCTTACAACCATGATCCCTTTGCGAAAAGAACTTTGGAATACCTCCAGAAGAAAGGTTCCTCTCTTGAGAAAGTTGGACTACAGAATTTCTCAAAAAATCAGCATGGACTTCTCTTATTCAAGAACTATATCTATGTCCCAAGGGATAAACGATTACAGCTACACCTCCTACAGCAGTTCCATGATGCTCCAGCTGCAGGGCACTTTGGCTTTGCAAAAACTTATGAACTTCTA